ATCCTCTAAAATGAGACACTGGGGAAGCCATTTACTGGATCTGCTTGGAAATGAATACTAGCTGCCCAGAAATATTCCTTCATTATAAGCCTTTAAGAACAATAATCTGCCACATACATTCTTTCATACCAGGAACCCATTAATTACACTTGTTCTGGCTCCTGGAAAATTTAGCTCTCTTAACCCATTTTCTTACTCAAAATGCACAAGAGTAAGCCATGCCTGCAGGAAAAATTTGAGCGTGTTGAGATCTGTGTGCACAGCATGGGAAAATAGCAGAAAAGGGAGGAGAGGGAGGGAAGATAAGATATATTTGCCCCCAGGAACAAGTTTCCCATTCTTTCTTCTGGTTTTGCAAGTAGTTTTAACTTGCCTTAATACACATGGACTGTCATTGCTTGCTGGGCTTGATTCCACCTTCTTCGTGCAGACAGGACTTTCTTCAAAGCTTGCAGGGTTAGGGCTAAAATTAGCAAATCTTGACATCATACACCATAAAACAACAAAGCAAAATGCTTCTTGCATGACTCATACCCTCTTGCATACTGCTGTTTTCTTCATTAGCCCTGCATAAGCAGCTGGGTTGTAAGCACACAAGAGGTTTTTCAGGGTTAGCTAGACTCCTACAGGTGCCCAGATTTTCCCCATGTAAATAGGAAGGAAAGAAGACACGTTCTTCTAGCCCTGACTGATCAGACGTGCCGGCCAACATGAATCAGTCAGTTCTGATATGCTTGGAAGTGTGTGAGCAATGCCTGGAAACTCAGAAACCAGCAATGCCCACACACTTCCAAGCATATCTGCAATGAAGGCAGATGGTCAGTGACCTGTGACCAACAGCTCCTTCCTGTGCCCAAGTCAAGGGAGGACACTTCCAAGGGAGAGACATAGGACTGCAGATTAAAGTCATAAAGCTTTCTCTAGCTGATACTGTTCAGACTAGGGGTGTGGGTTGTATAGGATTGACTGCCCCTAGAAATATGCAATTGCCTTCACAGAACGCTAGCTTCTCTCTGACATTTAGTTTTCTATGTGGTAGATTATTGTTTTTTTAGATGGAAGAGCGTGATGCTTTTCTTGAGTGTGCCTTGAACCTTTAAGGAAAGATGGGAAAAATCATAGATAGAAAGACAGACTGAATCATGATCCTGCAGCTGTGGCATAAAATGACATGGTACACATATTTATAATCTCAGTGGTGAATAAGCCTCACATACCATTGTATCTAAAAGAATCAGTAACAGAGAAATTATACTTTTAGGTTCTATAATTTACAAAGGTCAGTTTGTTATGGCTGCAGAAACTGATTGCATTTGCAGCAGGAAAGTGCTGGATTTTAAAAGCACACAATATACACAACCCTGTGAATGACAAAAGACTGGTGTTGTGCCATCCTCATGGAACATCTGAGACAACTGATTGAGAATTCGGAGTAATAGCAGAAGCCAACACACCATAATGGTTGTCCTGCTGGACAGGGCTGGGGAAACTCTGGTTTATTAATTTGTTTATTCTATTTATATCCTGATTTTTCCCCCTGAATGGAACCCAAGGCAGTTGGCATAATCCTCCCCCACTCTTTTATCCTCACAGCCACCCTGTGAAGTAAAGTAGGTTGAGAATCAGTGACTGATCCAAAGTCAGCCAGTGAATTTCATGGCCAAGTGAGGATGAGAACCTGCATCTCCTCTACCCCAGTCCAACACACGGGGACAGAATTCACCAGGTGACCCCAGGCCAGTTCCTATAATCTTAACCTACTTCACACAGTCGTTATGATAAAATAAAGGTGAAGAACCATGTATGCTGCCTGCCTCAGAGGAATTTAGCACAAATGTATTCTAGGTACAAACCAACACACAAAAACAGTAACATCGAGCTGCAAGAAACACAAGGTAGTGCAGGATCTTCGTCTGAGAGTCTGAGTCAAGATTTAAATGTATTCAGTTTTTTTAGACTGAATAAAATATATGGGCTCTTCTCAGTCCCTGAGGACAAGCATATGAAGAAAAAGAGGAAGGAAAGATGCTGTTTGGGTTCACATCGTAGCCTTGGGGTGCCAAAATGCTTTAAAGAATATAGCTTTACTCAAGCACTGATTTGTGCCTGGAAGGGCTGCTGCCTCTGGAGTCAGTTGTGGTAGAACTGGGCAATACCCTGCTCACTTTCTCAGAATGACCCATCTCCGGCCTCTGCTTTTTGGGAAGTATCATAAGTAGCATTATTTAGCCCCTCTTGGTAAAAACAATAAAAAGTACTACAAAGACTAGCACATGTATTCTGGTGCTTTCGTGGCCACCATCTACTTCATCACTTGCCTCTTCTCTAAAATGTTTAAACTGTGGCTCAAACTCCATTTTTAATTGTCGTATGTGCAGATATCTTTCTTCTAGTGCTTTGTTCAAACATATTTTCCTCTACTGGTACCATTTTCTTCAAATATCTACCTATCTATCATCTGCAGAAAAACTGGGAAACACATTTTCCAGGGAGATCTTTTACCTGCAGTTGCCAAATTTGTTTCCAGTACCATCTGGTACTCACCACTCTTTAAAGGTGTTGGTAACCAGGTTGGTCCATTACAAAAAAATATCTCAAAGTTACATTAGGACAATACCTTTTTTAGGGTCAGCTAAAATGTCGCAAACCTGCCCAATATTTTGTAACATCTATAAGGATATTGTCCTATGGTCGCTCTTTTTGTTCTTTAAAGATTGCCACTGGTCCCGTTATCACCATTTCTACTTGGGCAGTACAGACAGCATGGTTTGGAATAAATGATGGATTGACATATTGAGCAGGTTGCTTAAGTCTGTGGAAGCCCTTTTCCAAAATGACCGTCCTGGCCATCCTCCAAAAGTTATGTCGAGATAGAGAGCTTGGGATAGAACAAAGGCCAAGAACAAAAGGATGTTTTTCTTCCACTCCAGACCATGCCTTCCATGTAACCCATGAAGAAATAGTGATAACTTTCTATTACAGGGACAGTATTACAGATAATCATTTGAAATGTGATGATTTTCCAGTCGATAGCTTGCCGAGGTGCATGTGACTCAGGCGATCGTGTGCCACGAAACTAGCACATTCTAGCTGTTTGGATTGCTAAGTGGTTCCAGGCAAGGTCATCTACATTCCCCCAGAGAGGAAAAAAACAACACTTGGCTGTTTTACTGTTTCCAGTCTTTGATATTAATCTAGGGCTAGTGCATGGCAATTACGTTCTAATCACAGATGATCATTAAGGACTTGAAGCTGCACATTTCAGCTCCTTGATTAGAAATGTATTTCCCAGATGGTCCTAGGCAAATCAAAGTATGATAACTCTGGTCTAACTTACAAGACTGATGTAAGCGTGTGTGTGTGTGTGTGTGTTTACAGGCATACCTCGTTTTGTTGTGCCTCACAGATATTGCCCTTTTTTTACAAACTGAAGGTTCGTGGCAACTCTGCATTGAGCAAGTCCCTCGGCACCATTTCCCCCACAGCATTTGCTCACTTCATGTCTCTGTCTCACATTTTGGTAATTATCACAATATTTCAAACTTTCTCATTATTTTATTTGCTATTGTGATTTGTGATCAGTGATCTTTGCTGTTACTATTATAATTATTTTGGGGTTCCACGTACCATAACCATATAAGACGGCAAACTTAAAATACATTTTTCTTAGACTTAATGCTATTAGACTCCTAATAGACTCCAGTATAGTGCAAACGTAACTTTTAAAGCTCTGAGAAAGCACAAAATTTGTATGACTTGCTTTATTGCAATATTTGCTTCATTGCAGGGGTCTGGAAGCAAACCTGCAATATCTCCAAGGTATGCCTGCATGTATACCCCAAGCTATAAGGAGCACATTGTTCCTGAACCACATGGAATGTTATCACAGTGCAGTTTTTCATGTGTACATTACAACCAACATTGCTTGTTGAAGCAATCTTATTTAATGCGGCCTTCCCCAACCTTGTGCCTTCCAGATACGCTTGGACTGCAACACCCCGAATCCCCAGTCAATGGTCCTGCTGGATGGGAATTCTGAGTGTTGCATTCCAAATGTATCTGGAAGGCCACCAGGTCAGGGAAGGCGGATTTAATGCATTAGTACTGTGTGAAATGGAGGGCACTCCCTGCTCTTTTCACCCTGCCAAATATGGCTTGAACCTAGTCTAATGGGGTCTACAAAAGCCAGCCAGAAAGGCATATGCACTTGGGAATTATTGCATTCCTCAGGCAGTGGTGCTTAGGGTTAGTGGAAGTGGTCAGCATGGGAGGCCCTGGGAGATGATGAGAAATGGGAGGTTGAGTGATGAGCACGGTTACAAGTTCTACAGGCAGAGGAGTGACCTCTGTCAAAGGGGAACAGTGTTGTTGTACATCCTGCTCTGTCTGTGCAGCTTATAACATTAAATACTAATTAGAAAAGAGGGAATGAAAAAATACCATCTGAAGAATGGTTGGAAGCTGGAGATCAATCTCAATTATGACAGTAGCTAGAACTCCTGTACACTAACAGTGAGCCCACTCTCTGTAGCCAAAATCACACAATATCTGCTGGGTTGGGGAAGGCCCCTGATTTATAGAAGTACAAACTATCTTTAAGGGGAGGGTAGTCTTAAGAAAGAGCAGACTGAAAACGGTTCAATGTGGCCTTAGTTATCGTGGAATACGGAATGGAGGGTGGGTGGGAATACAAAACTAGGGGGGAGAGAAAAGAATAGAGTGCCTTGGAAGACAGGTCAGCTGGCTGGTTGTCCCAAGCTGGAATACGCACACTTTCTGCACTTGCTGCTTATGCAGACTTAGCGCTACCTCATTCCAAGATGCATTTTTGTAATCCAAACATTCATAAGTATACCTACTGTGTTAAAAAAGAGGCTTGTCAATATCAACATCCATTCACTGTCAAAAGTAGCTGTGAAGAACTTTTCAATGTATACGGCACACCGTTGTCCAAATGCATTTTCTTCAACACTTGGCTAGGAAAAATTACTGTTCACAAATGCAAAGGCAAGAGAAACTTTTATTCATTATTCTTTATCAGATGCTGGACTGCTCTCCTTTATTTTAAGAGGACAACATTAGCCATTTCATAGCAGACTGAACTGGAATTTATGCCAGACATGGCAAACAAAAGGTACACTGGTGCCCCCTTCAGATGATGCAACCGCTCTACAACTTCCTACCTTCTTTGCTCAATCAGTGTTTTTCATTACCATTAGCACAAGCTGCCTTCTTGTGGTCAACATAGCCTACAATGGGTATTATTACACTATTTGCACCCAGGGAGTATGTTACTGTGCATTTTACTTTTTTCCTCAGCAGAATCCATGTATCAATTATTACAAAAAGGGAAATGAAAAGATACACGGTCAGCTTACAAAATGTCCCTGAATTGTCAAATATTCACCAAGAACATTGAGAGAATTACAAAGGGCACTATGGAAGAATGACTTATCTGAATCCCACCACAAATATTGATGACATGATAGAAGTCTAATTAGTGAAAGAACAGCCAAGTGGGAAACTCAATTTCAATGGGAAGAATGGCTCCTCAGGCCTATTAGCTAAACATAAAATTTAATTGACAAGCATTTCTGTAAAGGGTTCTATGATCACATTAGGGATTTATTTCACAACAAGCTTGCTTTGAGTTTTAAACTGACTAGGTAGAAAACCATCAATGTTGCTCTAATATCAGGCTGGCTATGTATTTCAAGCTGCACACCACATCATCTGACTGCTAGTGTGCTTTCCCCACCACCATAATGGAAGATGCATGAAATGAGGGACATTTCACATCACAAACTATTTCCCACCTTACTGCCACCCACTGATTTTTCCATAAGTTCCAGTAGATACAGAACTGGTCTAAGAAAGAGAAAACGAAACACTTCTTTTTCACTCAGTTATGCTCTTACAGACCACAGCCAGTCTAACAAATCGTGGCTGACCGCGAGCTTTACACTATAAATATTCTTGCCCAATGATTTTATTTCATTTCATTATTTTATTTTTATTTGGGATATTTCTAACCCGTCCAATCACTATGTGTCTCTGGACAGCTTACAAACATTTTGAAGACACTTGTAGTTGTGTTTATTACTTCTTTCCCCCCACTGTCCCAAGTCAAGAGTATCATGACTCCTTTGAGACCCCAGAATTGTCACTAGCCCTGGTCAACTATTTTGAGCTGAAGCTACCCATACTTTTGAGTATCTGCACACGATTCTCAAGGCCCCTGAATTTCAAACTGCAGGGCCAATATCATTATACAGCCTCTTCCAACATGGTTTGGTTTCCAGCCATTGATTCAGCTTACAATGTGTCCGATAGGCTCCCACAAGCCCATTCACAGTTTGGCAACTTCTTGCAGGCTCTAAGTTAGTAGCTGTACATCTGCTGTTGCTGCTCGGTTTGAACCTGTTGCTGGCCTGTCGGCGGTTGTGCTGGCTGGGCCTGAGTCTGCAAGACATCGCCTTGAGGCACTGCCCTCCATGTTAAGGGGTGCTGTTCCGATATCTGGCTTCCCAGTGGAGCAATGGAGTTCACCAGAGTTGTCAGGTTTATAAAATGGGCGACTGACTGAGGGTTTGTTGCCTCTGGCTGGGACTGGATCTGGATATCGTTCTGGCGATTACCGTGCAACATGGCAGACCCAGTGACTGTGTCAAAGGTCACGGTGAGAATGGAATTGTCTAGCTGTAACTGGCGTTCTGGAGTGGCGAGGTGGCCCACAGCCACAGGCTGTAGATTTGTAAACTGGGTCCCAGCTGCTGTTGTGATTGGAGTAACACTGATATTGGTCAGACCAACAGAGCTAGAAGGCGTGGCAACACTGGGGTCTCCAAGGGTTACCACCACCTGAGGAGAGAGAGAATTGAAAACCAACATTTACAAAGGCTGCAATGATCAAATAAATGTTTGTTGCAGAAACATGTGCTGTGAGTGACAGTCAACTTGGTTAGCGGTTTCTGCTGGTGAGAACCAGTGCATCAGATGGAGGAAAGAAGCTCAGAACATAATGGAACATTGTCAGGCATGTGTCCTGCAAAAGTTTGAGATGAACATGATTACAGAACAGGTAACCAAAATAAGACAGGTGGGGTACAGATGATTCCTCATCCAGCCCTCCATGGGCGAATGACAAAGAGGAGGCATGGCTACACCCACTGATATAATTTTGTTTCCAGCGGTGAAGCCAACTGGATATTCCATTCTGCACACACTCCAGGAACTGATTTTGCTGTGTGTAGACTTTTCCCCACTGAAGAAAGTCCAGATGCTTTCAGCAGTGAATGGTCTCTCCCATCAGATCAACAACACCAAGCATTTCACAAATTCTTACGTAGCTACCCTACTGCAAACTCCATATGCTTATTAAAATCCCTTGTAATATTCCCAGCATCTACAATCACTTTTATTCTCCCCTTCCTTTGTACATGGTGCTCACCTGCTGAATGCTTTGTACAGCTGAATTGGTTTCATCACCAACATTCCCTGTGAATTCCACTTCTTTTTCCGTATATTCACTGAAAGCAGAATCCTCAGGCACTTGGGTTTCCTCCTCTTCACCAGACTTATGTTTTCGTTTGTGGCCACGTTTATGAGATTTCATGTGTTTGCCTTCAGGTAACTCTCCCTGTTCCAGGGCTAGGTCTGACTATAAGGACAGAATTTTCAATAAATGCAATGTCACTGATCCTCTTCAACATTTACTTTTCTTTCACAAAAGAACCTCAAGAATAAACTCCAGGCTGAAATTGCTGGATTAAAAAATTATCAGCAGGTTTGATTCTCTTTGTTTAGGGCCCAATTAAAAAAATGCCTCTCTCTCATGCTACTTGTGTTAAATTGGCACAACACTGCTTGAATGACCAAATTATCAGTAATTACTGCAGTTCTGAGTGAGGACTGAACTTATACGTATATACAAAATACATGCCTGGAGGAATTTTGTCCATGGGGTCGCGATGGGTCGGACACGACTTCGCGACTAACAACAACAACAACACAAAATACATAGAAATGTCACAGAATTCCCTCTTGCATTTCATGGCCTTCCATGGCCTTTATATTTCTTTTTCACCTATACTGATGCATGTCTGTCATTCAGGGATAAGACTTCAGGCATCTGGTAAAATGGGCTTTAAATCCATGAAATGGTGTGACATAACGCAACTATTAATCTCAAGATGCCACAAGACTCTTTTCTAATTTCATGCAACTGAATTCCATATGGATCTTTCCAAGGAATGGCTGCAAATGACCTTTGGTCTGAAGTAGTTGGAATGCATTTTCAATCTTTGGGAGTCGTGGGTGGTGTACAAAAAATGTGTCAATAGCTTACTGAATTTAAAATCATGAAATTTATCACATGGTTTATGTGTATACTTTTACTTTTAATAAATAGTCATCAATTAGTAAAACAGTGTGTCAGAGTGGATAACTTATTTTGTACCAAAGCTACATCAACAAGGTTTGCTACTGCATTTTTAAAAGGTATTGCTACATGAGGATTAGAAGTGTACACTATAAAATAAAACCTAGAATGCTCAGGATAGTAATCCTCATATGCTGCAATTCATCCACCTCTTTTGTAATTTATGGAAGCAACCAATAATATATAATAGGAAAAGTTGAGGTTGCACAAAGATTTCTTATTTGGCCGTTTGTACTTTACCTGCACAATTCCTATAGAAGAGGCATCCACAGTAGTGGTCTCTGAGAGCTGGTCCAAGTCATCAATCCTAACTGAAAGCACCTGGAAATAAATGTAGACATTCAGGAATAGCGTGCCCAAACAGCATTACTCTACAATCAAGGACAAGGGACAGTTACCTTAATATATAACAGCATGTGGTTGGCTTTATTTTAAATCAGGTAATACAAAACCCTTCTGTATGGCTCCCATGAAGGAACAGCCCAGCCCAGTTTACTGCCTTCACTGAGACTTCCATGCACCAAAACCAAATTCAGTAATACATCTCACTGGGAAGCCAGCTGAAACCCTGAACTGTTCGCCACTATGCTCACCTCTGGGTGCTTTCGCCTCATGTGTCGACTCATGGAAGCTCTCGTAGATACCTTTGTCCCACAGAGCTGACAACTCTGGGCTTCCACCTTATCATGAGTCAGCTGGATGTGCTTCTGAAGCATGTAATCTGTGACATACTTTTTATCACACACAGAGCATGTCCACTGCTTCCCCACTAGGAACAAGTAAAACAAGAAACTTAGTATTTTTCCTCAAGTAGGGCCATGTTTATATTACAACCCTGGCATTTCAGTCAGAATTTTTAAAAGTCAAATTATTTTAAAAAACTAATTTGGAGGAAATGTGTTATACTTTTATAGGCAGGAGACACATATTCACTGATTAAGTTGGACTGGAACAGAGCAAAGGGATGCCAGTGATAAGGGAGAAATGTGAAATTTGCAAGGCTACTATCAGAGTGAACTTGCCATTTGTTATTCGGGCTAACAAAATCAGGGCCATGAGTCATCTTATCGACAGAGTCTATGTCGCTTGCTGGAGAAATGCACATTTTAGCACCCTCTCAAATTTTTGAGCTATCTTGAATAAACTGACATGAAAGAGCATGATTTGCTATTTGACAGAGAAAGAAGTAGTCCCGTGGTACCTTCACGACTAACAAGCTTGTTATAGCACAAGGCAGAGGTGGGCAACCACGTGTGGACTGGCAGCTCCTGACAGATAAACCACAGAGCAGAGAGGCTAGAGCCACAAAGGACTTCTGGTCACTCCTTCATTTTAGCCTAGGAAGGAAGGGAAGGTATCTTGGACTGCATTCAAGAATCTCAAGAAGGAATACATTTGCTAGAGCCAAATGTATGGGCTCCAGGCCCACACTCTGTAGCTTCCACCTTAAGTATAATAAAATTGAGAAGACCTCACAACTGGGAAGACCCAAATTATCTGAAATCTTGGCTTTATAGGTTAAACACATTTTTAAGATGAATGTCATGTAGTTCTGCCAGGCATTTACCTGTGTGAATTAGTTTATGGGTCTCCATTGTATTCCTCTCGCTAAAGGTCTTCCCGCAGAGCTCACACATGAAATCTTTGATCCCTGCTGATTAGAAATTATGTTAAGTACCAAAACTTTATGAAGAACTTTATGGCAAATGAAGTAACTCTTGTGTCACATTAAATCTTTTAAATAAAAAAAATAAAGACTTTGGCATAAGCTGAGAGGACAGAGGAAAATCTTATTCAAAAAATAAATATAATTTCCACTAGGAGAGACTTGTATTCACATAAGCCAAGAAGCCTGTGAAAGGTTCCCCCAAGTTATTGTTAACATTTGTAGAAGTTCATAAAATGGAATTCACTGACAAAGGCCACTTTATGGCAATTCTTGGAGCAATGATATCTACCATTCAGGTTATAAGCACTAAGAATTCCCACTCCACAGTTTACGTATTTTAAGAATGCAGATGTTGTCTTTATTGACAATTTCTTAATTAGCCATTCCATTCCTGTTAGCAGTACTTTGCTTGCTGTAACATGAAAGATGCTGAGCAAAATTACATGAAGATGACTGAAAAAAAAAACGCTAATAATGTGCTTGCATCAACCTCAGTTTGTGTGACTTTGCTACATGCTGTCATCTATTCATCAGGGAACTGGGAATTTTTGTTAAAGGGGTTGAAGCCGGTAAATAACGAAAGTTCCCCTCACTTTATTTACTCAATCAGTTTATAAATTAATGGACAATGACTGGGTTTGCGTAACAATCCGCCATGTGCCTCCAGGCATGCTGGGTTGTCTTGTCATCCATTCTGCGTCTGGTGCCTTACTTTTTGTGAAGCTCCCTTGCCAGTGACCAATGCCCAATGGCACTTTAGAGGGTTTAGTCACCTTAAATAAATAACAACAATGCTTCAAGAGTATGCAGAACATGTTCATGATTGTTACTGTTTTTATATTTGCATGCTCTTCTGCTTTTGCCTGTCCAATATGCCTGATTAATTTCCTTTAATGTTTCAGCTATCAAAGAGAGCAAGTGGAGTAGTTAACACACAAGAAAATTAATGTCATGACATTGCATATAAACTAATTTGCATACCACTGCAAAGGACTGGGGCAGGAAAGGAGGGGTACTATAGCCTGTCAGAAGCACCAACAATTGTTAAGTGGCAAACCATCAAAAATAAAGCAAAGCTGTGACGAGCTCTTTGCTTGTGAGAGGTGGTGGCAAGTCCCCCTATATTCTAAGTCTGGTCTTCACAGTTCTCAGTGTCCTTCATCTTTTCTATCTTTTCCTGAGCATCTAGGTTTCTGACAGAGTTAAACTCAAGTTTTTAGACAGAGACATATGGAGCCCAAATCTGTATATATTCCTGTCAACCCCCCACCCCATCCTGAGAAAATCTGATGGCTGTCAAATCACAGGATAGTCATGCATGTGCAGCCTGGTTTTGTCAATGTTCATGGATGCTGCCTGATTTCATAGCAGGCATTTAGCTACACATTGACCAGATAAGGCTTTAGGACTAATGGAGAGGGAGTGGGGGCAAGCCATGGTGAGCCTAAACATTTGTTGAGTGTACTGTGGCTTGTTCATAGTGTAGGTTGTGTCCTAAGGAGCATCTCAAAGTGATTAAAATGTAAAATTCTAAAACACACAACATCCAGTTAAAACATGTTCAAAATTGGAAAGTAACAATGAACAAACTGGGAGGCATAATCAGTCAGGAAACAGGTAGGGCTTTAGCTGGCAGTGCCTAACACATGCCATAGTTGCTTCCTTGCACATGTCAAGAGAGAGGGCATTCCACCATATGGGCGCCACTAGAGAGAAAGTTCCCTGTCAGACTGCTGCTATGCATACTTCTCTAAGAACCACAGCCTTTATATTCAGACTGAAAATTAAGCTTTCAGTTGTCATGGAGATAAATAAAATCGAATTTATAGAAAGAAGCTGTTCCTAAGCAAATGTGCATAAGACTGGGCTGTAAGAAGTAACAGATGTCACTTGAATTTCCTAGGAAAGAGCAGGACATTCCCTTTTTGCAGAGGGAAGCAGCATGGTATCCGTGGGCATCAAGCCATGCTCTGGGAACTCTTCTTGGTAGCCCATTTAAAAAAAATACTAGTAGCTGGGATTACTGTGCAATGGATCCCTGTTGGTGCTGAAAGCTGTAGCTTCAAATGAGTGGGACTTAGACCCTATCTCTCCCTTGCAGCCAGTTGTCTGGGCAGTGCAGTTGTCCTTCGACATGCCTCCCTTAGCAGCCATTTCATGCAAGGTCCCAAACTGACAAATATGTTTGTTTGTTTGTTTGTTTGTTTGTTTGGAGTTTTTGTATGCCGTCCCATTCGCATGAGCCTCGGGACGGCTTCCAATACAATAAATAAACAAGCATATAAATAGTACATATAAAATAAAATCCAGATTCACCCTGGCTGTAGAATTAAAACCAATAAATAATATTAACAGTTATTAAAATATTGTTTAAATAAAAAGGTCTTGGCCTGGCACCAAAAAACAAATAAATATATCCATGGCCCCAAAGGTTCCTACCCATGTCTTACCGACTTGCAGACAATCTGGTTCACCCTGCCAAAGTTGTATACCTCCTGTCCATGGTGCTCACCTGTATGCCTTTTGTAGTGCTTAAGCATGTTGACTTTCTGTGCAAATTTCCGATGGCACTCAGTGCATTCATACTCCTTTATCCCTTTATGAAGCTTCATGTGGTGGCGCAGCGCATGTTTTGTTTTCATGCCTGCAAAGAATAAAGCTGAGATTAAAGCATCATGGGGAAAGCCTTTCAACACTCTTTGCATAAGCCTCACACAAGGAAAAAGTTGCTGAGCATGCAAAGGTTTGAGCCAATGGTCCTCTCAAAGAGAAAAGGAGTAAAAGCCATTTTGTACATTTTGGCTGAAAAATACCTTTTGAACTACAGTCAGTCTGTATAAAAGTTTTCAAAAGACCTATGATGGAGGACAATAAAAAACCTAAGTGGACTTTCAAAACGCATGTGTTTGCATGTAAGTGCATTTATTTAAGGGATTCTGTTCATTCAGTTGTCGTTTTTTAAGATACAGCCTAGAAGCAGCATTTAAGCCAGCTCTGTGGAATTCAGCTGAAGCAGAAAACGATCACTGAATGGCAAAGGAGCATAAGGCCGTCTTGTCTAAACACACCACTGCAAGGCAGGAACATTCAGAATGCATGCCAGACAGCAGCGTGCAGAGCAAATAGCTGTGGAAAACTCAAGCAAATAAGCTCATCATGTTGATGCAAACACACAAAATGCAGGGCAGTAGATGCTCTTCTGATGACAAGGGTTAAGTTTTTTGATTAAAAAAAATCATGCAGTCCAAAGATCGGTAAGCCACCTTGCATATAGGATGCAACTACATCTGAATATCTTTAAATATTCTGATGAATTGCTTAATTAAAATATCAGAGATCTTACTGTTGTAAGCCGCCCGAAGGCTTCGGCGAATGGGGCGGCATAAAAATGTTTTAATAAATAAATAAAAAATAAATAGTTTGCCAGCTCTCCTCTCTTGAAGCCACATCATAGGGTCAAGAGTCATACTGCGTTTGTCTGGGCATCTTGACTATTCTCAGAGGCTCCTGAACATTTAGGGAGGATGGGCTTGAGATAAACAGCCCAGCTTCTTTCATCTCAGAGTCTGGAGCTCCATATTCCCAGGTCCCCTCTGCCTCCCCTGCTCTTCTGATGAGCCCAGATTGTCGTGAGTTGGGTATCTGCACCAAGAACAATCAGTCCTCTCATTCTCAGCACTACACATGTGGTCCCCTCCTTCCTTGCATCCTCACAATGAGGTCACCCAGTGAGTGTTTTCTTCCTGAGTGGGGATTTGAACCTAGGTATTCCTGGTCTTAGTCTGACAGCATAAGTATCCCACCATTTTTAAAAACTTTTTGGGAGATGGTGCATAACAAAATGAGGCTCCGTAATAAGCAGTCGCTGTAACTGATGTGGTGTACAAGGGAAATATCTCTACTGTCAAAGATGTTCACAGATCAGTGATGCCAAGTGAACAGCATGTTACCTCTGATTTTGTGACAAACCCGGTACTCCTGAGAGGGGCAGAGTAAATAATGCGTCAGCGGCAGCAATGCTAAATTTTCTACTGTATCACTGATCTACCCTTCCAGAAGCATATGGAGAACCAATGAAGAAAAAAGCTGCCAGCTTTGGTCATGCATATGAAGGGCTTGCTGATGGTCAATGAAGATTCATATTATGAAAGTAGTATTTTTCATGGAGCACTACAGTTCTTTAGAGAAATAAGGGGATACTCATACCTTTACCACACTCTGCACACAGATATTCTCGGATATTGTCATGAACTCTCATGTGTTCTTTTAGCATATCCTTCCTTGCAAACGACTTACCACACTGTTCACAAGCATGGCTTTTCACACCTTTAAAAAAGAAAAGGGAAGAGAAGGAAATTGTTACTTGAACAAAGGTCCGAGAAGGGAAGTCTCTGTTTTACATGCAAGTTTTTTTAAAGCCCCAATTTACCCCTTTCAGCATTTTTACAAAGCAGCCAGCCATCCCACTCTAAAACCAAAGTGTTTTAAGAAAATATGTGAAATAGAATAGAAACAGAAAAGTTAAGGTTAACTGTAATGCAAAGGATTCTCTGACTGCTGTCAAAAAGGTTGTAAAGTGTGATAAATAACAAAAGGTTTGGCAAAAAAGCAAAACCAGAAAGGAAGGGAGGAACAAGAGAGATATGGAGAAAAACAATATTAGAGTGACTGAAGGATACAACTGGAAACTGGGAGGCTAAATTGAGTCCTGCAGTGGGAGGTTACAGAAGTGACTAAGACATCCTTCTGGCTGAGAGGGCTGGGAAACCCCCACCCATTAAGGCAGGGGCTGGGGAAGAGGCGGCCAGCCAGTTTCCTCACCTCCTCCAGCAAGGGATGAGGCAGCGTTTATTTTTCCCAAACTCCTGTCTAGCTCTGCCCATCCTAAGTTATCTCATCACTGCTCCTTGCTAAGAGGGCAGCAACCACAGTGAAGAGAGGAGTGGTGTGGAAAGAGCCAAGCAATGCACAACACAATGTGCGAAGTGCAGCAGGGTGGGGTCTTCTGGCAAATTGTGCCTATTGTGCCATCTCTATGCCAGGGTGGTCAACTCATGGCCCTTCAGATGTTTTGACCTACAGCACCTCTCAATCTTAGCACAATCGATGGTAAAGGAACTTGAAAACTGTGGCCAAAAGGTCTGGAGGGCAGATTAATGGACTTGTGAACATCTTGAAGGATCCCACCCATTCCCCCCACCCAGGAAATCAGGGGATTTTTAGAAGAATTTTCTCAACACAGAATAAGTCATTACAATCTATTTTCCCGACACACAGAATTTAATCACAGAATTAAAAAGCAGCAGAAGAACAAAATCTTTGTTATTAAGAGAACAGTAATAAAACAAGTCTACCTGTATGAATAAGTTTATGCCGTTCTAAATTCCCTATGCTGTTAAAAATCCTTCCACAGATTTCACATGGATGGATATATCTAAAATAGGAAATAAAGATCAGCTAGTAACATCCTTTTCTGATTAACTGAAAATCTATATGCTCAATTGTGTACTCTTCTTTGAAAAGAATTCAATGAATTTTTGAAATAGTACCACCGTCACTTGGAATTATGCAGAAAATTTAGCTGTGTTGCAGCCCATTTATCTACCAGAAGAGCTCCCACATGGACTCATAGATTCAAGATTTTTGTTCTAAATTTTTTTGCAGACTACAAATGAGCACTGCATTTTGCTTTATATGGTGTTCAGGAATTTTATGTTCTGTATGGATTTATAGTTTTAACATTTGTTATAGGCATATTTTTCAGCCTTGAGATATTAGATATTGTGAACTACCATCAATCTTTGGTTATTGGATCAGACAGAAATGTAATAAATGAATACATATTAAGAAAACACATGCTAACCATATACCTCTCTTGTTAAACTTTCTCATGCTGGCATTTTCCCTTACAAATTCCTGTGAGGTAAGAGCATTCCTATTGCAGAGGAGATAAACTGGGACTAAACCAAAACAGACGAGTTCATACATGTGCCCTGGAAGTAGCAGCTGCTATTTCTCATTCTTTTTCTCCCAGATCTCACACACAAGATATCATCTGAAGCATAAGCCTGTGCTTGCACAGTCTTAATAGTGCCGTATAACTTGTGAAGAGGCACTACCTAACTTGTTTTGCTGCCATTACTGTGATTATCACATTTGAAATCTGCATCCTCCCCACAAAGCGGGGAAGGGGAAACAGGCTGCTGCCTCTGGAAGGCATGTGCGAAAGCACCTAAAACTACTTTCCCAAGGCCAACACATTATGAGGAGAAGCTTTGTGCCAGTGTGCCCTAGGGACCATGTTGTACTCCAACTACATCGCCCTAGTCAGCATGAGAAGCAGTCAGGGATGATGGAAGTTACAGGTCAACAACATCTGGAGAGCTACTTCCCCTCAGTCACTCCTTCCCCTCAGGCCTGCTCCCAACAGCTCTGAGCTAAGCGTTCCTCGCTGTCTCTGAGAATCGCTTCTCAGGTTGCGATCCTGCCTACACTTTCTCATGTACAGGCTATACAGAGGTCAGTGCGATTTACTCACACACAGCTGCCAGAACTGATTTAGTTTGGTCAGACATGTCTGCTTACTTCTGCACATTGGGATCAGGCAAGTTCTCCCGATGAATGACCATGTGTGCGTGGTAAGTTGCCTTCAAGGCAAAGCGTCTATTGCAGATGCTACAGCCATAGCCCTTCTCCTTGTGAACTTCCATGATGTGTTTCAAGTACTCTTTTCCTCGGCCAAACGTCAACTGAAGAATGAAACAATAGTGAATGCACTACACCGGGCAGAGCGGGACACACACTGAGAAACAGGCTAATGCAACTTCGGGATACCCAGCAAAAATAGCCAACAATCAGAAACACTGTCGTGTTGGACAAGGTGAAGTCTCTGCTACAGTTTGCAGAATTCATTTGACAGAACAGAATGTTCAGTGGCTGGGGAACAAAACTGTTGCTGCATCAGGTAATCTTGGCAATTTCCAGGTGTCTCACGACAATGGGTCATCCTCCTTGCAGGGTTGTTTTGCCTAATCTCTTTAAAGGGAGATATCCATGACCTTTTGCTCATACGAATTCCAGCATTCATTCTTCTCTCATACAGGCTAGCCCAGGATACTAGGTCCATCTTCCTGAAGTCAAGTCTCCCCAACATGGCCCAAGGCCTGGGGTTTAGGGTTATGGAGCTAATATTGACATATACACACATTACACTGTCGTCTAGCATCTGTGGTGGAAGGAAACACTGCCAGTTTGGCTGGGATACTCCTCAAATAGATGGCTAAGGTAGAAGGATTCCATAGCGAAAAAGGCAGAAGGAGCAGAGTAAGCAACTGAATGAAAGAAGAATCTGGAAGAAGTGTAGGTATAGAGGCAAGAGGAATTAGGAATTATGAGACAATAAGGGTGTTCTAAAGAAACTTCACAGCACTTAAGATGAAAAGGTGCTGCATGTTTCAGGGAAAGGGAGGAAGAAGTGCTTGGGAAGCTCTCGAGATACACAGGGACTAAAAGAAATAGGATAAAATTGGCAATGACCTGAAATAGTAAGGATCTGAGGACAGGCACCAAGAAAAAAGTCGAACTGAAATAAAAGCATACACCAGACCTAGGAACAGAAAAGTCTGTGTGGTACCGGTAGAGAAGACAGCAAAGGATTTCTGCATCTAGACTGCTGACCCTGACTGGGAGATTCTGCATTCATGGCTTCAGCCTTCTCTGCAACATTGGGACTTGGCAACAAGGGTGAAGAAACAGTGGCCACAGATGTGGCTGGGCTGAATATCACATAACCATTTGAATTATCAGACTTCTAGAATAACAGAAATAAAGAGAATTTGGGACCCCCCCAGCACCACCACACGCACAATGCTGTCTTCCATTCCATGGAAGACGGAACTTTAGCATACACTAAATTAGCAATTTCAGGAAGATTCTGGCTAGTACAAAAATGTCTTATACACACTGAAACATTTATTAGCAGATTGATGACAACTCGATAATAATTCCTATTATCCACCATACCACTCTAATGGCATGAAGTGGCAGCAGCATAGTCTATGTCTGGCAAAAGAGCCTTCACAATCCACCCACATTTGTAAAATTGAGAGGTATTCTGAAGGCAGGACGTTTTAACAAAGCTGTGAGCAAAATGCAGCAGTCTGAAACAAATTAAACTGACATGAAACCCTTCAGATCGATGGCAAGTGGAGACCTACATTCTACAGATCTGTGAACTTTAATGCTTCCACTTTTTTTTTTTTAAAGGAAGTGCCTTGATATTCCATTTAAGAACCTTTGATACTCAGAATACAATATGCTGTGTTGGACCTAGACTTGAACTGAGCAGTGACACCATGCTGGAAGGAAGAGTCGAGAAGTGACTTCCATTAGTTCTTCTTTTCCCTGTAGCCCCTTGAAAAGCCAGAAGATTGGGAGTTCTCAGTGACAGCACTGGAGGTGGCACTGGGAGCCAAAGAGGGAACTCATAAAAACTGACTTGCTGCTTCTTTCAGTGGGAGCTTCTGTTGTGTCACAGACTGTTCACAGAAGGGCATGTTTAGAGCCAAACCCAATGCCATTTGTTTTATTTGCTGCCATGGCCTAAGCAAAAAACCCCATTTAATTACTTACAAAGTAAACAGTAGTCATTCTACCTTGTTGGTTCATTGAAAAAGATATGAAAACATGAAAACAGAATCTGTTACAGGCTAAAAAGTGCCTTGGACATATCAGTATTCTTCTTTCCTTTCTTGCCTCCTGTTGCTACCATTGCTCTCCACTCAACAATTCTTCTCTGACTCAGTCCTAAATGGTATTTCAAGGTCAGATTTCCCCCTTAAAAACATTATAATAATATTTATCTAAACTTAAGTAAATTTCTTTGTTATAGTTATTAATAAATGTATTATACATCATACCAGACAAACAGAATTGTCTCAACTTGCCTTGGTAATCTAAGATATCATCTTGTAATTTCATCTGTAACATTATGTGCTACGTGTATCAATTATTGTAATAGTCGTAACTCTTATGACTAACTCTTGTTTAGCTTATTAATGCTGTTTTCATTTGTGAAAACAAAAATTCTACCAAATTAATTCTGGATTTTATCCAGAAATTATTTAGCATGCAATACATTAACTCAGGCAGCAAAAAATTTGAGGAGTTGGTGCTGAGCTGGAATAGGAATTATAATTCTTTATTATTGAAATCTGCACTATGATGGTGTTCGGACACTTTGGAAGCACCAACATGTCCCATATGTTCTTCCATAAGTCTGTAAGGATTTGGAACACTCTCAGGGACTTGTCAGTCTGTGGGTTAAGGCTCCAGGTTAGCCGCCCACAGAATTGAAGGCAAAAAATCCCTAAATTTTTAATCACACATAAATACCCCCCATGATCTTATATGGAAAAATTAAAATATACAAATGGAGATTTCCAGTCTGCAGCATCTATCCTGTTTATTTCAATGGAGGAACCAGGTTTTCATTAAGTGCATTTTTTCCATGTGCAGATCTTCTCTTTCCACTGAGATGAATGCTACGGCCTTTGTGTGCAGGACCAATATGCAGAGCAGAACAGACAGAGATCTCTGGACTAACACGGCTGAATATTTTCGATCTTTCTCATGGCAACTCTCCAAATGACCCTGCCCCACCACAAAATGTTTGAAAGGAGTAAAACTACCTGGCACCTTTTGCAGCTATACTTGTGAGGCTCAGAGTCCACACTCCCATCTGAGTTTTCATCATTTTCCTCTGAAGAGATTCCAATCTTGCCAATGAACTCCTCCCTCTGGTGGTCATCCATGATTGCTATGTCCTAGGCAGAGTGGAGGTACAAAGTCAAAATCAAACAACACAGATGTAATGATTGTGCTAAGTCCTCCAGAATAAGAATCAACAAGAGCCTTGCTTGTTTCTTAGTTGAACTTGTGTTAATAACAAAACAGACTGTCCAGAGAAAGGCTTGCTGTTCCATTCCAGGGGACAAGTTTCAACAAAATAGCTAAATAAGAAAATGTTGTAAGCCGTCCAGAAACTTTTAGTAATGGGACGGCATAGAAAAACTTTGAATGAATGAATGAATGAATGAATGAATGGTCTTGCTGCTTAAATACCAGCAAAAGAAGGTATTTTCATCAACAACCACAAAAGTATTACATCACTGAATCTGTTTTCTGGTTTTCTTTTTACAGGTATTAACTATTACATCTTACTCACACTGAAAGACAAATACAGAACACAAAATCTCATCTTCTTCTCCACTCTGCCACTATGTTTCCTTCTTATTCTGAATCTCATTATAGGAACCATAACTTAATTTCAGAAGGAAAGATTGATATTCAATACATTATATGGTTCAGGATTCAAACATAAGGTGAAGCAACCAATGCCACAATACTGATATGACTTCAAAATTGTACTCAATCAAGGCAATTGTGTTCTTAGGCAGCATGAATGCTTTCCCAGGTCCTTCAGAGTCCCATTCCAAATCCCATTCAACTTCAGTCTAGATTCAAATCACACTGAACACTGTCAAGCATTAAAGAATGTACCTTAAAATGAACATGAATATGATCTCTCAGCACATCTACCCTGAAGAATTTACGGCCACAAATCTCACAGGTGTATTTTTTATCACCATGGGTCAGGAGATGCTTGTTCATATTGCTCCTACATGAAAATATCTGAAGAAGGAAAACAGTTGCAGGTTACTTTTGTCACCTGTCAAATGTGACAGATGCCAACTATCTTTGCTTATTCTTTCAAACACAGTTGAGTGACATTTGAGAAAGGTCTAACTTCTTCCCTTAACAGATTAGCACAGAAATGACATAAGGTAAGGAATGATAAACAATTACTTTCAGTTTATTTCAGTGGCTTCACTTCCAACTCCTGGGTTTAGATGAAGGACAGAATCCTATGCATGATTAGACATAGAAAAGTCCTACAAGTACGAGCATCCCCCAGCCAACCATGCTGGGAAACACTGGGTATTACAGGGCTTTTTCTGTCTAAGCATGCATAGTAGAGTACTCTAAGTGAAGTAATAGGAGGCACACAATTTTTAAATGCCTGAACGATTACTTGGTTGATGCTAGCAGAGGGTCTTAGATTACAGAGATCGCAAACCCCTAACCATGCATGCCCAGGAGTAAGTTGCTGAAGGGTGGCCTCTTCTGGATCTAAAAGTTCCTCCTATCCCCCACACTAGGGTCTCAATCTGAACTGGACTCTGTGGGACTAGTTTAGAGTAAAAATGCAAGGAAGGAAAACCAAGAAACAGCTGCTGGACACAGAGTGAAGCTCTGGCCCTCAGAATTAGAAACAATAGTTCCACTAAGCAAGCGAGTAAGGAATCCTACCTTTCCACACACAGGGCATGCAGAAGGCTCTTTCTTGTAGCGAACCATGTTCTCCGTACTGTGCTCAAAGTCCTCCCGTTTCACACGCCTTACTCCTTAAGGTAACCGTTCCCACCAAAAAGGACAAACATAAAATAAGACATGCTTTCTGCTTCAATCCATACTATTTTCATATGAATAAAAACATAATAGAAACTACAAAAATGCATAATAGTGACACCCTTTATATAATCAGATATGCTTTACATTAAATCTGCACTATATTGCACTGGGAGGTAGTACCTTGCCTGAGCCAATACATTTTGAGTATTAGAATTAGCAAAAAGTGCCTGGCACATGCCTTGGTTGAAGCAAGCCACTGTGGCTTACTTCAGCTACAGCCATCATGTCAACTGCATGAGTGCAAAGGACTCTTGACTGAACAGGTCCTGTGTGGTTACTGTAGCAGGTATAAGGGTAAAAAATGAGCGATGAAATCATAATGAAAATAGTTTGCAAGTTTGTTTTTAGCGTTTGATTAACAGCTTTCAGAATACACAGTAATATGAGCTCTTGAGTAAACCAGAGAATCAGTTGTTGAGAAGGCACTACAAGGAATGGGTGTTCATACTAGATATTTTTGAACTGCAATTGTTTACTCTTAGCACTGGCTTCAGCAGAAAGGTACTTCACTCTACTGTGCTGTTTACTCCAATGTAGAAAAAGGAGCTATCTTAGACCCTTGTACTGAATAAAGGTGTATGGATGATGTAAAGAAATTCTATCCAGGCATTTTTCCCTAGGAGGGCAAAAGTAGTTGCACTTAACTTTTGATAGACATCCATGTCTTTGAAGCCTCCCAAGCAAACCTCAGTAATTGAATACTAACTGTCTGATGTCAGCTGCAAACTTTCTAGTGATGTAAGCCATATCTAGCAGCAAATTGACAATGCAAATATATTACATCTTTTCTCTTGCTTATACTAGCTTCCAACTATAACAATTATTGCTTTCATATGCACAAAGAAACTCTTCCAAAAGCCTTATGCAAGACATGTAAGAGATTGTAATATAAAAATGGTCCTTCATGAACACTTCTTAAATCTCACTCCAAATCTCACTCTTAAATCTCACTCACTTAAATCTCACTCACTCAGGTTACACCTGAATAATTCAAAGCCTTCTTGCACTCTATGCCAGTGGTTCATTACCATAAATGATAAAAAAGAACATTCTAAGTTTAGAATGATTACTAACATTCAAATAAAAACACTGCTCAAGATCCCACTCTGAACCAGTTCCAGGAAGGAATCCATCAGAAATGCACTTGCCTTCCAGATGTCGCCTCTGGTGATCCAACATGACATCTTTCCGATAGAACAACTTGTTGCAGATCTCACAAGCAAATTTCTTGTCCCCATGTTTCTTTTTGTGTTTTGAGAGGTTGCTGTTTGTGGAAAAGAATCTGAAGCACATCTCACACTGAAATGTCTTGTCATCTGCAAGAAAGGGGTAAAAAGAACAAGTGTCCCAAACAGCTCTCTTTGTTTGCTTTGTAACCACAGAGTTACCACTTTAAGGACATACCCGTTGAGTTGTACAACTCAGCAGAGGCTGCCCCTTTGCAACCAGCAAGCAGCTTCCACTGCATTCCCCATATGAAACTCTTAACTCTTTTCTCCCATACATAGCTCTGACATCTGCTTGTACTGTGCTGCCACCTATCTTAGGCTCCTGAGCGGAGCAAGTATGAGAGATCCTGTTTGGCATGCATTCAAAGACTTTATTACCCAGAATCCAGTGTGGATCAACACAGATGATTCCGTGCCAAAGCACCCTGGCACAGAATGAAAGTAAGATGATTTGGGGCAGCAAGAGCCTGGCTTCCCCAGCCTGGTGTCCTTGTGATGTGCAGGCTTAAACTCTCACAAGCCCTAGGGAACAACACAAGGGAAGTGGGCATTGTAGGCCAGCTCACTAGAAGGTACCAGATTGGGCTGGCATGAGTCATCAAAACTATTGTGTTAAAAGTTCAGGTTGTGGCAGTGGTACAGAACTTTATCCTAAAAGTTTACATTGTAGATAAATATTTTAAAAATATTTTATTTGATGACTAGCTTACCTGTTCTACAGTTGTGGAATTCTAATGCACTTTCTATCCTAAAAGCTTTTTCACAGGTAGTGCACCTGAACCTGTACTCATTATCAACCTGCAGAGACAAAAAGAAGAAAATGCAAAAGAAAGTGAAATATATATATGCATACATATAATGTTTATTGGTTTTATCCTTGTTTTTATTACTATTTTAGATGCAGTGTGCTGTGTGTTGTTGTTATGGTTTTGTTCTTGGTTTTCTGTTCCTTGTAAGCCATTCAGAGACTTTAATAATGGATGGCATAGAAAAATTTTAAACAAACAAACAAACAAGTATATAGATTTTAAAAACCATTATTTGTTCCCATGACAGCTGCATTCCCCAGCTCCAAAATATTTCATAGAATTTAAGACACTTTGAACCTGTAAGAAGAGTTTCTATGGTTATTTCTAAGCTTGTAGAAAAGTAGAGGCCCCAGATTCATCAGTAAACAAAATAACTTTGGGCACAGTCCCCTGGTCCCTGAAAAGGTGTCCCAGTGCTATATGATACTGCAGAGCTGCTTGTCAACTCAGAAGAGAGAACCACTGGGGAGGTGGTCTTACTGTGGCCCCTCTACTGTGTAATTCTGCCAACAGAGGGGCAACAGAGGGGTATTCCGGGAGTGTATTGTCCACAGGTCATGAGAGGGTTTGGATCTGCAGAAGCCAAATGTCTTCTATTCCTCTGACACGATCCTGGAAATAAGGAGAAAAATATCCCAGCAACAAAGCTGGAAGGGAAAAAAAACCCTTTGCTTTTTCCCTCACTGGGGTAAACCAGGCAGTGCCTGAGAAGCAGTGGTTCCTCAGCCATCTTCCTCCTTTCCTGTCCTACTGTATGGCAAGGAGAAGGCCCAGTCCAAACTTAGGAGATGCTCCTCAACAGTGCTACATAATTCACTCCCCACCCCACCAACAGTTTGCTGATACAGACCCATACTAACCTCATTCCTGCTGTGTTTGTACGAAACATGCTGCTTCAAGCTCTCTTTTCGACTGAAGAGCTTGGCACATTCCTCACATTTGAACAATTTGTCACCTAAAGGCTCAATCACAACAAGACAGAATCAGGTCATCTGTTTCTCAGACTGGAATAACTGCAGAATAACTAAGAATTCATTCTGACATACACCGAATAGTCATAAAACAGTCTCCAAAATTTTGAATGGACCCCACAGATATCATTTTGCATTGGAGTTGCCCTTAGCTGCCAGTCTGCTCATGCTTCTGTATAATACAAATTAAGCATTTAGATTAGCACTATAGGTAACACTTCTTCCTTACTAGCAATCTACCACTGATATCACTGGAGTATAAACAAGCTTTATTGGATAAGACAAATGCAAAATATATCAGAATTGCACATTTTACAAAGTTATGTATATAACTGCATAATTGCAATTACACAGAGGAAGCAATGCTATGTTCATTAAAATGGAAGTAAGTCCCACTGAGCTCAAGGGGGGGTTACTCCTGAGCAGACATATATAGGATTGCACAGTAAATATTAGTAACATTATACAAGCAGTATATAATGAAATACTTCTTCACCCAGAGCTTAGTTAAACTATGGAATTCACACCCACAGGCTGTAGTGATGGCTACAGATACGGGTGGCGTTAAAGGGGATTGGTCAGATTCGAGGAGGAGAAGGTTATCAATGGCTACCAGTCCTGGTAGATAAATGCAACCACCAGTATCAGAGGCAGCAGGGGAACTTGGGCAGGAGGGTGGTGTTGCACATGCATCCTTCTCACAGGTTTCCTGTGGGCGGGTGGTTTGCAATGATGGTGAACTAGATGGGCCACTGGTCTGAACCTGCATGGCTCTTCTTATGTTATTTCTACCAGCACCTCTACTCATTGTGGAACAACAGAAGGTGATAGCCAGTGTTGTACGAGTGGAAGGCGATTCATGCAGCAGAACTTTTCCATCTCCCTTGCATCCCACCCCACCAAGAAGAACACTCCGGAGAGAAGGGGGAGCTTGTGGGCTATGAGTGAGCGTCAACAGGAGGGAAGACTTGCCTGAAACTGGGTAGGGAAAGATCCTCCTAAACATTTGGAATTTTATCATTCTTTGGCCATTCCATTAACATAATTGGTGAACATCTGCAACTGCTTACTGAAGTACCACTCCAGCTTCCCATAACTGAATCATGTTTACTTTTACCTGACATAGATTTGAGAACATTGTAACAATCAGTTTCAGGAGTACTGCAAACCAAACCATGCTGAATTTAAACCCACCATGAGAGCGAATGTGTCTGCTGAGGTTGCTGCTGTTCTGAAACATCTTACTGCATATGTTACACTGATACACTCGCTTGTGTTCCCCAAGTTGCTTGATCAGCTTGCGCCGTATCCCATGCCTGCTGGAGAGAATCAAACTTCTCTTGAAGGACATGGAACTCTGGTGATGAGGAAACCTACCAGATTGGAAAGAATGAGGTCACAAGTGAAGGTTCACCACACCATGGAAGGAATGCCTCTGTGGCCAATTATTATCCATCATTTATGTGCCTTTAATACTGTCGGCACACTGTACAATTCTTAGTTCATTTATGAAACTAAGAGACAGAGAGAGTGCTGGCAGTGGGAGAGAGAGAGTGCTGCCAGTGGGAGGTCTCTCGTGCTAGGCTAGCCTACAGCCCACCCATCTCCATGGGTCTCCCTAAGAAAGATGAACACTGGGCACATGCCACACTGCTCTCACTGCCCCAACACTTCTCGCATCTGAAAGCGTCCCTGTGTCAAAAGCACTCCTCCTCCCTGTCAGCTTCCATGGGGGGCTCCCTTCAATGTTGCAGTCCCCCAGATGGCATCTAGGAGATATGGCATCTGCACAGGAACTCAGGCTTGCCTGCTGCACAGGTGGAGCAGATATGAGACAGGAGCATGTTCAGTGAGTTTTATGGCTAAGCATGGATTAGAACTATATCATGCAATATAGCCTTCTCCAGCCAGATGCCTTCAAGATGTGATGCACTATAACACCCAATATCCTGAGCCAGCATGGATATTGGCTTTGCTGGCTAGGGATGATGAAAATTGGAAAGAAAAGAAAGTCCTACAACTCCTGGCATTCCTCAGCCATTCCACTGGGGAATTCTGGGACCTGGAGGACTTTATTTCTTCCTCAACATGCATCAGATTGCACCCATAATCAGTTTTACTTCACCTAGGATTTACAAATGAAGTCCTGGATATAAAGTGGAAGGATTTGTGAACAATTCTGTATTTGGTACCTTTCTGAGCAGGTTTGTTAAAGGACCTTCTTTAAATGTTTAAATGTTGCCCAACTTAATTTGAAAGACTAAGCAAAGATAGCTGGCATCCCCACCCTATGACAAGTGGCAAAAGTAATCTACAAACACTTTCCTTCTCCAGATAAAGCAACAAGAAATTTTTAAAAGGTTGTGCATTGTATTATTTCACTTTGGGAACTGTAATAGTGCTGAGAGCTGTAGGATTTGCTCTGTCTAAACAGGGATAGAATTGGACTTTCTATTCTATTTTTATAAAAATAGAACTATCTATGACTGTGCTTTTGATAATTTTTTCATGTTACATTATGTTCAAGATAAGAAAAAATCTGTTGTTCTATATCATCATCAAATCAGATGAAAAGGTAGTGGACCATGATAAGGAAGCACGGCATGTCACCACATGCCTTTTCCACTTGAGGAGGGACTTACTTTGTTATAGAATTTATACTGTTTGCAGTACTAGGCAGCTTCCCTAACACCAACTCCATAATCCTTTCTTCTGCTGGAGACGGAAGGGCTGCATCATCAGGTGGAATCTCCGTAATAATTTCAGCAACATGCTCCACTGTTAATTGAATTTATTGTTACCAAGACAAGATTAGTAAATTGTGAAGCATAAATACAACCATGCAAAATATTGAGGTTGATGGTTCTTTTCTAGTCTGGCTCAGCCAAAGATGATCCACAACACAATCTTAAGCATGTTTACATGAAAGTTGCTCTAGTTTCAACTGGATTTACTCCTGTGTAGTTTTGCACAGGACTGCAGCCTTAATATCATTTGGTCCATTTAATTCAGTGGAATTTAATCAGTTTAAACCCATGTTCTCATCCCTGATTGAGGCACACATTCAATTACCCAGAGAGTTGAGAATTACTTCAGCTGTGAAAGTTATGTTTGATCCAGCAATAAGCAAATATGAGAGAACAAATATGCAGTGAAAGCAGCCAATGCATCGCATCCCCCTGAATTTATCTGAGAAGCAATCATGTGTGATATAATTTATATCACACAGCAAAATAGTAGTAATCCTGTAATTTTTCTGTCAGATACGGGGTGGGTGGTAATGTGATTAAAGTCAACAAAGAGAGAGATAAAAGTGGGGCAGTCATGTTCTGTTTTAGAGGGAGTGCTCATGGCTCAGCTTTATTTAGTTATATTTCTCTACCACCCAATAGCTGAAGGACTCTGGGTATCGCACAACAATTGATAAAGTGCTCAGACTTTGTATCAAGAAGGTCTCGGGCTCAGTCTCTTCAATTAAAAGAGGGAACCTTTTTCAGCACAAGGGTTATATTCCCTCATGGTGACCTGGTGGCAGGGACAAAACAAATGGCTGAGTGTGGAGGACTCATTTTTTCAGTCACACACTCATATCCATGTACAATACACGTGCAGAAACCGATTCATTCTCCCCAGACAAATGAAGCACTTAGGCTTTCTTTGATGCCTAACGGCTGGGTGGGTGAGGTGAGGATGTTTCAAGGCCAGGAGTAGTGGCCAAAGGCCAACTGGGAAGGCTCCAAGGGCTGTATCTGGCCTATGGGTGAGAAGTTTTCCACCTGCTGGTTAAAGAAAGTCACTGCTGAAAAAAGAAGCAATGCATGGGCTGCCAACTTGATTTAGTGATGTGCTTTCTCCCTCCACCCTGCCCCACCAAAGCAGCAAGAGAAGGTTCTGTGTCTGCTCAGAATCTGCTGCAGCCAGTGGGGTGACCCTGCCCTGCCATTTGTCCAGAACTAAGCTGCTTCTCAAAGTCACTGCTGGCTCGATGTCCTCCCCATCCTTTACCTGCAGTGGGACTAACAGCAACTATGAGAGAAGAGAACAGCAGCAAAATCTATACTTCTCTCTTCTCAGCCATTCAGATTACCACCAGCAGCCATGCAACTTTGAAACGAAGGGAAAAACTTCAGGGGATCTGGTAAGAGAGCTCCTGTGTTACTGCTGTTTTGTTCCTTAGGTATTGCAGAAGTTGGGAAAGATCTGGGCTCTGCCTGACCCTTTATAGCAGAGGAGTCTGAACCTCTTTCAAACTGAGGGCTGAATTTGATTCTGGAGAAGCTCTTGAGAGACACATTCCAGTGGTGGGGATAGCCAAAGGCAAAAGAATCAAAGCCAAAAATACCAACAAGCTCTTATTGTCAGTCATTGCACCTTAGAAGAGGCATGTCAGCCTTTTAGAATGGGGGAAAAATGGGCAAACCCTGGGAAAGCACGAAGGATCAGAGGTTGGGGAAGGAAGGGTGCGCAGCCAGGGAAAGAATATGTGGCATTCAGGGAGACACCAGAGGGCTGGACTGGAGCTCCAGGTGGGCTGGATTTGTCTTTTGTGCCTGGGTTTTGGCATCCTGCCTTAAAAGAGCTAGAGTCAGTCAAAGGAAGAAGGTAATACTGGGCTAGATGGTTCAAAGGTCCAACTCCTTAAAAGGCAAGTTCAACTTTCACTTGTTACACTTGTAAAGTATAGCATTAGCATAAGATGCAGCTCCACCCAACCTCAAAGCACTTGGCAGGGCAAAATAATCAAATCAAAGATCATGGATAACTACTTTTAGTTACTTCTTGACCTCACCAGAAGGTTCTTTATCATCCACAACAACGAGAGGAGTTTCAACTTTTGCTGTTTTTGGCTTTCTACCCCTTCGGGGTTTTCTTTTCACATCCACCGAGGTGTTGGCACTTTCACAGGTGACAGGCTGGTCTGCAGGGGCAGCCTCCACAGCCTTTCCAGGAACAGCATCACCCTGGTTGCTCTGTGGAGCTCCCTTGGCTTGCTCCGAATGACCCCGCAGATGTTCTGCATGGAAAGAAAGATGATGGGAAGGTAAGCGGGGGCTAACTAAACCTTAGAAGGGCTTCTCTTCAAAGTTACCAAAAGTATATACTATTCCACATATAAGCTTTGTGCAATGCTGTGACAAAGCTCCTAACATTCCTTTGGAATCGTAACTATATCCCACACAGTTCAGGAAACAAATGGCAGCAATTGCTTCAAAACAAAAACAAATACAAACGCCAAGTCAATATTAACCTAATTGTTGTCATATAATGGCATTTTAAGAGGCACAAATACGCACTGCAAGTACTATTTTGTCACTTCAGCAATTTTTAACTATGTTAAAAACAGGCCGGCACAAGATATACAATTCCTCTGAAATTCTAGGGGAAAGTCCCATCTATCCTCACTATAGGAGACATGTTTCTTTCTTCTTCAATATGGAACTGAATATTTCTTATGTCAGTTGTTATCATATTTGTAATTTTACATTTTAGGATATTGGGATGGGGTGAAAGAAAAATAAAAAAACATTTTCATACATGGAATTCATATAAAAAACACTTTAAGTTGTTTGTGACCATACTAAAACAAACAATCCTGTAATTTCTGTAAGAAATTTACAGACATTCTAAATTTAATTTAGAAAAGATAAAAATTTGGTAAAGTTTTGATTCTGAGGGAGCAGGTTGAACCTTGAAGTTGTTAACAGTAAATGAATTGTGATCAACAAGACTCAGAGTGACTGTCAAAAGTTTACAGGTCTATTCAAATTGTAAAATATCATTAAAATATTATTTAAATGAAGTTCCATATTCTGTCTTGAAGAGAAACCATATTACAAAGTTATGTGAAAATGTACAGCCAGCAATATTGAAAAGGCTGTGATGAAGGGATTGGGATATTTTTATAGTCTTGATAACATCTAGATTTTCTGAAGAATCTATTTAATCTTCTCATCACCTTAGCTGATTTCTGTTACTGCAGAGGAAGAAATCATTTAGAGAACATCTTCTCATTTTTTTAAGGTCATCTAACATATGGCAGGTTTAACTGAACACTTAATATTTTCTTTAATATCCATTAGTATGTAACAGATAATATTCTTTTTTGCTTTGACAAAACTAGAAGAAAAGTATAGAAGACTCTTGTTTAAGAAAATATGGACACCATGCTATACGTCTTTAGACAGAAAAAAGCCATACAACTCTTTTCTGCTGGAGCATGCATTTTAGGATTGTGCCCTAAAAGAATGAGAAAACAACTAAACAAATGTTTAGAAATGCATCTGAAACACTGATGCACATAATCAGATATGGACAGTTATTCTATACCTCCACTTGCTACCCTGTGTGTACAAAGAGCTTCCATACCTGAAGGATCCACTTTAGCAGACTGGAAATTCTTTATTGTCTTGAGAGAAAAGACACTGGGATTTGAAGTGCTTTTGTTTCCTTCTTGCTCACATTCCATCACAACTAAACACACATCTGCTAGAGAGATGTTTTTGTTAGTTCACTTTTCTTTATACTTTACACTTTTCTATCTGGAAGGGCTGCAGGACAGTTGAAACTTCCAATTTTAAATCAGGCACACAAGTCAGAGGATCATTAGGGTTATCAGTGTGGTGCTGGGACAAATGGATAGACACAAAATTTGGTACAGATTCCCCCTCACTCCTCCCACGAAAAAGAAAGGATTAAAATAGTGGCCCGTCCTCTCTGTTTTCTTTTTTTAAAAATAGAAAATGTCACTGAAAGGGCACAAATGGCTGCATGTGAAGTCCTGGATAGCTTGTATTAGCAAGATGGCAGTTCTGCCTATTCAAATCCTTTTCCCCATCAAATCCTTCAATGTCTCTGCCTTTCTGGAGCCCCGCAACCCCACCCCTTGTGCCCCACCACACCGTTCCACAGGGTCCTTTGGCTTTCAAGAGTGGCTGCTGGAGGAATGCTGGGCCTGTGGAGGCAAGGAAGCTTCTGTGCTTGCACAGAGTTCCACTGATCTATCCTCAAATCCAACTCAGTGTGTATGTAGCTTGGTTCTCAAGTGATATAGGAACCAGGGCAAAGGTTTCATACATTTACTTCATGTGGGGAAGATATATGTACAAAGTGGCAAAAGAGCTGAAGATTCAAAGAAAATACTGTCATATAAACTCCCCCACCCTTCCTTTAAAGAGACCAAACGTACCATTGCCGATGCTAGTAACTTGCTTTAGAACGGGCTTTTCCATTTTTTTGGCGTAGAAAGCAGCATACCATACTCGTAACTCAGTTCCAGGTGGGATGTCCCGGGAAGTAGTGAAGTAAATATCATTATCATGCTGGAAGGCAGTCAGGTTCTGATGTTCATATAGGTTGGCTGGCCTCACCATCATCATCCAGTTACAATAATCTTCGTTAGAGGTGTCAAAATACACTGGAGGCCCATCCTTCTGAAAAACCTAACAGACACCCATAGAAATACTAAATATAGACTTAGTACTAACCATCAATAATAAGTAACTCATCGCATATGAATGCAGTTCTTTTACTAGAGCATGTCTTGACCACAAAGTCCCCTGCATTACTGCAGTGTTATGAGAAAAAACCCAAACACACACACAAAACCTGGCTCTTAAGGCACTGGGGCAAGTGATAACATGAACTGACCTTGATTATCATATCTAAAAGCTTCTTGGTTCTTATTCATTTATTTGGCCTCAGCAACCAGCCGATTTCTGATTCATAATTGCTTACATCTTATTACATGTCTGCTTTTGGATTACTGCTGGATTATACAGTCTTGCCTTACAGGACCCCCTTCCCACCTTAGGTTTCACTCCTTCCTGACTTCAAAGAGTTGGTAAAATCTTCATTCTATGTTCCACATGTCTGACTATCAATGCAAATGATGCCCAGTAAGAGCATGAGAACTGTTCTGAAGATCTATCCAGTCCAATACTATGTCAGCAGTAGCCATCTGGATGCCCCAGGAAAGTCAAAAGCACCTTGCCATGGAGACAGCTGTCTCGTTGTTTAAGTGAAGCCTCCAGTCACTGAAGGCAGGCCACTTCTGAACCTGGAAGTTCCGTTCTTAGGCATTGCAGAAGCTTCTATAGGCTGTGAAAATATAGTTTGTCCAATGACTGTGAAGTCCATTGCGTAGTGGAATGCTGCTAGCTTTGATTCCCTGCCATATGATAAACGCAGAAACCAACACATGCTGGCTGCCTGAATCTGCTCTTTGAAAGTAATTAGAAGAACACTGAAATACTTTGCCCCATACTTTATGCAAACAATATTGTAGCTCTGCCTTCCAGTAAAGGAACGAACAGATCATTTTTGTGGCAACTCACTAATCATTACTCAAATAGTGCATAAATACACCTTAGACAGTGGTGGAACCTGGATCCTCTATTTTATAGTGCTAATACATTACAACAAGCTAAACTCAGTACCACTGTACCTTCAACAGAAATGCTGGCTCCTTTTCCAATTTGGTAACTCTCTTGCATTCAAAGGGGCCAAACTGAGTACGTTTTACCAGCTGAGTTATGGCAAAAACACCTTCAGTTCCATCTTCAAGTTGCCTGATCTCCAAGTTGGAAGGAAGGGATGATCTGTGAACATTTTGACCAAATCAGAGAGAAGCATAAATGAACTCTTAGTATCCCTAGAGAGAATAATTTAGCCCACACTGTCCAAAAGAAAAATGGCTAATGTCCGATTCTGTCTATAGGCATCCTACAATGACAAATAACTAACCACTTTACTCTTCTTCCTCAGTACTGTATCACATGAGAACCCATGTGGACAAGTGACAGATTCAGAAAGCCTGGGTTCACATCCCTCTCTAGTGACTGATGCACCACTATCTCTGAGAGCCTCATCCAAAAAATATGATTTTACTAGAAGAAGACAAGTAACTGCCTCACACCATGTCAGAGTATTGTTCATTTAGAATACTTTGTCTAGTTAACTGGCAGGGAATCTACAGGGTCTCAGGCAGAGGTTTCCGATATCACCATTCACCTTCCCATTTGAACTGGGGACATCAATGTTTGAAACTGGGACCTTCTGCAAGCAAAGCATTTCTCCTACAACCATGCTATCTCCATGAAAAGGATTATACAGAAAGCCCTCTCATATTTTCAGGCTTTCTCCTATATTCCTCTTTCCTGTGTACTCTTAAATGACCCCAAGTCTCAAATTTCATAACACATTATGTCACATAGCAACTGTAAACACAAAGGGTTGTATCAAACGGGTGCTATCCAACGTTAGTCTAACTGAAGTCCCATCCATTCCAATGGTTCTACCTTAAAAAAGATCAGCAATCTACAGACTGACATACGTGCACATTATATATAAAATAATTGAAACAACTGATCTTTACATTACTTAATATGTGGATGTTGTTGTTTTAGTTTAGTAGTCATGCCAATGACCAATAAAGAGTATATCCCCTTCTCAAATCATATTCACATTTTCAAACAGCTCTAACTAGTTTGGCTTCTAGTCTTAAACAAAGTCACTTGAGAATTCCTTTTGTGCTGTCCATATGGTACAACTCACATGATCAGCTCTGTTTTTCTCTGTTACTGTGGTAATCCCGGGAAACTACCCTGTACTTCCAAGAAAAAGCTTCTACTTCCAGCCACAAAATTCTATCCTGGCTGCCTTAACTAATGGGAACATTATCCCCAGTGGTGGGAACTTGCAGCAGTCATTCAGAACTGTTTCAGGAGACATTTGGAGTAAGATATGTGTGAATTCTCCAAAACAAATCCAAAGGCATTCCCAGCCCAAGACACAAGCGCTAAGGTTAAACAGAAGGGCAGTGAGAACAGAGGATTCCCTTTTGTAGCTCTGCCAGTCTGGCTCCATTCATTTTAAAAATAAACATGCAGCACACAAAAGTTACATACCTTGCCCTACTTAACACAAAGGAGTCTTTGACAGTTACCACTGGACCAAGCTCTGGACATTCTGAATCATGATACTGATTACAATCTTCACACCCTAGAAGAGGGGAAGAGGAAATGCAGTTTTATTTCTCTCATCTTTCTTGGCAGGTGGCCATGGAGAAAAGTTCCCTCACACTAATTCCAGCTGCTGTGGGTGTTCAATAACACAGTGGCTACAGACTCAGCTGAATTGATAGAATGTTGCAGCTCATCTCAGGGTAACTAGGGATAAATGGAACTTGTATTTATTTCAGATGGTATTTATATCTCAAAGAATATTTGAGAAAATACTGAGAATTTGGGAATAGTATTTGAGAAAGACTATCCCATTTGAGTAAATATCTAAGATAAGTTGTATATCAATAGAAGGAGTAGGAAGCCCAGACTAAGCAAGTTAAAATAGCACTTAGAAAATAACTTTAACATTCTGCAAAACAATATGTGCAAAGCTGGATATGGGTTCTTTTACGTGTTATAAATATATTACTTATTTGCAGCACTTCTGGCACATTATTCTGTAATAATGCTTCAGGAAAGTATGCCTCATGTTATATTTCAAAGCTCTTTAGAACAAATTTTATTACAGCAACTAGAAGTGATCTGAGATTGGGCAACCTTTGGCCCACAGACCTAATCTATCCTGCAGAGGACTGGCCAGTCACTGATCTAAGAGCACATAGGGATGGCCTGGACTCAGCCAAGGCTTGAAAGGACCAGCTCCCACAAGCCCAGTCAACTCCCTTCCTGGGTCACCCATGCTGCAGTGAGGCACCGGAAAGAGGCTTGGCTGGTACTTGCAGAAGTGGGCTCTTGCAAGTGCCAGCCAAGTCATTTTTTCAGTGCAGAGAGAAAAGAGAAAGGTTCTGGTGCTTCATGGGAAGGTGGGGTTCATAGCAGGGCCCTGCTTCCTTGGTGCCATCCAAGCAACCAAGGGGAGGAGGCAACCTGGCCTCCAGACAAAAGTTTGACGCACCTGACTAAGCCTGACTTATATCAGGAAGGGTCATGAATTTGCAGAAGTGAACTGTATATACAGCTATAGTTTCCCTGGCTGTCTTTGTTAGAATACTAGAAATGGCTATGCCAAATGCAACCAGAAAAGTTCCAGTTTCTGTTCTCTGCCATGCTTGCATTCCTCTTCTTTGGATCTATAATGCTTGCATTTCTTTTTAATTTGGATCTGTAATTCATACATCTTAATTCCTTTGTGTGCAGAGGAAGGTTACCTCCAAACCTATCTTTCACTTTTTCAAATGTTAAATCAGTGCACAACCTGCCCAGGGAAGTGTGCTGCCATGAGGATTGTGAAATCTGGCCCTTTGTTGCACCTCACTGTTCTGCTCCCTACTCCTATTTGAAGTCAATCAGTACTTTTCCAAGTTAACATTGCTGCCATCTCAGTGTGCTTACAAAGTACCAATGTCTAGAAACTACTTCACCTGCTGGTAAAAACGGAAACACATCATAGCTTTCAGCAATGCAGAGTCACACATCAGCAAGTTTTGCTTTTGTCTTACTGGCATCTACAAAGCTATTAACTATGTTCTCGATATTGATTTATTGTGAGGTTGCAAAAAGAAAAAGCAGCCACAGTTTCATAACAATTATAGCAAAATCTGTACAAAATGAATCGTATTCCTTGTAAAAGAAGGCTGCTTTGTGGAGGCTGCTTTATTCTAACCACCAGACCACATATTCTTCCCACAGAACTGTGAAAAATTTGCAGTTTCCAAATTGATGCATTTCAAAAGGTGGTGCATTTGAAACTGGGAGTTTGAGGAGATATTTTGCAAATATCCTGGACTGACAGAAAGGCAAAAAAGTGGGTCCTTCGGCAAATCAAGTCAGAACTTTCCCTAGAAGTAACATAACAAAACTGAACCGGTCGTTCTTTGAGCACATCATGAGAAGGCAAGAGAATTATGCTAGGAAAAGTTATGGCATGGGAAGAGGAAGACCAAATATGAGATGAATAAAGGATGCTACACCATTGAGTTTACAAGAGCTGAGTAGGGCTGTCAAAGGCAGACCATTCTGGACAGTATTCATTATATGGTTGCCATAAGCTGGAGATGACTGACAGAACATAACAACAATAACATTAATTAATTAGACACACAAATAACAGATTCTATTTTGCTATGACAGTAGGGTAAGCTATGATTCTATGCTGTTCCCTTAAACATTTACATATGAACATGGTCTCCTCGTTGCCGTCATCTGCCATTTCTGATCTGTGAAAACAAAAGAGAAATGGATATCAGATACTTAAACACTTCCTAAAAATGTTGAGCCACAGAATTATAATGGCTTCTATATAACTGCTAAAAGGCTATAAATACCCAGATCTGTGTGCAGTAATGACCCATATTAAAGTAGACTTTCAGTGTTGACTTCTAAAAGATATGCATTTTATATAAGGTTATATAGAGAATGTGACTCATAAAATTGAAATCTTCTCATCTGCTAATGTTCTTGCTTTGCTATGCATACTATCTAGACTATGACACTAGTAATGATAACATGGATGACAATGTGCAGGTTCTGGGTCCATTCTGTGGGTTGTATGCAATGTTAGAGTAGGTCCACCAAAAGAATAGGATACAAATTCTTGTTAGACTAACACATTCTTATGATTTATAGGTTTCTGCTAAAATCTTGACTATCTCTAAACTGCAATGCAGGACAAGTTTCCTATACAAATATCACTTTCCTAAAGGGAAAAAAACATGCACATCATTAGGTTTATCATGTATGATAAACACACAGATGCTCATTTAATTTCTTATACATGCACTAGAAAGTCTCAGTGGATCCCATTGTGAAGAGGATTAGGGTTAATGTTATTTGAAAAATATTTCAAATATTTCATTTGCAAATTAAAAGCTAGGAACCTGCCCTTGGGGTTACAAAGGAAAAAATAAAATCTTGAAACTATTGTATATGGAATGAAAAGAACCCATATGAAAAATTAAAGTCTCTAAACATGTCTATTTGAAAGCTATTGATCCAAAGATAATTTCATGGGAAACTGTACTAAACACAAGCACAGGCTGGCAAGAAGGAACACACAGCAGGTTAAGAGATAAATTTCCCTGGTATTTTTGGAACAGCAAACACTGTGACGACTGTTGACTCACTTTACTGGAAACACAGCAAGTTTACAATCAGTTATGAGCGACATCTACCATGAATCATATGAATCAAGGTATCACTTTGTTTATTGTTCAAGGGCTCCCTAATCAATATAAGCACACAAGGAGAAGCCATATAATCACCTCAGACTTCCATGCAGCTGTGAGACCGCAACCTCTGCCTTCCTCCACAGACAGAAAATACAGACCACTGCTTCACAGAGCTACCATGGTGTAAGCTTCTAAGGGGCTGCCATAGGTCCCTCTTCATCTGTTTGTGCCTTACATTAGTATGTATCTGGAAGGATACTATTTAATTTAAATTTGCTAAAAATTAGCCATTTATGGTACACAGTTGTCAGGTCTGTGACTGAACAATAATGATTGATACTGATTGATATGGTACACAGAACTTGGGCTCTTATTTTGGAAAGGGTTTTTTAACACTTCTGTATAGTCCTCTAGAAGCAGAGATTGGTTCAGCTTCCTGAATGAAAGTCCCTTGAAGTTTTCTGTATAACAAAACACTCAGTTGGTGAAGTTTCTTTCATAAGATGAGAGCTATGCTTCCAGATGTCCTCCTTCATGGTATTATGCAGGCATGTGAATCTATTCTAAAGGAAACCTTCATGAGCTCAAAACCAAACAGCATGCTGTTGAGTTGAGGACAGTGTTCCCAGATTCTCAGTAAACCTTTACTCTGAAGAAATATAACAATTTCTCACAGGAGTGGCTAGTTTGTTAGTATTAGTCACACATGAATGTAACTGAAGAATAAAAGTATTAGTATTAATGGGAATATAGCACTAGGTAACAAGAACATAAGAACTATCTAATTCTGGAAAAACACTTATTTCTGGAATGGGTTTACACAATAATCCATGGTGGGCTATCATGTTGTATGAACCTGCAATTCTTGCAGGTTTCTTTGCTGGTGGGGGACAAACAATCCACCCATCCAAGACCAGTTCTGGGGTTGTTGTATCTATGATGTGTTGCTGTGCTTTCTGAACCCAAGCAGCCAAGCTCATCATGGGTACAGGAAAGTTGTGACTAAGAGACTTGGCAAGAGCAAGCTGCCACTCTTGCTGAGTTTGCCTGTGCCCCTGCCAGTGACAGCTACCCCCCTGATGCCAAAGCAGTACCATCCCTGCCTCACAAGCCCCTTTTCACTCACTGCAACAACTCCCCCTTTTGACTTTTTCTTCCAGAAATCCCTTTGCAGTATCTCTGAGGCCACAGCCAGTCATAGCCCCTCCAACTGTGAAGTTTAACAACAACAGAGGGGGCTGAATGTTTATATTTATTTCAGAGTCATGTAAGGAGGAAGATGATTTAATGTAAAACCAAACAAACAAATTCAAGAGAGCAAAAGAATATTCATGGAGTTTTTTAAGGAAGCAGTTCTTTAAAGAGGGTTTGGTTATCAAAAGACACTAACTGAAAATGAAGATTCTACATTTCTTTTATTGATAGCAATCAATTTAAACCTTTTAAAAAAGATTTTCAGCCTGGTTGCTGTACATTTAGTTAAGAGGCATGGAGGATCTGTGCAGTTCAGTTCATCTTAATGATCTACAACAGGTGGATACTGTATCATTCAGAAATTACTACTCCAGTGGGCCAGAATAGCTTTCTCCAAACAGCCTGAGGGTGCAGTGCAATTGAGATGCATGCAAGTCTTCAGCCTTGGAGGGTTATGGACCTCCTGTGAAAAGCAGAAGAGACAGCTTCTGCCTCCTTTCTTCTGCACTTCTGCTAGATGACTATATTCTGCCATCTTGGGGGTACTTTGGTAGGGTGTGAGAGAGATGTGGCTACAGAAGATACAGTGTATGACATATCCTAGTCTCTTTCATCTCCTCCCCTTCCTGCCTCCTTGAACACAGCCATTATGGGTCTGATGGGATTTAAAGTCCAATAGCTTCTGGAGGGCTGGATGTTTCCCACCATAACATAGAAGAAAAAGGTGTAAAGATGGGAAGACAAGAATGAAGATGTGGCTGAATATGGTGGACGACACAGAAAAAAAGATAAATTCTTTCCTCCTCGGGGGAGTAGCCCTGCTGCATCAGAGCCACGGTTCATCTAGTCCACCGCTCTGTTCGTAGTGTGAAACCAGCTGCCCGTAAGATCACACAAACGGGACATGTGTGCAACAACACTCTTCCTCTGTGCTCCCAATCAGCTGCTGCACATTCAGAGACAGCATATGGCTATTAGGTCTAGTAGCCATTGATAGCCGCCTTCTCCATTAGTTTGTCCAGCTGGCCAACCTGGTAGCCATCACCAATTCTAAACTTTATTGAACTGTAGTGAATTGCATTGTTGGACTATACACTGTGTACAGAAGTACTTACTTATTCATTACTTAGAACTTTTATTCATACCAGAGTTGCTTCCATGCCTTGATCATTTTAGTTGTTCTTTTTTTGCAGTATCCATTTTATATTTGTTGTGACCAGAACTATACATGGTATTTTAAGTGTGGTTGCACCATAGATATGTGTAACAGAAATGGCAGTGCCCATTTTTATCTTGTTTCTTTCCTAATTATGGCTCCTTTCCAAATTATGGAGTTTGTTTTTTCACAATAGCTGCATATTGGAGCAATGTTTTCATTGAGCTGCCCACCACAACCGCAAGATTTCTTACTTGACCGGTTATGACTAGCTCAGAGACTATCAGCTTATACTTGGAAGTTGGGATTTTTAGTCCCAACATGTATTATTTACACTTGCTTATGCAGAACTGCATTTGCCATTTTGAGGCCCATTCTCCCAGTTTGGAGAGTTCTCACAATCCCTTTGTTTCGACCACCCTAAATTATTTGCAGTCAACAGCAATTTGATCACTTCACTGCGCTTTCCTTCTTCCAGATCATTTATGAATAAACTGAAAAGCACTGATCCCAATGCAGATCATTGTGGGACCACATTGTTTACATCTTTTCATTGGAAGAATTTACCATTAATCCCTGCTTTCTGCCCTTTAACAAGTTATGGATCCATAAGAAGATCTCCTCTCTTATTATTTGGCTGCTCAGGAGTCTTGGGGGTGGTCGACTTTGTAAAAATCCATTAGGAAATCCACTTAAACAATGCCTACAGATTACACCTCTCCAAGAACACTACAAGGTTAATGAGACAGGCATACCTTTCCAGAAGCCCCACCATGACTGAGGCCAGGTGTGGATCAGTAAAGGGATGGAACCCTAGCATGATTTCTGTAGTAGTTAAAAATGGGATGGAGCAGTGCCTCGAAGTGGGACTTTGCTGCACCAGAACCCTCCCCCCCCCGCATATGTCAAGTTTTGCTACAGTCAAGCCCACATGTTTCAAACAGTGACTGCCCCTACCTTTGTCACAAGCATTTTCAGCTGCAACTGAAATGTGGGATAACATACCCTTTTCAAAACAAAAGTAAACACGGCTTCTGCAAAGTATTGCTCCTCTTTGATTGCTGTCAAGGAGAAATTAGTACTGTGAGATCTCCGTGCCAAAGTCAAATTGTGATAAGGAGCATGGACACAACAGGTCTTTCTATGCTATAGCACCTTTTTGCCTTTCACAGAACAGGGGTGGGGGGGGGGGAGACTATGCTGGTAATAAACACCAGTTTTTAATAGGACTGACTTAAGTGTGCATAACTTCAACATATTTTCCAGGGAGAAAGCACCACATCAGTCAGTGAGAGTTACTTTTGAATTATATTACATTTATAGCTCACCTTCCTTCCTCTTTCAAGGAACACGAAGTGGCTGACATATTCCCTCCATGCAGTTATTCTCATAACAACCTTGTGAAGTAGGTTAAGCTGAAAGTGAGTAACTGGCCCAGTCTCCCAATTAGTTTCATGGCTGAGAAGGGACTAAAACCAGCACTTCATGTCCCAAAAGCCAACCATTACACCCCACTGGCTCTTTAATGGCATTTTTTCTTAGGGAATTGCAGCTGCAGTCTGTCAGTCCTTGTATGATGGTGGTGTTGCTCTGCTAACATTTAGGGTTGTATTTCACGTTAGCGTTTCCCTGGAGGAGAAACAGAATGTGGTCTGGGGAAGGAACCAACTCATTTTGACAGTGCACAGCCTTCTGCTCCAACTTCCACTAGTGTCACTTGACTCAAAGTACAATTTGTACTGCCTGGGTTCATTCTTCTTTCTTGTACACAAAGTTAGGCTCCAATCTTAGATCTATGTCACAGATCATAAATCCTGTATGATTGATATTATAAATCAATGTTGCTGAAGTGAAATGTATATATTACACCTAGATGCAATATTTCTACATGTGACACTTCTAACTGCTGTGACATTTATAGCTGCCATTATCAGAATAGCTTTTTCATCCCCTCCCACCTTTTTGATATTTTTTAGTACCCCAATTTACTTCTCAGTGCCAGATTCAGAGATACAGCAGAAACTGATGATAATCATTGCACCACCTTTATTTTGCAGACATGAAAATCACATTGATTATTCTACACAACTGCACCAGTCAAATGAACACTGGTCATCAATTTGCACCAATCTATTAATTGCTACATTGTTCTTTAGGCAAAACAGAAGATGAAGTAGAGCTGAGCAACACAAAAAGGAGCATCAGAAGATTCAGAGTGAAGTCATATCCAAATATAGCTGAAAAAATGTAGGCTGACAGTGAGCAAACAATGCAGCACCAATCCCTTGTAAGATTAGAAGCTTTGGAAAAACTGAATTAGTTATGTTAATAGGGGGACTATGAGTGGGTTAATAAATAAATCTATACCTGAATTTGTATAAGCAACAAAATTTACCTTCTTGTTTTTATTTACCTGAGGTGCAATCCTATATAAGTTTAGAAAGCAAAAAGGGCTACAATTCTCAGCAGGTTCCAGCCTGTGGCATGCTGGAAGTTGTTGGCTTGATTTCAGTCTAAAATTTCCTTATTTAACATGGTTATTTTAATTTTAATTCTATGCAAGATGTATGATAGTATTCTGCAGGATTTGGGGGAACTTAAAGTGTCAAACTTCACTGATTCAAGAATGTTTTAGGGTGATACATACAATGCTACTTATGCAGCTTGAAAGTTAAATGCACCAATAATCAAGTATTTTTAATGTGCTTTGAACAGCAACGTATCTGACAAACATGCCACTCCCTTTACATCTAATATCAAGGTGGATGGAATGTGCTTAATATCAACAGTATGATTTGACAGTCCTATACACACTTACCTGGGAGTAAATCCCATTGAACTCAATAAGACTTATCTCCAAGTAGGTATGTATATGATCACACCACAAATGTACTATGGAAAATAAGTATTTTTCTCTGAGATCCATGTAACTATAAGCCAAAGAACAAATATGCATTAAGAACATAAATTCAACAGCTTGAAATAAACATACAATTCCTTTCCAAAATATCGGAGAGCAACATTTAATGATCCTGCTCTTACTTTTCTATATCTGGTTCTTGTAAGTTAGGTATGATGAGGCATACTTATTATTTTTGTCAACCATCAGTAAATGGCATCCCTAAATAGAGGCAGCTCAGAAATCACCCTTTAACAAGCATAGCTACTGTGGAAGCATTTCTACTCAGGGGCCTTTTATAAAAACCAGTTTACTTTAGTTTTCACATTATATTTGAATTTATTTTCAAACACAGATATAAGCCAGGAGACTAACAGTGCAATCTTATGTGCATCTTCTCAGATGCAAGTCTCACCGAATTTATCTGCCCAGGATTGCAGCCTAAAGTCATAGCCTAAAAACCTAATTGCTAAGGCAATTTATGCTGTGGTGTAAAGCCCGCCTGCCAATTCTGCACCAGCCTGTACATGCCACAGGAAGAAATGTTCAACGGTAGTCCTTGTAAATGGAGGACTGGAAAATGCAATCAGATCACTGATGTAGCCCTAATTTTAATATTCAAAAGTTTTATTCTAGCACCATGCCTACTTTGCAGTGAGTGAAACATGGCAAACAGGCATTTTTAACAGAAAACATTTTTAGATGCATTTTGCTACTGCGTAGGTTGGACAAAATGCTTACAGAAGCAGATGTTACTTATTACGACGATCTGCTTCACGTGAATGGAGCCCGAGGATATGATCTGAGGTGTAGGGCATCAAGCGAACCGCTTCCTTATTCCCACAAGGAAGCGTGTTTGATGCGGGGTAGGGGGAGAAGCCCTGTTCCAGGGCGAGCTCCAGACCAACCTTGCCCTAACCAGGCGTGAAGGACTACAACTCTCATCAGCTGCGAGCAATGGCAGTTGTAGTTGGCCACAGCTGGAGGGCGCCAGATTGGAGAAGGCCACTCCAGGCCGTCGCCGTAATGAGCGGGCAGGTTTACACGCCCCTCTCCAGAACAGCGCCCGCTTCGCCACCCTTCGCCAGCCGCAGAGGGGCCGGGCCGGGCGCGACGACGAGGAAGGAGCCGCGCTTCCCGCGCTGGCCCAGCCGCGAGCGCTCTCCGCAGAGGGTGCCGCTCCCTGCCGAGCCGCAGCTCCTTCGCTCCCCCCTCTCCGCACGAGCCCAGCCGTGTCCCCTCCCAGGCCTGGCGCGGGTTTGCGGGAGAAGGGCGGGAGGGAGCCCAGGACGGGGGTAGCGACAGGCGAGCCGCTGTACAGGGAGGAGAGGAGAAGAGGAAGATGCCGACTGGCTAGGCCGGGCCGGCCGGGATCCGGGAGCGGCTCCGCCGGGTTTTGCTTCGGCCCCGCCTCGCCCCCTCCTCGCCGCGCGCGGCCGCCGCCGGCTCCTGCCTGTAACAAAGAACAGGCGGCGTGGAGGAGGCGAGCGCGACGGAGGGGAGGGAGGAGCAGGCGGCGGCGCGATCAGACCGGGGCCCCCGCCACGCCACCTCCGCCGCCGCGGGCAGCCCCGAAAAGCGGGAGGAGGGTGCAGCGCAAGGAGCGAGGGCAGCTCCTGGCAGCGAGGGAGCGGCGCACTGCGAAGCGCAGATTTGCATTACCTGCTTTTGGAATGTCCGCACCCGGATCGAATCCGGACTCCAGGTTCCGATCCGAGCCGGAAGCTACGTTCTACCGGAAGCTGGCGCCTGACGTTGGCAGGGCACCATGGGAATCGTAGTTCAGGGAGAAAGGGGGTGGTAAGGTCTGGCATTCGAGACGGATGGAAGCCGTGAAAGTCGCTTGCTGGGCTGGAAGGGAGCAGCGGCGAGTTCTGCAATAGCAGTCGGCCGTGGGGAGGGGATACGGCTATAAGCCGTGCACTTGGGATGACCGAACACGGATGAAATTCTGGCGTCAGCACGGTGGGGTAGAACCACATTTGGGTAACCCCATTGGAATGAATGGAACTTAAGTTAGGATAGATGGGATCCTAATTCCAGTGCATCTAGCCCCTTATCACTGCTTAGTTTAAGCGGGGTTAATGATAGGCTTGGCACCCACCCTTGATTAGCGGTGCCTGACTTTGGAGAGGACTGACTGGAACACGATTTTAAAAGTCAGCGCGTTTCTTTTGAAAGACTAGAAATGCTAGTGCGACTTTCGGGGGATGACGTAGGACAATCTTCATGGGGCAATGCACATGGTGGATTGGATGTCTTAATGTGTCCCCAAAAGAAAATCTCTCTGCAGGACCTCCAGAACCATATTTAAGTGGGCTTCTCAGGTTGATTGAAATACTGCAGTTCATTCACAGGCAAAGTTCTGTGTGGAGGTTTGATGAAAAATACTTTGAGAAGCAGCGCTCCAACTGGGTTTTGTAAAGTGGCTAACTCATATACTGCTGCACAGGCATATAACAGCCTTCCAGCGTGACTTGAGACAGCTAGGTGAGATTTTTGTTATTGCTGCCACAGGCCAAAATGATTGAGTGACTTGCTGAGTGTGAACTAATTCAAGTAACAGCATCTGCTGAAGGCAATGGACTTAATCACAGTTGTGCTGTTCATTAAGCCAAACAGCATTTTATACTTTTATGCAAATTTGGCAATTACCACCAATATCTGGTATTCCAGACCCTAGACACCACAAACAGCCCAAGGACAAACTTACTAAAAGGAATGCCTGTATTGTGTTGTCACTTTCCCAATAGATGCATTCATATTTCTGTGGATCAACATGTGCTACAAGATTTGCTACTATGGGTTTATTGAGAGATGCAATGATAATTTTTCACATGTTGATTCTGCAATAGTTGAAGGTCTTCCTGAAAATTAAGGTGCCCATCCTAAAATTCAGACTGTGAAGGTGCCATAAAGTAGACCATTCATATGCCGCCTCCTACTTCACATCAACACTAAATCCACTGCACTTTTCTTTACAGGTATCCTAATTGATTGGCAATGCTCTACATCATATAGTTACTTTAGGTATTGGTTGGTAGTTACTTTAGGTACATAACCTAATGTAATGAAAAGCTCAGAGGGAAGAATCACAAATTGCACTAAGTGCTCTATTAACATAGACCAAGCTGGCACAATTTGTGACCCGAAGTCCCAAAGGGAACCTACTAGATAGGCTTGGTATGACATCTTCACACCAATTATTTTTTCACTTCTAAGCAGGGCTCAAAACTAGCAAGTTCTCTCATGACCCCATGTAAGCCTCTCTATATGGTTGGTGAGCAACATTCAGCTTGCAAATCTCTTGCTCAATGAAAGATGTACCTTCTCAGTCACTCCATTTGCCTGACTGGTTGGAAGTTCCAGGGCAGCATCACTGAGCTTAGTATTTCCTGAATAATATAGCTCTGAGGAGTTAAGGGCTTATGTGATGGTTTAGTTATAATATAAGTATAGTCTACTTTTCCTAAAGAAATTGCCTAGTCGCTAATTCTACATGGGATTCCACCAAGGCCACATACTTAGCTAACTCCTGCTGAACTCTTGACTCCCTGTTCAGAACTACAAGCTGTTTTTCTTTCCCCCATCTTTCTGCAGAGCACCTGCATTGTTCATTCAGAAAACCATGCACAGAGTTAAGAAACAGGAGCTTTGTTTGGTCAGGTCCCTGGTCACCCTTTCATAACAAGAAAGCTGACTAAACTCACAACACTATAACACATTCTTGGAGATGATTTTGGCACCTTGTAAGACCTAAAGTCAATTTTTATTATTCTCTTTTACTAAACAGGTCTGGAAAAAGCTAACATGACATTTCCTGTGGGACTGGGGACCAAATTCCATTTTTGTTTTAAAGCAGCAATGGAACAACAATTGTTATCAAGACAGTGATGCTAGAAGAGCGGATTTCCTGCTTTTGTAATGTTCTCTCAAGCTCCTCTTTTGCCTGCAGAGGAAAAATATAACTGCATTCCACTGTACTAATTTCACATAAATTGGTTCACAATGAATTGTTTTAAAAATTGAATCTTGAGTTGTGCCATTAATAAAAGAACCATTGTTGGTTCCATAATCCTGTCCCTTTATACATATGGCATTTTGATTTGCACATGCAAGTATCAGTGTTTGCTTAAACCTTACATTTTTCACATGAAAGATAGCTCTTGCAAGATGCAGTGCTGTGTCCAGGACTCATTCCAGTAGTGCAAAGCTTTGATCCCTTGAAGCAATCCTGGTTTATATTAGTCAAATTTAAGTCCCATTCCTTTCAATGCATCTACTCTAAGTAGGGCAAACACTGAATATCACCTTGTTTTCAAACTTGCAGAAATGCAAAATCCAATATTGTGATTTTGTTTGCACCTCGGCAGGGATGCTTCTAAGGCAACTAAAAGGCAACTTTTGCAACTAAAGTGCCTCTGTCTGTCTGTCTGTCTGTCTCTCTCTCTCTCTCTCTCTCTCTCTCTTACTCTCTCTCTCTCTCTCTCTCTCTCTCTCCCTGTTTTATTCTTGTGTAACCTTTTCACTTCCTCAGGCTATTATCCCCTCCCAGTGCCATGCCGCTGCATAATCCCCCCACCCCTGCCAATCCCTGGCTGCTTTTTTAAAAAAAAGACAAAACACAGACCATTTAGCATACCTTTGGTATTTTTTTCCTCTTTAAAATCTAGTTAACATAGTTTTAAGACTCTAAAATATTTTTTGAAATGTCTTCAAGTATTGTAAGAGATAGAGCAGCAAAGTCCATTTCCTTTTATGCTTTGCATTTCAATCCACTTATGTGCCAACATCAATCAATACAGTAAATGCATAAATGAACATATTTACTATCCATCCTAAATTCATTTGCATGGAAACAAGTCCCATTGATTAAAATGAGCATGAATTCCAAGGAAATGAATCCTTGGAATCCTAAGATCACTATCATAGTGTTTATTATAAAAATGAAGTATTCCATGTAGAAGTTAATTCTCTAGCCACCAATTTATAATGAAATTTCATAACAGAAAACTTGCTCAACATAACTGGAAATAGTTGCTTCATTTCAACAACCTGTTTTTGCATATTAGAAAGCTGTGTCGAAAGCACCCCAACTGTAGCTTATTTAAGTTCTATACCAGGAGTGATACCACTTATCCAAATGAGTGCCATTTCTTTGTTTATTCATTAGATAAAACACCATGTGGTGGTAGTACCACGTTTTGCTTGAAACAGAGCTTGTTTCTGTAGCCCAAAATCAAGCCACATATTCCAAGGCAAATCCCTAAATAGGCAGAATGCTTCAGATAGGTAAGGTTTGGAATTTAAATAGGGAATTCATGTTTAATTATGTTAAAGACTCATATATATACTGACAGTAAGGAAATGCGGAATGCAGTTCCCCATGTTGCTAATTCAAGAAGCAAACCATTTGAAAACTTGAGATACATTCATCTCCTGGACTATTTAATTCCAAAATGGAGTTGAGAAAGAAATGCCTAGAAAAGACTGAACATGCTCTATATAATGTCTTCCTTCATTTTGCTATGACATATTTGTCTAATAAGTTGTAGGCTGCACTAGGTAACTTGCAGCATTGCCGATGTAAATTATCTGTAACACATAGTTTTTTTTAATTATTTATGAGCACATCAGCTTAGAATATAAAACCAGGATTTATCATGATATATGTACAGAAAACCAAAATCTGATTCACAATAAGTATTGTGTAAGTTGCTAGTTTGTAGGGTTACTATTGATCAAAAGCAAGGCTAATTTACACAGCTGTAGTAACTACTTTATCAGGCTACCATATTCAGTATTTTATTTGTCCATAAACATTCTAAGGCTGAAGTCCTGTGTGCATGCACTCTTACCTTGCATTACGTCCCACTGTGTACAGCAGAATTTGACTCTGAGCATGTCTAAGATTGCACTGTAAAGACAATGCATGTCTAAATAGAAAAGAGTCCAAGAATTCCCAGTATCCCCCAGCCTTCATGGTTTCCTGGGCATATTGGAAGTTGTCAGTCCTTTTCTGTTTAAGCATGCATAAGTTGCACCTTAAATTATTTCCCAGTTTAGATCTGCTGGATCAGCATTTCTTACTGTTTCATTCTCCCCTCCCACCAACTCAATACCCTGTTTAAAATTTGTATTGCTATTCTTCACGTTATATTACTTTTTAAAAATACATCCATAATATGCCAGTTATCATACATTCATGCAGACAATTGTCCACTATTAACCCCTAATATTCTTATGTTCAGTTCCAAGTTAAAATACATTTTAAACCTGATTTCTAAATGTAGTGTTTTAGACCAAGGTCCGTTGATTTCAATGAGTACATATCCAAGCAAGCATGGATAAGCCTCAGTTCTTACTATCTTGCAGCTTAAAATAGGCATAAGGCCTCCTCCATTAGTCACAGTCCATGCTTTTTGGCCATCCTGTTCCTTGGGATATCGCATTAGTGATTCTCATTAAGCATATAAGAATTCATATTTCTGTAAACAGCTGGTCATGTGCAGGTCATACAATTTGGCATGTACTAGGTTTTATGCATATGGTTCAACTGATGGGCCATTCAGTTTGCTCTTGCTCTTGAAATGAATTTTCTTATTGAGAATGCGTGTGAGTGTCCCCCCCTTTTTTCGGGTACCATTAGATGGTGGCTGCTGTAAGTAGATGAGGTCATTATGTGACTGGCTCATTCCTGGGTCTTTTTGATGGTGCCGTCGGAGGAAAAATAACTTTGCGCTCTTTTTAAATATTCCACCTGCAACAGTGAAGATGCAAAAGACATTTTAGTTGGAATCATTTGTTACATTTGTTTAAAAGAGTGATATTCCCTGAACAAAGCACTTGCCCTCTTTTCAATCCAATGCCATGTTTCATTTATTACGTTTATATCTGGCCCAATACCCAAGCTGCTGCTGCTGCTGCTATTATTACTACTACAACTACTAGTAGTATTTCATCAGTATTTAGTATGGAAGCAGAAAAATACTAAAACTAAATGTTAGTTAATATACTATAACATGAGTGGTAGTATTTTGAAATGATAGATCTTTTTGAATTTTTAAAGTTCATCAGCTCAGTAATCATTATCACACCCTAACAAAGATAGATCATTAAGTTCTCCCCACAGGGGTGTAGTTCTGTAGCTGAGAAAGTGTTTTTCCAAAGGCCAATTAGTTCAGGGCACTTCTGGCTTGCTGCTTACATAATTAACACTCAATCATTACTCAGAACTAATGAATGAAATATTGTACTACCAGTTTGCCTGAATATTATGTGCCAATATATCAGTCAGTACAGTAATTTCAAAGCATTCCTGAAAACAGAATAAAAATGCAACATGCAATTATTTCCCATCAAAATAGATAGTGAGATAACAGTCGAAATTTAAATCACTTCATGCAAATGTAACTTTCATGCAAAAGAAGTTACATATCACTAACAATCTTACATAGCAACAAAGTAGTGAAGAAAGAAGTTTCCATGTTTTGGCAAGGTGAACCATCAAGTGGTACATTTTATTTATTTCATTTTTATACTGCCCTATAGCCAAAGACTCTCTGAGAAACAAATTTTTCAGTGTGTAAAGAAATAAGAGGCCTGACCTTGCCAAAGTGAAACATCAAATTCCATTGGTTATGAGAATGAACTAAGAATATTTTTCAGTTTCTCAGAAATTGAAGTAAGTTCAGGATATTTAGCTTTAGCTAGATCATGACCCTAGTGGATCAATTTCCAATTATATGACTATTACACCAGGAAATAAGACCTATTAAAGTAATTTTTACAGCAGAATGAACCAGTTTATTACTGGACAAAACACATTTCATGACAGTAAGTCTATACTATTTGGACTAAGTGTTCAGTATTACTTTCTGGAAGGAAAATTTTCAGGTTCTTTTTATTTCCATAATTCCCTAAAATGTATTTAATCCTTCAGGTATATACAGACAGTATAACATATGAGAGATGGCAAAGTAATAGGTGTAATGACAACATACTGCTGAAGGAAAAAGACAGTAAGTGTTCCTTTTGTAATGTGGCTTTATGCACCAAGATATGAAGACCTATTTCACAAAAATGGAACTGTGGTTCTAAATGAAGGATTCTCTTTAGTATATTAAAGATAGCTTTGCAAAAAATTGTGCTTCCATAAATAGATAGTATGAACATGCCACCCAGGGAAGAGCTTCTCTGTCCCAAAGCTACTGCTTATTTGCATATGGTGAAATGTGTGCAATATTTTTTATCAGCTTTAGGCTAAAACCTTTAGGCTAATACATAGCATATTATGTTTCAGGCTCCTGATTCTGCCAAAATTAAGAATATCAAAGTTTTCCCCTCTTCCTCTGAAGGAGAAAGAAGATACAGACTTCTATCAAACTCGGAATTCCTTTTATTACTGGCTAGAGAAACAGGACTATGCATAGATTTAAATATGTTTATGGACTACCATAAAAAGGAAAAGTTTGGGAGGCTGACCCAGTAGGTCTGATGTTTTTTGATGATTGAGTATTTTTTAGTTACTTTCTGTTAGTTTTGTTAGTTAGTAGAAAATAACAGTAAAACTTATTTTTTTTTTTTTAAAGTTTTCCCCTCTTCCTTCATCTGCCTCTCAGAATCTCTGTGGCTTCTCATCTAGAATATTGGACAACAGTGCTCAAAGTATTCTCATTTAATGCTAGTCCTCTACCAGCTCCACTGGTTTCCAGTTGAAGTCCGGGCCCAATTCAAGGTACTGGTTTTAACCTATAAAGCCCTAAATGGCTTGGGACCAGGGTACCTTAAGAAACATTTCCTTCCTTATATGCCTTTATGTCCCTTAAGATCTGCAGGAGAGGCCCTGCTCCAGGAACCCTCCCTGAAGGAGGTAAAAAGGACATTACTTGGACTAGGGCCTTCTCTGCGGTGGCACCCAGATTATGGAATGTGCTCCCCAGAGAGGTTTGTCTGGCACCGAGCCTATATTCTTTTCAGCCCCAGGTCAAAACCTTTTTATTTAAACATCATTTTAAAAATTAGTAATTTTAGTAGCTTAACAGCCGCTTTTGATTTATTGGTTATTTACTATTTTATTGTATTGTTTTATTGATTGTTCTCATTGGATATTGGTTTTAATGTTGTATGCCATCCTGAGACATTCTCGTAAAGGATGGCATACAAATGTTATGAATAAATAAATAAAGCATGAGTGCCAAGGGCCTGTTAATTAGCTATTTGTTTCAGAACTCCTTTAGGCATCTTAAATTAAGGCAGGTGATCACATTTCCAATTCTGTATCTTGCTGGCTAGGGCATTTTTTAGTTTGGGCAGTGTGAGAGATTGTGTTTTTTGACAATCTCTTTGATGACTTGGGAATTGGTGGCTTTGGGATATGGGGAAGCTGGCAAGACATGAACGTCCGTGTCCTTATTTGGGAATTAGCTGGAGTCTAACTCAATTATTCATATGTGTACTAAATACTATTAACCACTACACCATACTAGAGAGCCAGTGTGGTGTAGCGGTTAAGAGCATGGGATTGGGACTCAGACGATCTGAGTGCTCGTCCCCACTCAGCCATGGAGCCAGCTGGGTGACTTTGGGCCAGTCACAGACTCTCAGCCCAACCTACCTCACAGGGTTGTTGTTGTGGGGATAAGATGGAGGAGGAGAATGATGTAAGCTGCCTTGAGCCCTTTGTAGGAAAAAGGCAGGATATAAATCGAAAAATAAGTAAATAAATAAATGTGACTTTCTTTTTCTTTTATGATAACACAGGCTATTCACTTAAATTTTAAACGGCCAAGTTCAAAATTATCACACCCCCACCCACAATTTGGAACAGGAGGAATGCAAAATAGTCATGTGATATGAAAGTTCTTATTGACTCATATCTACAACCTCCTACTGAGAAGAGGGTTTATTCTGGGCTACTGGAATTTGTTCTTGTAACCAGACCTAGAACAGGCTACCATGGTGCATATGGCCCCTTTCTGAATATGCAACCCCCACTCAGGAATTGGCATGTTCATCCCTATATGCCCTCCCACCCCTTAAGCTCTGAGGCAGAGGAGGTTGAAAAAGGTTACGAGACCGAATGCCCGGAAGAGGGCCTTCTCCGCAGTTGATAAAAATCTTTTGATTTGCCCAATATTTTAATATTTAAATTAGGTTTAAATATGGTCATACTCAGTTACATTCGGTTATGCTTGTTATGTTATTGCACTTTGTTGTATTTATTTATTGTTATGATTTATTTATGTTGTAAACCGTCCTAGGATGTTTGTAAAGAACGGGGTAAAAATATAATAAATAAATAAACAGACAAACAGGTAAACCCATGGCCTGCAATGTGGTAGCCATGGGCACCATAGCTCACTGGGACCTGGTCAATGAAACAAGTGACAGTGATAATTGAAACAAGGCCTCAGTCACCTGAGGAACAACCTACTTTCCCCTCACTGCACCTACTACCCCACCCCCTGCTGAGGCAAGCACATCTGTGAGTGGACAGAAGGGCTTCCAAGGTAGCTTTCCATGCAGGCTGAGAATGATGGGATTTGCAATCCCAAACCTCTGGAGGGCATTAGGTTGGTGCAGGCTGTTCCAGATAAAGGATATTGTTTCAAAGCTGTGCTGGGCCCAATAAACTTTCCTCTAATAATGTGTAGCCTGTTCTTCTTTATTAAATGATATACTAGGAAGCCAATTCATACAAGGAAAAGTTCTGTGAGCACAAGAAGAAAATGGATCTATGCAGTAGGAAGAACATTCTTCCCCACAAAAAAGTCATATCTTTGGACTCTTAAGTTGGGTATTAATAACAAAGTACAAAATATATTTACACCGAAAGTTTTATACAGAATAGGTAGATAGATGAATAGATGGAGAGAGCGACAGAGGGGGGAAACACATTGCCATCCCCTTGAAGGATGTGCAGGAGCCCCATTGCTTTAATTTTTGTTGTTGCTGCTGCTGTTTTTGCAAAGGAGGAAAGTTTACATACACACATATCTTTAATTTCTGGCACATATTTTTTCCTCTTGTTCCAAAAGCTGAGCATATAAACTGGGCTACAAGGCATGGCCTTGATGGAAAATATTCTTTTCCACAGGGAAGCTTGGCACACATGATCCTCTGGAACTTGCCATGTTGTTGTTGTTAGTCGCGAAGTTGTATCCAACCCATCGCGACCCCATGGACTACATTCCTCCAGGTCTTCCTGTCCTCCACCATCCCCTGGCGTCCATTTAAGCTCATGGCAGCTGCTTCAGTGACTCCATCCAGCCACCTCATCCTCTGCCGTCCCCTTCTTCTTTTGCCGTCAATTATTCCCAGCATTACGCTCTTCTCCAGGGAGTCCTTCCTTCTCATTAGGTGAACTTGCCATACTTCCATAATAAAGGAGTTCTAGATCAACTGGATTCAGTACACAGATTGTGCAGACTGAAGCCTTGAATGACAAATGCTTCTCAGGAACCATATTCTAAGCTGTTTCACATAACAGCCCTTGGTAGTCTCATGTAGTCCTGCTCCAATTTCATTTGAAAGGGCTGTGGCTGAGATTTAGTCCACTGAAGTTGCGTGCAGGTAGAAGGTGCTGAATTCTTTCCCTATTGCCATCAGTAGCAAAGCTGGTGTTACTGAAATACTGCTTGAGGAGTGAGGACCACAGCAAACAGACCCTTCTTTAGCACCTGGGCTAACACAGGCATGCCTGGGCCTACCAGGGTTGAGACGGCTTCCTTTGTTTTTGTTTCTTTTTTTAAAGATACATTAGAGCAGGGGTCTGCAAACTTTTTCAACAGGGAGCCAGTTGAAAGGTGGTGGTGGTGGGCACAGGCTGGTGTGGTGGGGGTGCCCGTGGATGTGGGCTGGTGAGGCAGCGGCAGTGGCATGTGTGTGGTGAGGCGGTGGGCGCATGCGGCGAGGCGGTGGCTTGCTCACACAGAGATGTCCAAGCAAGTCCAAAACAGTCTCCAAGCGAGCAAGCCGGCAGCGAGTGCACATGCGGCGAGGCAGGCAGCAGCGGGCGTGGGGAGTCCAAAACCTCTGAGTCGGGCTGGATAAATGGGCATGGCGGGTCATGGTTTGAGGACCCATGCATTAGAGTTATGGAGTAGCAAGATGCACGGTTAAAGGTTCTTGTTTTATTATTTTTATTTTATATATTATCCTTTTCTACAACAAACTGGTGCCTACCGTGTTTCCTGAAAGTAAGACCAGGTCTTATATTAATTTTTGCTCCAAAAGACACAATAGGGCTTATTTTCAGGTGATGTCTTATTTTTTTCATGTACAAAAATCTACATTTATTCAAAAACAGTCATGTAATCTTCTTCTGGAACATCATCATAACTCTCCAAACCCCGAATTGTGTTGCAACAGACATATTAAATGTGTCTGTCTAGCTGACGATCTTAACTGGGGCTTATTTTGAGGGTAGGGCTTATATTACGAGCATCCTGAGAAATCATGCTAGGCTTATTTTCCGGTTAGGTCTTAGTTTTGGGGAAACAGGGTATTTCCAAATAAATGTGTTTAGGATCTGGTGAGCAGAAGCAAACTACTTGATTCCTCTACCCATAAAAGTACTATTGGTTATTTAAGTTTAAAATGCAAGATTGCATATACTAACCGGTTGTGGAGGAAAGAGAAAAATATTGTGTCCTTCGCAGCTGATATGTCGCAGTCTAAAAGGGTTCATGGTCTACAGTGAGTCAGCTGAACCCACTGCTCATGACCTTGCCCTTCGCAGTTCCTGCTTTTCATCTATTTGGGCCTATTTATCATATCTGTACTGGTCTGATGAAGAAACATGTTGAGGAAGAGGGCAGAAGCAGTAAACCAAAGGACAGTTCAAGCAACATCCATGTGCTTTTCTGGCACTTTGTCACATGCTCCAAAGTCCTAGCTCTGGATGTTATTGGGACTGATCTACGTTTGAAGAACCAGGACTGCCACCATCTCATGTAGTCTGGGGCCTCAGATGGAATGTTATTGCATATTAAGGATTTCCATGTATTATAAGTGAGAAGATGGGATTGTATCCAAGTCTGAGTGCCCACCCTACACTTCCCCATGCACCCTTCCTTCAAATTTGCTCAGGGCCTGGGGATGATCTGGAACAGATTTAGACGGCATTTGGTGAGCCTGCAGAAGGTAGGAGAACAAGGGGAAATCCTATTGTGCAAGCGGAAGCCTGTTCGTATTACATTGGATTTATGCCAGTTATTCCAATTTTCCTGTGGAAGCTTACTTTGTGTATACTGGCAAATTTGCAAGCTAAGCAGTCTTAAAACTACATTCTATTTCAGAAACTATGTCTATGAGCATGTTTCAGAGGGAAAATAAGCATAGCGAACTGAGAAACAGAAGCAAATTTTTAAAAAGTCTTCATTGTTACATTAAGTGTCTCACAGTAAAGCTATAGGTTCTTAAACATAAGATATAAATAACTTACTGTGTAAGGCAATTAATTCTGGTTGTCATAGTGGTCCACTTACGTTTACAAAGAGATAGGTAAAAAAGATTAAGTCAGAAATATAGGTAGGAGGTAAAATAATTAAGATTCAAAATATGCAAATAGCAAGTTATACCAAGTTCTGTAGCAACATCTTAGAACCTGTAGTTGTAGGATGTGTCTATTCAACACAAACACAACTGTAAACTTCATTGCACTAATGTAAGTGACTAACACGCATTAGTGACGGACATCACAGAAAATCCATCATGTCTGCCAAATCCGTTGGCATTGTGCTAGAAGTCACTTATGCAAGCACAATGGAATTTCTGTTAGTGTTGGCAAAGAATAGGTGTGTTTGAATTTCATTATCTGTTTTTTCTTACTGAGATCTACTCTTTCAATTTAAAATATTTTTTTTTAAATAAGCAAGAAGAATAGCCATGCACACTGAGTGTGTGCGCGTGCGCGTGTGCGTGCGCGTACACAGAGATGCTTGTAACTCTTGTTGTTTCTGCTATCAAAGCCCACATTATAAGGATTTTTTTTTCTCCTGGGAGCAACAGCTTATTCCTTTGAGTATTGCAGCTCTAGTCTTAGGACTGATTCTTGTAGCATGTTGCATGGTATTATGCACCCACTCAAAAATAATGTTATAGGTCTTTTGTTTTAAATTGTTGGTTTTCACTTAATGCCAAACCCATGGTTTGTTTAATCTGTGGGCTGATGAATTATAGATTGTCATGATGTATAAGCCCAGTTTTCCTAACAAACCATAGTAGTTCTAGGTAAATTATTAATCGGAACTACCTTGAAGGAGTTTGTTATAAGGTTATGAAATCTGGGTCCACCCATAACTACCCCATGGGTTGTAGTTATGTGTGAACCAAGAATCATTTGGGATTAGCTTCACCGGGCTAAAGCAACAGTGGGCAAAAGTGGGCAAGAAACCCTGCCGCTCTACATGCCACTGTTACAATGCCACAAAGACTACTGGAATACAAGAAGGAAGCAGAGGAAAGCAATCAACCAAAAACTGAGGGGTGGGTGAAGAGCACAACCGGCTTCACTGGCTGTTCTACAAACCTTAGGCAGGACAACCAGTCATGGGTTAACTAAATCATGCAATAACATTGTGTGTGAACCAGGTCATCATGTGGAATTTTAATTACTCTTGGGTAAGAGTGATATGTGTATGTTGTAATTTTAAAAAGACAATGCATGGCATTCTCATATGTTACATGGTATAGTGCCAGTACATACTTGCATAATGCTAAGGGCTTGAACACATTGATTTTTAACATCTTAAAAGCTGTTCAGAAATATTAGACTGTGTCTGGAGCATTAAATACAACTTTTACCAATGAGATGTTTCTGGGGAAGTTTTTCAAGAACTACTTACTGTCAGAGTAAGACACAAATGTGGAACTTTAAAAAAGACTGATTCAAATCTGCACATCTAAGAAGCTGTATCGATCAGTACATGCATGTATAATTGAAGCCTTTTATGTAGATAGTTATGCAAAGACTTCTATTTTTAAGCGCATAGCTCTGAATGAGGTGCAGTGATGATGATGATGATGATGATGATGATGATGATTTCAATTTACAGCTGAAGTTCTCAGGCTGACATTCACATGTTATATGGCGCAGTGTCATATAACATGTGAATACATTGGTTAAGTCAGAGAGATAAAAACTTAACAGAAAAGTTTATTTACAGATGAAAGCAGACTGTGGAGGCATTACCAATAAGAAGGCATTAATGCAAGTATTCCTTCTTTTTCTCCTTAATGGATCTTCCATGGTAAGGAAGTTGGCAGAAGTAGTACCAGAAAACATAGAAGGGTTATGAGTGGAAAAGAAACATCCACTGGTGAAGGTCATTCGGAGGTTTGGCTGACGAGTCATCAGCACACTGATGACACCCAGCTCTACCTACATCTAATCCAGGTGAGGCAGTGCCTGGCCAGTGTGATGGGCTGCACGAGGGCCAATAAATTGAGATTTAATCTGGATAAGATGGGAGGTCCTGTTGGTGGGTGGCACAGCTTTCCAAATGAGTGATTTTCACCCTGTTCTGGATGGGGTTACGCTACCCCAAGGGACGGGGAGCGTAGTTGGGAGTGTTCCTCAACCCAGAGTTATCCTCGGAGTTCCAAGAGACTGCTGTGATGAGGAGTGCTTTCCATCAGCCTCAGCTGGTCCATCAACTACATCCTTACTTGGATGAGCAGAGCCTGGCAGAAGTGACCCATGCTCTGGCAACAGACTACTGTAATGTGTTCTATGAGGAGCTGCCCTTGAAGATGGTCTGGATTCTTCAGTTGGTCCAGAACAGAGCAGCCAGGGACTGGCAGATATGCTCATAAAGCACCGGTCTTGTATCATCTGCACTGGCTACCAATTGAGGCCTAGGTCCAATTTAAGGTGCTAATTAATATGTAAAAAGCCCAGAACATCTCCTTCTGTATACACCTGCCTGTCCCCTAAGATCCTTGTCTGAGGTCCTTCTTTGAAAGTCCTCTTTGAAGGAGATCAGAAGAGTAGTTACCTGGAGGAGGGCCCTCTCTGTGGTGGCACCCCGGCTCTGGAACCTGCTCCCCAGAGAGGTTTGCCTGGCACCAACGCTTTGTGGTTTTTAATGTTGGTTTTAGTTAGATATTTATCATTCTACTTTGGTGTACTGCCACTGTACTGTTTTGTATGGACATTCTGAGACTTAATCGAAGTGTCCCAAATTAAATAAATAAATACATATATGAAAGAATGATGCCTGGACCCCTCTATACAATTCTGTGAATGAGGGAAAGGCATTATGTGATAAAAGCTTTGTTTGGAAACCCACTTCCCAGAAACCCATACAGTGCAGCAGCTGAGGTTTCACATTCTTAAACGTCAGCAAACTGTTTACGAATGGGAGTCCTTATAGACAAGTCTTTGACTGTACCTTTGGATTTCTTCACAGTTCCAGGCTCTGAGATGCTTATTGAGCTCCCAGACGTCTTATCACAGTCTTGGTCAAGTAGTGCGTTGCTGTGCCATTGCTGACTGCTGTCTAATGTCCAGGCACCATGGCTGTTTTCCTGGGGATCTTCATGGGCAGAAATGGTTTGTGATGGCAAAAGTGATAGTTCTTCATCAGAAGGAGACTGTGTGAGAGTCACTTCAGTGCCGGAAGTGTCATCTTGTTTACATGAGCCATCCATGGCAGCTGCGTAGTCCATCATGAGCGCAGCTTCACTATCCTGAGGTAAATGAGTCTGGAAGAGGAAGACAGAAATATAGATGCAAAAACAAATGTGAATAGCCAAGACGCAACTGATTGAAAACTGCTAGGATCTAATGAGATACTTAAGAAATGCTCAAGCCCTTGTAGGATTTTCTTTTACTCACTCCCTGACACAACCTTTTGTGTTTGAATGGGAGGTCCTTCTGTCCCATCACAATCTATGAGTCACTGCTGTTTGGGAAACACAAGTCCAGAGTCCTTTGGTCTCTGGGCTGGAGCAACAGGAGTGTTCAAAACTTACAGGTATCTTTTTGTTTATAAAAACTCTTATGGATGCAGGAGCTCTTGTAGTGTGGACCCTTCCAACATAGCCAACATTATTTTGTCTGTTCTCTTCCTTTCTTCTTACAGCCTTAATATTTCTTCCACCACCATTTTTACCTTCTATCTGTTTCTCAGACTACATATTATTTTCCTTGATCCATCTTGTGTTTGGATTCTTTTCAACCCTTTTGCATTTCTTCCCATTTAGCCTTCAGATTTTTGCCTACCTCACTAATTCCACTGAACCAAATTCCCCTTCCACTTCCCTCAGAGAAACAGGTCTGATTGAAATAATTCTATTGCTGACAACTTTATTTTCTCAGCAGAAAGAACATGTATGGTATCATAGCAACATCACCCGTGGATGCCAGCGCTTTCACTGTAGCCTCAAAATCTCTTAGGGCTTTGCAACACAGACTCCAATAATGAGATTAGTAGAGGCATCAAGTGCAAGCACGAACTGAAAGCTTTCATTAGGAGAGCTGTACGCAGCATTTGGCTGGCCCTGCATTTTCTTTTTACCTTTCGGGAGAAAGGAAGTCTACTACCTATGTCGCAGACTTTCATTTTAACTTACTGCAGTGAATCATGGATAATTACCTTTTTACTACTTAATGAGAAAACTCTAGCAATACCAGGTGTGACATTTCTGATGCTTCTAGCATTCAAAAGGAATGTTGACACTTCAGGGACTGAGGAAAACAAACAAACAAACAATGCCTGGGTTCACATGTTATGGCAACCCACTGTGGATAACTAGCCATGGTGGGTTGTTGTGTCATGAAACCTGGACTGTTTTTTAGACAATAAACCACCCTGCCAACTAGGGATGCATGAGGAATCTGCTCTGAGCAGAAAATCCATTGGATTCCCTGGTTTCTGCTTCCTGGGCTCCAATCTGCTCTGCAGCAGCCCAGAATTTGAGTTCCTGGTGAGCATGCACAAGGTTCCTGGGGCACATGCAAAGAATCAAGGCCCATACACTGAACAAGCAGCACTATTCCCCCATGCCCACCACTAGTGCTGGCAGCAGTAAGCAGTGAAGAAGGCTGACTGTGGCAGCCAGGACGCTCATTTGCCGTGCCCCTTTTTCCTGGGTGCCAGTGATGATAACCCACAGTGAAGACGGTTGGCCACTGGGAATGAAGGCCAGGTGTGCACCCAGTGGTCAATGAACACTCATGGACTTCTCCCGGTTCAGCATGCTTCCTTAAAGAGGGCAGACACAAGCTGGATTCCAGAGAGGCTTGGCACATCCCTACTGCCAACCCCTGGCTTGTTCCAGGTGACGCTGGACCCACAATGGATTATCATGGTTTCTGAACCTGGGTGAACCAATCTCATCTTGGCCCCAAGAAAGAGACAAGTGAGCTGCTCAGAAAAAATGCACCAGTGACAGCCATTCCACCAAGTGCCCAGGTGGCAGTTCAGTGGAACAGCTGCTGCTTTGCTCTTCTTCTGTATATTATATCCCCTTTTGCAGTCACCACAGCTTTTCCCATCCTTTTTTCCATATATAGCTGTTTGTTATCACTAAAGTGACAGTAACAATCCTTACAAAGTGCAAAGTGATGCATTGGACCAGCAGTCACTAGTTTGCCACCATATATACATGGTGGTGCATGCTCTCTATATACAGAGCATCAGAAATGTGTACAATATTTAGGCTGATTTAAAACAAGTTGAGGGCAATATTTCAGAACTGTTCACGTGCACTACCCCGGCTGTTCAAAATGTGAAGCCCTTCCTGCTTAACATCCTAGTGGATGCCTGCTCTCAAAGTAAGCACCATCAATGAACATTGACAAAGCCAGGCTTCAAATATATGATTCTGCCTCTTTTTTTTGGAGAGCTTTCAAATGGCGATCTCTTCCCAATAAGATCCTCTAGGTTTTAAAGCTGAACCTGACATTCTCAGTGTCCTCCACCTTTCCCAAGCCTCTTGTTACCCGAGAAAATAGGAAAGTACAGCCCACTCCACTTACAGAAGCCCTTACATTTCACAGCTCTCAGAAATAAGATTTTTGTCTTAAAATGGAGCTAAGCAGGGCTTGTTTGTTTTTTGACAGAGTTGTATAGGTATTTCATGGCCCTGAATACCACTGGGAGGATCAAGGAGAAAAGAGTGTGCGAATTGGTGGGGACACCCATTCTGAGCCTGATCATTCCACAAACAATGCACGCTGCATAGCTTAATATGTTGTGTGATCTCAACCAGTATGTTTTAGATCAAAGGTACAGTTGTAAAATGTAATATAAAAATATCAGTGTTTCCAGAAATGTAAGAAGGAATGAAGAAACAACTTCTTCATGTAATGTGTTAAATTATATGAATGATGCTCTTTTCAGGATGATTCATCTCACCTTTGACACCCCTGATATTATGATCGTGCTTTTCTTCCTGGGAGACTTGAGTTTTTGCTTTGCAGATTCACTTAACTGTCGAATGGCTACTTCAGCAACTGGGTCTGTGCCATTCAGCACTAGTAATTCTAGACGGAAAAAAAAACATGCTTAAGAGAGAAACTAGATGCAGGCAATAAATGAATCAAAGCAGGAATATTTTAGTACAGTTAGAAAATGTATTATGTAAACCTAGATTCAACACTTTAGGTACTAACCAATATTTCTGCTACTGTGCTCCATTACTTTGATTCAGCTCTGAGCTTTATATTTGAATTGGGATTATAGAGGCAGGTCAAGTGTCCAAAGTACACACTTAAAGGAAATTTTAATGATTTTTAAACTTATTCAGAGCGTGCAAAAGAAAGGTAAAATTTAAGCGACAGCAGATTATGCAAGGAACTGCCTTATACCAAGCCAGTATACCAGTCAGCCTGTTATAGCTCAGTTCTCTTCTGTGTCAGAGGATTATATACTTTTCCATTCAATAGTTTATAATTGGAGATGCCAGTATGTGGACACTAGAATCGCAGGCATATAATGCAAATTTTCACTTGCTCCTCCCCTAAAATGTTGGAAGGATGCTTATGTTTCACAGTTTATAGCCCACTCATTGTTTAGCACACCAAGTGGTTTGTGTATTGCAGAGATTGTTGGTTATGACAATAGCTGGATATTTGCGCAAAGGGGAAAGACAGAATTAGGAGAAGAAACTCCCCCTATCCCCTTAAGATACTCCAGTAAGAGTCTTAAAACAAAACAAGACAAAACACTCCATTAGTACATGAAATTTTCTGGAGGTACCTCATGCAATTTAACAGTCCCACTGATACCTGTCCTGAGAGCTGACTGGACTCCAGACAACATGTAGTAGCAACCACAAGATGTTTCATTTCTCCTTCAGCCCATTTTCCTATGTGTAATTCATCAGTGTGCTCTTAGCTGTAGGATGAGATGAGGTGCTAGAAAATACTCAAAAAGTCCTTTCACCTTTTCCTCATTAAGAGCAATAATGAAGGACTACTCATCAGCATCACCTCAATGGTTGAAAACCAAAGTGTGCCATTTCTGCCACCTTTTATTAGAAAGAACCACCTCTGCCTTAGAGCAGAGAATCGCTTTTGTTTCCAATTGGTTTTCTGTATTTGCCTTGAATACTATTTTAAAAGTGATTTTAAAAATAAAAGAAGCAAAGGCATGGTGAAAGAGTTCCCCTTCTTTACGTTTTTCAGGAAGTATGTGTTGTTTTTTTTTCAGGAGACCACATCACCACGGGGATATTCAGGAGAAAATTCACTGCACTGGAATTTCTACCACAAAAGCAATCATGTGAACCATCCACATGCAAATGAAATGCTTGTTCATCCCATGTTTTTATAGACTGAAGATTTTGTGGACTTAATTTCACCTGTGCACCACAAAAACAAAAGCAAAATACCTGTATCTGAAGAAGATAAAGCTTTGCTTACAGAAGCTTTCCGACAATAGATTGCTTGAACGGACAAATCTTTTTCAATCACCTTCAGTTTTGCAGGACTTTGCACTGGTGAATCTGATATATAAAATATCTTGGTTATTCTCTTATCTACATATTTCAAAAGCATGTTCTGTAATAAATTCCAAATTAGTATGTGCAAATTCTATTAAGAAGAATGGTAGAATGTGAACACACACAAACATCCATAGACAAGGTCTCCTACATTTTAAAAGAGTTGTCGAAGGAAGTTGTGAAGGCTCCCAAGTTGAACTGGGGTCATGACACTCGTAGAGGTTTTAATATTTTACTCTCATGCTAGATTCCTGCTCCAAATCCTAAACTTTTGCTGGGGGAAGATGGGTACTCATATTAGAATGCCTCAAAGGCCAACAGATAATACTCTACTGTCTTTTAATTCAAGATTTGTCTTTGGAGTTTCTGCTTCAACCAATAAGAAAAGAAAAAAATAACCAGGAGTTCATGCAGTATAGAAGTATTTCCAGGCATGCAGTATTTCCAGCATCATAATGATTTTATAGCTGCCTAGTCCAGATCACTAGTGTTTGCAACTTCTCTCACTCCACAATTTATACTCTTACCTTTATTTGGAAAGTGTTTTGATGTTTACAGTATACAGCATTTTCTGATATCACATTCTGGAGCCAGCCATCATAGTAAGTCCAGAAGTAGGCAGTAACCCTAACCCTACCCTTCATGCTCAGACAGTCCCCCTAGAAGATACCATGCTTGATGGTACTAAAAGCCAGAGATATCCAGGACTATCAGTGGGGTCACACTCTCTCTGCTGACATAGATTATCACAGAGGGATACTAAAACAGTTTCCTTGACAAAACCTGACCTGAATTCTGTCTGTAATGGATCCAGATGATCAATCTCTTCCAAGAGCAGCCAGAATTGGTTTGCCATCACCCACTAAAGGATATTGTTCAGGAAATATTCCTAATGTTTTTATTTATTTGTGGACATGATGGATCTCTTAGAACAATACTTGGTAAACAATGCTTAGTGCATATTTTAAAGTTATCCATGTACAAAAACAAAAAAGTTAATGCTTTTATGTCAATATCTTCCTTAAAGATTTATCCTAGCACCTTTTCACCTTGGAAAGGGAATTTAAAAAATAGCATTCTCTCCTGTGTCAATAATTCTACTAAAAATAAATATTTCAATGTTTTTCAATCCACATGAGGTAATAGCTAAAATATTTTTAAACAGGTATATTATACCTGAAAGTACTAATTTTTGAATCCACAACAAACCTATTGTATTACAGCTAACAACAGAAGTATTTATAGATTGCATTGGTGCAGGGCTTGCTTTGTGTAAAGTGACTGTACACCAGGACCACGGTTAAATAATGTGGTAAAATTAGACAAATTAAATGTACCAAACCATTTAAAAAAGTCAAGCATCAGGAAGTGTCCATAATTTTCTTCCTCACCTGAATACAGAGCAGATGATCTCCCTTCTATTAAAGGTTTGGCTTTCACAGCAGTAACAGTCGTGACAACTGTTCCACATGGCATTACAGTCCGGTCCTTCTCTATTTTTGCAACAGGAAACTTGGTAGGCGCTTGCAAGGACCTAGACTCTGAGGGTTCTATGTATGAGAACTAGAGGAAGAAAAATCCAAGTTTTAAAATTCAAACAAGGACAGTCCAGAAGGAGTGTGTGTTGAGACAGACACACAGAGAGAAGCTAGTTGTACATTTACAAATTATACCTCTGCTAAGACAGATCCTATTGTAGAACTACTACTACTGTTAAGTTGGCTGCTCAGTGCAAAACTTCGGTGTCCTGAAGGCTGTTTCCTGAATAAATCCAAAGGTACAGTTGCTAAAGCTGAGACACCACCTAAATAAAACAGAAGCAGCTCATTATTATGTCTAGAATAATCAGTACTGAAAGATATTTTGGGAACCTAATTCAAACCCTCTGGGATATTTCAAATTGAAAACTATAATTACCTAAGAAATAAAGCAGAGAGGAAGAGGTAATCTGCACTAAGGTGGAAAGGTTCTTGTATTTTCCCAAACCCAGACTTAAACAGCTTCACTGGACTGTCAAACGAAGCCCTGGACTTTTGCTTTCTGGGAACCTTTATGTCAATATTATTCTAATTAAGAATATTCCTTAAATAAGTAAGTAAATAAAATGTATATTAAAGCTACTGGCAACATGTTCACTTCACAATGACGAATGAAGACATAAACACTGGAGAGGGTAAATCATGAACATTAATAGTCATGTGGTGATAGGGGTCACTCCAGAGCATTTATGTTAATATTAAATTAATAATGATATTATGTTGACATTAAAAACACACCCCTTCTAAATTATCCAGTTTGATGTGTCAAAACTTTTCGGCAGTTTTGAACATGAGGGGTGTGTCCAAAACAGTCTCACTGAATGCTTGTTTTCTGAACAGGAAGCATATGCAGTCACGCAAATTTTGACGGTGTCTGAACACAAAAAGAACCACCACAGTAATCCGTTATTGCCATGCATTTCTTGTCATACATATAACTGAAGTGTAAGGAGCAGAGTTCCTTCGCCCACTGAAATTGGCATCATTTTCCCTGTGGAAGCCTGCCCAGGTATTTACAGTACAGGTAATGAATCACATCTATATATTCCAGGGGGTTGCCTTAAGGTGACAAGATGAAGTAACTTCATACAAGATGGGAAGAATCCTGCCTACCACTAGTCTGCTGCAAGAGGTTGCGGCCAGGGTCATCTCTTCAGTGGCAAATACTGAAGCCTCTTAAGGGGTTCATGGAAGACCCATTACAAAAAATAAGAAATCTGTTCTATCCTGCAGAAGTGTTGGGCCCTTGCTCTATTAAATCATCTCTCAGCTTTGTACATCCCGAGAAATATGAGATCACACATGAGAAGCCTAAAGATTATGCAGCCAGTAATAGGCAGGTCAGCCCCTTATTAGGAATGTTTATAAAATAAAATGATACATGTCTGCAATACTTACCCTCTAGTTCCCCGTTTTCTACAATCTTTATTTGCAGGTCTTTTGATCTGGCATTTAGTTCACTGGGAACAAACAGAACAGCATTTTAAAAAATTATTCAGACAAGCCCATGCAATTTTGCAACATAGGCAACTAACTGCAGTCCATCCACAGTTGAAGGCACAAGAGCCTGATCAGGGGGAAAAAAGCCAAGTCACTTCCCTTAATGGAACAAAAGCCACCCTATCTACTAAACTTTAAATAACTCTCGTAAGACCAGTACACTAAGGAAATTACTCCAAACCTCTAAGCATTTTTTAAAAACTTACTGGCATATTTGGGTGATTTTGAGTCCGGGAGGTAAATGTTAGCATATTTAATTGCTAGGAAGTAAGCAGAAGTGAAATTTGCTGCAGTAGCCTTACTGCAGGGTGCAAATTTACATTCCATTTACTCTCCTGCCCTGACCTTAAAAGGGCACAAGTTTCTCCTCCATTTATTTCACAGCCATTACATCTGCATATATTTCCTTAAAAAAAAAAAACCCTACACTAATTTTCAACAATTAAAATAATAACAACCACCACTATTAGGAGTGATGAGCAGGATGGAGCAAATGGGCTGCCTGTGCCAGTGTCACTTGGTCCCATTCAGCCACTTCTTCAAACATACAAAATGTGGGTTTAAATACCTCTTTCCAAAGTAACCGTTGAATTGGGGAAGCATTGAAAAGGTTGGAGACAGTGAGAACTGTCCATCCAACACTGAAAATCAACAGTATACATTGTGAAGTGGGACATATTGTTTCCCTGTCCTTTTGGCTCCCCTGCTACTTCCACTGTTTTCCCCATTTTGATGTTTTTCATGGTATAAATGAATCCCCTTTCTCTTTAGGATTATTTTCCCCTGGTTCTGAGCAAGTGTGCACAAATTGGTCTCTATTTAGTCTTACTGTGTCAATTTCTTTGGACTCTACATACTTATACCTTTTCAACAGCTGAAACTTGCAAGTACTTTGACAGAACAAGGCTATGCAAATTGGACGGTTGTAACAATGCAATTGTGAAAGGCCAACATAAACCAATGAAAATTGCCAAAAGAAGGTCCAAAAATTAAAAAGTGGTGGCAGGCAAGTGACAGTCACTCCAAAGAGTGATTTGGACATTGATGGAAGGCAGTGGCCACTAAGGGAGGCTGAAGGCAACACAGGCAAGACTTGGAAGAGCAACTGGGGGATTTGCTACTCTTGCCAAATGACTGTGCAGCCAGTACCCACAAACCACAATAAAATTGCTTTCCTGAACTTGGATGTGCCAGGTCAATCCACAGTGGGCATAATAATGCCTTCAACAAGCCATGGGCTGTCAGGCTGGCTTGTTCAATAAAAATAAGCCAGTCTGAAGAAAACAATCCAGGTTCTTACAGAACAACAATCCATCGTAGCTGGCTGACTGAGATGAGTTGTTGCGTCATTCAAACCAGGTCAGAGAGTGAAAGCCCATAGGGATACAGAAGAAAAATGTGGCAAATATAGCACATGCCTTTCCATTGCAAGATGACATATGCATTCAGCTATAGCTTCACTACTCCCACCACTGTGATGTCCAATTCCACCCCCTCCCCAAATGAAGTGTCTTTCCAGACAGCTGCAAAAATGCAGATTGAAAGATAAGCCGCCCATCATCCCATCTGCCACCAATACAAGAATGGGTCATGGATATGCAACCTGTCATCACCAGTAATAACTTCACAAGCCCTTGGAAAGAGAGGGCCTGTGAAACAGAGAGAAACAGAGAAAGGAGATGAGACAAAGACAGGCTCTCCAAAACCCTATAGGTTCTGGGCCTGCCCATTACCAGCATGCTGCTCCCAATAGATTTGCAAGAGAGACCATAGCTCAGTGGCAGAGCACATGCTTTGCATGCAGTTTTCACCCCCAGGATCTCCAGCTGGGCAGAAAAATGGGCAGCTGCTCCTCTCCCTGAACCCTGGAGAGCTGTTGCCAATCAGTGTTGATGGCACTGAATCAAGCACACCAAGGCGCTGACCAGGTATAGAGCAGTCTGAGTAGAACAAGCAAACCAAACTTGCATCTCCTTGATCAGAGGAGCAGAGCAGGCAGGAGGCTAAATGCATGAAGTCAGGGAACGCTTCCTCTGGCCAACACTTATTTTCTCAATGCCTAGAACCCAAGTTTATATCTCAAACATACCAATGGATGAACATTCTGCTGCTCATGTTAGCCAAGTATAATTGTGCTATATAGTAAAGGGGGAATATGTTAATTTTTTAAAAAAATAGTGCAAGAGTAAGGAGAAAAAAACCCTAGGTGCCATATCTTTTGTCATAAGTTATATATATGGGCGTCTTGAGCATAACAGGCCCTACAGAACAGGGATGTTATCTTCTGGAAGAACTGAATCTTCCTACAAGAAAGAGCAACTTTTCCCAATCTTTCAGATGTTTTGGACTACAGCTCACACAAACCCAGCTAGCATGGGTAATGGTAAAGGGTGATGAAAGTTATAGTTCCAAGCATCTGACAGATGCCAATTTGAAGAAGGCTGAACTAAATATTTTCCTTTCCCTCCAAACAAAGTGTGATATCCCAACAACAGCTGTACCTTTTAGGATCCAAATTTGTATTCTGTAAGTGTAATAGCAGTATCCTTTTTCTACTAAAGAAAACAGATTGGAAGGCCCTAATATTCCTGCAAGAAACCACATTACTGACATTGTCCTATCTCAAACACTGCTCTATAGTTTAAAAAGGTAAAGGTAAAGGTTTCCCCTTGACGTTACATCCAGTCATGCCTGACTCTAGGGGCAGTGCTCATCTCTGTTTCCTAGCCGAGGGAGCCAGCGTTTGTCCACAGACAGTCTCCGTGGTCATGTGGACGGCATGACTAAACAACAAGGTACACGGAACGCTGTTACCTGCCCACCGAAGTGGTACCTTTTCATCTACTTGCATTTGCATGCTTTCGAACTGCAAGGTTGGCAGGAGCTGGGACAGAGCAACGGGAACTCACCCCGTTGTGCAGATTCGAACCAGCAACCTTTCAATCAACCAACCCAGCAGCACAGCAGTTTAAACCACTGCACCACCTGCATTCCCTGCCCTATAGTTTAAGACTTCACAATGTAGACATTCCCCCCATGCACTGGATCCAGGAAAATAATTAAGAAACACCACAATCGCCACTTACAAATGCTATAAAAACAAAATCCATACACCTGCACCCAAGATAATGGCATTTGGAAGATAAAGGAATATGACATTATGCTTATAAAAGTATTACCAAAATCTGTACTTACAAGATGAACTCATCTTTCCAAGAGAGGTCCAATGGATTATTGGCTACTGAGCTGGAAAACTTCTGCAAAGGATCATTGAGTTGAATTATACATATGGGCTTAATGCTGCCTGTAATGAGGGTAATAGAGGTGCTGTTAGTTCCAAGAGCAATTGCTTAAAGGTTATCTCCTTTATGCATTTCACAGCTTGAGTGAGCTACTGGCAAGAAGCTTCTACCACTCATCCAAAAATGTGTCCTGCTTCAGAATTTTGTGTTGGAAGTATAATCTCTACCAACACAAAAAGTACTGTAAAGGCTTGGGATCTGCATTACAACAAAGCATGCAGCCGAGGGATTAAGCATCCCTTTATGAGAAGGGGAATGTTCTGTGTGTGTATTGCAAAATGCAGAGCGTTTTGTTTCATAACAAAAGCCTTGGTTTTCTAAAACAGTGTTTTGGATCAGTCCCTTAACAGCTTGAAATGCATTTACAGAAGTATGTTGGAAGAACAGCTTACTGTTTTGAAACTACTTTTTGAATTTCATGATTTGTTTTTATTATTGTACACTGCTCTGAGTAGTGCTTAAGCACCAGAAGGGTAGGATATAATTTTTAATAAACTAAATTCTTTGGAGACTTGGAAGTTCTGATTATACATCAGTCCATTAGTACTTTATTAAGAAAATATAGTCAAACCATGAAGAGTAAGAACTGCCAAAGAATAAGCTATTCAAGAGTAAAATAATCAACATCGGCCTAAAATTTAGAAAGTAGGAGGAAAACAAAGTTAAAATCAATATATAGTCAAACCATGAACAGTAAGAACTGTCAAAGAGTAAGTTATTCAAAAGTAACATAATCAACATCGGCCTAAAATTTAGAAAGGAGGAGGAAAACAAAGTTAAAATCAATATATACTCAAGGCAGATGGGAAAGTCTAGTTTGCACAAGAGACTCTTGCCCTTAATACTTGCCTGCCCTGAAGCAGGAAAAGGCTTGTAGAGGCTTGCAAAACCCGATGAACAAGCTATAGAGTCACCTCTGCAAACAAATGCTGCATGAATTAATCCACAGTGTTATGGCTACCCTTACATTTTGGCAGGTCAAATGTGTGAGCTGTGCTTAAAAAGCACTTTTAGCCATCAGGAAATCCTCGGTCACTGACTTCTTGTCCCCAGTGAAGTTCAACATATGTGCTATGATCCTGTTTAAACCACACCAGACCCACCAGGATGCACATACAAACAAATGCAAATCTGAAAGCTTCTGAATATCCCTACACAGCTTGACATGCCTTAGCCATGCCAGCATAGCTACTGTTTTAATCTTTCTGCTGGCATTCGTTGCTGACCCCCACAGTGGCTGTCTAGGAATGAACGATAGTAGGAGAGTAGGAAGAACAGAGAACAAGACTCTACCATTACAGCTGTTGCAAAAAAATCCATTAGACTGCCTTCCCCATGCCTACAAATGATAGTAAGAAGAGCAGGTTTGACTCAGTTTAAAATGTAATTTTCCCTTAGACTGTGACGGCTATCCAATTCTACATAGTAAAAGCAGCAAGTTGCCATGTTATTAAATTTCTCCAATCTTATTGCCTGGGGGTGGATAGCAAACAGAAACCAAATCAGCCAAGCAAATGATGTAATACTGAAGCAAAGCTTGTATCTCTTCTATGTTTATGGGTGCTACATGGTCCAGTCCTTGCAATTTTTTTCAGAACAAAAAGGTTATACTACAGGCATTGGGGTGGGGAAGAAACTATTTGTTATGTTACCTGTAGTACTTTGATTGGTTAATGTAGCTCTGATGTTCTTCATTAGCAATTTTAGTTCATGAGCCCTTGGAGGCTTGGGAGGACTGGTGCCCTGAGAGAGAGCTCCTATAGTTTGTATGCTCTGCTAAAAGGAAGCAAAGTAAATAAGGCTATTATAGATAAACACCCGGCACTTTATGTTGCTCACATCAATTACTTCACATTACATGTCACATTAAGTAATGCATTAATATGTGTATGAATATGTCATGCAGCCCTCAAAACAGCCAGTTCACTGACATATGAAAGCCACACTACATGATGATGAAGGCTGTGCAGCAACAGAGGAGGAGGAGATTACCTGTATTGCCTTTATATCTGTAGGTTTTGTACACAGGCTCACACAGGGGGATGCTGAATTGATGAGACTCTGCAACACATCTTTAAAAGCTTCTGGTGCTGCATGTGCCCCTGCTGTCTGGTTCTAGAAAGAAAGGAGCAAGTGCATAAATCCAGAAAAATACATGAAAGAAAGCCTTCACTGGGCCAATTCACATGGCTCAGCCGGCTCATGGTGCATTACTTAATCTATGAAGAGACACAGTGCATGCCAAAGGACATTTTGCCTATATGGAATGCCATGTCATGAGAACCAGGCTGCCAAAGGTAATTATGGATTAAACGACTGCCCCTGCAATATACCAAGGGTTATTCAAGAGTTGCTTAACCCTCAAATAATCCTTGGTGGCCTGATCCACCCAGCACAGTAACCCCCACTCAACGTCACATATCCACATTTTTGCTCCACTCCTCTGTGAGAAGAATGCCTGCCTTAGAATGCCTTGCCCATGTTTGGTAGGAGGCAGCAGTTTGTGCCGAAGCAAGCTCTCTCCAATGCTGAGTTACTGCCTGAATAGACACACAGTGCACCGTAGCAGCTTTGGAAATGATTTAGTTCATAAGATGATAGATATGAGTAGGCATAACTGGAAGCTTGTGCTTCAGTTGTATCTGGATAATTTATCATCATTATCATCAACATTCATATACAACTTTATTTGCCTGAAAGCCATGAAGGCATAACACCAAATTGTTGTGTAAAAGCCAGTAAAGAAAGATCCAATTTTTAAAAGCAGAGTAAATCAGAGCTTAATTTCCTTTATTAATATTATATCCTGCCCTATCATAAAGGATTAGTATATAGAATATTGAAGATATTCAGTCACTCCAAGCTTAGTTAGCTAAGGCTGTCTTAGTCACTGCATAGATATTATGACTAAAGAAAAAAAATGTACTTGGCTCATCTAACTCAACCCTTGTAGTGTTTAAGTGTGTCAAGCTGCATGTGCATAAGAGTGATCCAATAGACACTTTGATACTTGGCCTTGTGTTTGTCCTGCTGGATGAATGTACTGGGGGCGGGGGGTTGTTTTTTGTGGTTGAAGAACAGGAAGTGGACAGCAGAAATGAGAGGCGATTCCTACAATGGATAAATGTACACACTAAGTTCCCCCAGTGTCCTATACTGGGTATGTTGCCTTTTTACTTGTTCATTCATGATGTGGGGTTAGAGCTATGTAGAGAGAAGGCCAAGTATGGAGATGACATCAATTTTTTCATAGTGAAAAGGAAAAGATTGTGAACAGGCCCCCCAAAATCTCTCCAAATAGGCATTTAAAATAGTGAGTACTGGCTAGTATAAATAAATGCAAAGTGCTGTACACTGAGGCAAAAAATTAAGTTCATGTATGTTTTTATGGGGACCGATCAGGGAAAAGATGTTAGGGGTTTGTGCTGGACAGCTCTATGTCAGTATCTCTCCAGTCTGTAATTGCCCCAAATCAAAACCCTCTTTTAGGTGAATGGTTTCCTAATATGTGAATGGAGGAAAGTTGCCAGGAGAAACACAGAAAGTTCTCAAAATGAAATTACAAAGTTGAATGTGGAACGTGAACAAGATGCAGATAAATAAATGAAAGGGAGGGGGTACTCTGGATAAAAGATAATAAGCCTGCAATTCATTAATTCAGAAATGCTACTAACAGGTGGAATAAAATTGTACAAAATTTCTTGTACAAAATTTCTAAGGAAAAGGGGAGATGTCCTTCAACATCAGAAAGAAGAGTTTCCAGAAGAAACAAAATGAGCCCAGCTAATGTACAACCAAAACACAATGTCAAAGAACATTTTCTTCCACATTTCCCGGCAAAGAATACATAAAATACATTAAAAAACAGAAATCTGAGGAAGACATAAACACCAAAGAAGCCATTAGCATATCCCCTGTGTTTGAGCGTACAACTTAGACTGGCCACCAGGTTCTGCAGCTCCAACACTGGTAGCTATCTGAGTGGATGTGACAACTGTAAATAGATTGAAACTAGCTGCATTTTATCTAAATATGGGTTTTCTAAAAATTGCATTCAACTTTGAGTCTCTGTCTATCATCCCCCAATCCCAGCAATTCATAAAAGCATGATGATTTTGAAGTGGGTACATTCCATGTTTGAGACCATTAGGGGAAACTGTCAATATCATAAAAACCATATACAAATCTATGGAGTAACCACACCTGGAATATCATGCATGGATCTGGTTGATATATCTCAAAAACAGCTTTTGTAGATTTTTTTTTTTTTTTGAAGTGCTCAAATGGTTGACTTGGTTAACCAATGGTCAAATGGTTTAACCAATGGTTAAATGTTTGGGGGGTTGAAATATCCTCCTTATGAGGAAAGAGTCCGATGTTTGGGGCTTCTAGGTTTACAAAAAATGATATGCAAAGGGGGAAAATGTTCATTGTGTGGAGAAAGTAAACTTCCTTTTATTTGTCCTGAATCTCTCCGCATTCACCGGATGACCGCAGGTTCTAGTATTATAAAGAGAAGAAGAAAAAGGTATCTCAGACTATCTTCTCCTCAACATGAACAGAAGAAACTAATCTGCTGATGGATGCTGTTCAGTTTAGTTGGATACCACTCTGGGAGTGCCCAGGCTTGCTAATGCTAAATACATTTCTCTTCTGTACAGAGAAAGACTGTTCAGAAGATATTGTAAAGCCGTGATGCACTCAATCAGAACAATGTCATCAGAGGCTGGAATAGGGATCAGGTCATAGCATTTGCCAAGTTCCAAAGGAGTGATCGCGCGGATTGGTTCGACTCTTCTTGGCAAAGTCCCGGAAGTCATTAATAATAGTGCTGATCCACACAGTTCACCAAAAAGGGTCTGCAGTCATAATGCAGCATTTTGACTATTTACTGCTACGCATAATTTACTTGGAGTAACTTTTAACAATACCCTTTTTTAACAAAAATCAAAAAAGTCCTTTGTATAAGAAGCCTGTGAGGATCATTTATTTGCATTGTTTAGCCATGGATAATGACACATTTTCAAAAAGATAATACCTCCAAGGGTATACTCTTCATTAAGACTCTGATTCCCTAATTTTAAACTATAAAAACTGGACTGCTATAACTTAAATATTTGTTCTGTTAAGACTCCTAACTTTTAGGCTGCACATTTCTATTGTTGAACATTCAGCGGGGGAATCCGTCATGGGTCTAACCTCATCTTCTCTGTGATATTTCAGCAGCAATTCCTTGTGTCTTCTGAGCAACTGCTGCCATTCTAAGGGCCCCTTCACCTTGGAGTTGGACTTGGAAAAGGAGGTCCTTCAAAACCCTCTTCTGCAAGATCACCAACAGCAATGTGGATTCCACCCAATAAATAACTGGAGTCAAGGACCAGCCTCTTTTGTTATACCAGAAACAGCTTTCACACTCCCAGGTTTTCAAAGTGGCTTGATGTGTGCTACTGATCTTCAAAGAGGAAAAGGTAACGAAGTGCAGATGGGTACGCAGAGTTACTCAGCATTCTCCACATTACAGCAAATGTTAATTGTTTGTAGTCTATAATTATATAAGTGAGTATCGGAAACAGTGGCTTATAATTACCCATAAACAGATGATAACCTTTAATTTTAATCCTTCCAGAGGACTATGCTTCCAAACCAGTATGTCATGGACTGCAGCTGCAGCTCCTGCTCCTAAATATACCTATTTAGAAGCAAGCTCTATTGTGTATAAAACCAGGGTACTAGTGATTATTTGATTAAGGAGCAGGGAAATGTTTTGTGTGCTAATGCAAACAATATGATTAATACGAATGTACAGTTTTGACAGAAGTTAGGCACAAGCAAAGCTAATATATTTACCTCTTGCACTTTTGTAGACTTGACTTCAATATTTGTTTCTGAGGTGTAGATGTAAGACCATTTGACTTGGATGTCTTCCTCACTGGATTTTATTGATAGTTCCAACTATTAATATGATAGATTATTAAATTCAGTTCTATTGAAATAAACAGACTTCACACCTCAGATCTAGACAAATAGCTGAAAACTCATCTTGCAATTGTTGGTTTTCCTGTTGCCAAGATGTAGATATTTTTGTTCTCTACAGTCAAAACTATTGAACCAAGCTCATGTAATAAATCAAATGCAACTGTTTTATTTTGTTGATAAACTTCACTTATGATCATAACCATGAAGCTTGAGCTCAATAGTCACCTCCTTTGATGCTCTTCAGGCTCCTTGACCCTCGTGATTTGTTCAATTTTTAAAGGTTTCTTTAATTTAAACCTTTTTTAAAAGAAATTGGGAAGTTGTTCTGCTGCAAAGCAAAGAGCTATCATCATTTCAAAGAGTGCTTTGGGCCCCAAAGAAGTTCTTGAAAAATTAAATCAGTGAATGGCTGCACCCTGACATTTTGTTTTAAAGTTTGGCCAACAAGCCAATTAAAAACAGGGAGACTAGAAGAGGTGACACAAAGTATTTCGTCTGGTGCTCGCTGTGGACCTAGTTATGTGCATTGCCAGGGTGTGTGTATTTGCCTAGGTTTATGTTTGTTTTGGAGTGGTATATGTTGTTCCGGCTGTGTGTTCTGCCTGGAAAATGGAGTTTCCCAGTATGGATTGATGTCTTATTTGGAAATAAGTGTATTCTTTGGAGCATCAAGTTTTGCCTTCTGTGAAACTGATATCCTGCTTTACTTTGTAGGGGCAAATATGATTTCGCATTAGGAGTTCAGTCCCCATTCCTCTGTTTGATTTAGGTTCTTGGGCAAGTTGCTTTCCTTTAGCCTCACCAATAAGTATTCTGGGAAGCTGATCTACTGATCTGCAATAGGAGCTTCCCACCATGGCAGCCATTTCGTAAGAGTGCCAATGACCCTCTGCATATGTTGATATTTGTATTGTTAGATCACTGCTACCTTGCATTTCTCTTATATAATACTTTTAACAACAAACAAACAAACCAAGTCTGCTCACTGGTTCAAAATGCCTAGTATTTAAGAATATTTATCTTAACATCATCACCACCAATAACAAATAAATTATTTTATCATTTATCTTAAAGAAAAAGTTGTCAATAGTATGCAACCTTACCTGCAAATGAAGTGGAGTCAACTTTACATTGTAAGACTGACAATCTGCAGAATCAGATGAAGTACGGGACACATTGACAATAAAATGAAAGGCATTTCCAATTACATTACAAGAGACCACCTGGAAAAGAATTGAAATGAGCTACACATTTACAGAGCAAACAATTATTTGCATTTATTTGACAGGTAAGGGATTGACACTAATTGAGACTAGAGTTTAAGTCTTGGGTGTTGCAACATATTTGGCGAAAAATAAAGAATAAGAGGAAGTCTCTTTCTCTTCTATATATGAAAAAGGTCAGTACAAATTCTAGTCCTCTAGAACCAAAGCTTATTATGCACAGAGTGTATTTTTCATAAAAGGTCACACTAGAACAAACAAGTGGGGGTCTGCTTTGTATCCCCAGCCTCTGACAGGAGCTTTCCTGGTCTTCAGCCAGGAAAGAAGAGACATGTAGCAGTGTTTGGAGTCACTGGCAGGGAGGTGAGGGGAAGTAGAAGGACACTCCTCACCCCCATCTGCCCCACACTTAGGAAACCACCTTGCCCTTCACTATAGAGTTCTGGCTGTCAGCCCTCAACCTGAGCACTTCATTGCTGTATCTCAGAAAGAGGAAGTTTCTAGGAAATGGAAGCAAGTGGCCTTCCCCATTTCTTACTACCAAAAGCTTCCTTGTACAGCCACAGAGAGCAGTGTAATGTTACAGCTAATAATGATTAATTATTAACTATTAGGGGACTGAGCAGGTCAGTTCCATTTCTTTCTTCTCCATTTTTCTCACTTCCCTCTGCAACATTCTGTGAAACGTGTGTGTATGGCGGTAGAGAGATGCAGCTAAGAGTGAGCCAGAGTTCAGTTGGTTTGGATTTCCAGTCAGAAATCCTCTATGAACACTTCCTCAGGTTTCATTAATAGGTCAGTCATCTTATATTGCCCCTTCCCAAAATCCTTCCCTGCCCAAATCCAGCACACACATGCATGTCGAACTTCCTGTTCCATTTATTTGTGTGCAGCTGTGTTTAAATGTTTAAACACTCAAGAACAAAACCAAACTACATTTTTCACAATAAGTCAAGATCTGAATTAGCTCTTCTCTTTCTGTGCAGTCCCACCTAAACAGAGCTGCTGTGGCACAATTGGGTGGCATACAAATGCTTTAAATAAAGAAAGAAAGAAACTTAAACCTTTTGTTCTCTATCATTTCTACTGTAGCTAGGAAGAATTAGGAAGTTCTAGGTCTCAGAAATGAGGTAAGTTATTCCTGTTTCTTATTTCTGTAGATTCAGTTGCTATCAACTTTCTGTAAGTCCTAGTAGCTTGCAGATCCTTATCAAGTTATTTCAGACTTTTTAAAAAATGACTTTGTCAGAATTTAAAAATGTGTACACTTCTGCACATTGCGATGCAGAAACCTCTACTTTATTTTGGGTTTGTGCTACCTTATACAAACTAATAGGAACTAAGGTGGTCTAGGGTCTATCAGAAAGTTATGATCATGACTGTCCTGATGGGGTTTTCACATAGTAATGGTAATTATGCAATGTGACAAACTGTGCCCAGAGAAATGATAAGGCAAACAGTGCCCGGCACATGCCATGATTTAACCCACAGGAACTGTGCAAACTAGCCAATTCTCTTACAACTGTTATCATTTTGCTTCTTCAAGCCGCCTCAGATTAAACAGGTGGACCACCATGACTAACCTTTTGGAAAGAGACAAGCAACGTCTGTTTATCGAGATACTGTTGGACTGAAACTTCCCCCATCCCTTACCATTAGTTCTGCTGGCTAGGGCTGAGTGGATGGTTCACCCATTTCAGGAGGTCACAGGTCGCCTACCCTTGCTCTGAGCTGACTGGCAAGCACAGAAAAGTGCTTTTTTCTTTCATTCCTTTCCCACAACCTTTGAAAATGCTAGTGATAAGGGTTATTATGATCTCATACTCTACTTCTCTTTCTCAAGGTATCTTCTTTCCCAAGAGCAGATTTGCCTATCAGCTCCTATTAACTATTTGGTGTCAGTTTACTTTCAAAAGCAGAAGGGTATGACCCTCTGATCTTCACATAAATATTTGATCTATTGTTCAGGTAACACTTTGTAAAAACATTGCTACTTACTAAATTGACATAAGGCAAGTGAGCTGTGGAGAGGTATTCCAATCAGCACAGCAATCTGCCCAAGTTCTGTAGTAAGAGATCTGTGTTAATTTCACTTTGGCAGTATAGAAAAGAACTGCTGTTTATTTACCAGCAGCACGATGTTCAATGTAGCCAAGCTTCTGTTAGTCATCTGTCACTTGTGAAATTTCTAAGACTGATTTGATGATTAGTGAACATCATCAATAGGTACGCATATGCAACGAGCCTGTTATTAGTTAAAACTGAATACTTAATCCAGAATACATGCATAAAAACAGATATGAGTTATATACCCCAATTCACATACAAGATAGATACTAATTTCATTGTTAGAGTTGCAAGCTTTGTCTGAACTTTCCTATAGTGTTTTTTCCAAAGTAGAATATAAAGTAAAACCTATTTCAAGTATGGCAATTCACAGTACTTTCCAGAATAATTTGTTCAGTTTTAAAATTAATGTGAATGGAAAATAATAAAACAGCATCCCCTTCTCAAATGCAATTCCAGTTTATTATTAAATACTCTACTGAATTGCTTGCTTATTGGCATAATTTCAAGGATTTCATTATGTTGTTGCTAACGAAATTTGTGGGTGAAAAAGAATTGGTATTTTCTTCTTGAAGATGCTTGGAAGTAACTCTGACAGCTCATCAGTCACTGAATTAGCCATAATAGGCTAATCCAGCCAAGGTGATGTACCTCAAAGTCCACGTATTTCAATGTTTAATTTCCCTCCCCCCTCACCCTGAAATCATCCCAAGCTAATTAAATTATCAAACTTTGTCTCAATCATCCCATATTCCAAAATACAAGAGGTCTCTAGAAAAAGACAAATATAAGTTTTGTGGATGTAAACACCTACAGTCACTGGGAATAAAATCCTATGCATTTGTATTCAGAAAGTTCAATGCTACTCACTCTCAGGAATAGTATAGGACTATATATACAGTATAGGAATACAACAAAATCGCAGTATTTCAGATGCAATTAATCTACTAGATAGATTTATAATCTATCTTCTAAACTACCCTGTTTTTTCCAATGGTTTACCAAAAGAGATATATTCAATTTTAGCTAGATTCTAGAATACCTACAGGAGAATAGACCTAGTGAATTCAAGACAGCCTTTGTAAGTATATCCAGTTTTAAGTGCAATAAAGTGCATGATTGCATGATTAGACAGAAAAGGTCCTACAGCTCTCAGAACCCCTCCAGGCATCCTGGCAATGAATAATGTGTAAATAGCTTTTAGGAAGGAATATGATCATTGCAGTATAATTGATTTCTTAAAATTAAAAGGTTTAAGCTTTCTTTAAAAGATTGTTTCATCACAGAAACAGGGTTTATTTCTGTATAGTTTATTAGGTTGTTGTAAACTACCCAGAGACCTTTGGCTATTGGACAGTACAGAAATCAAATAAATAAATAAAGTAAGTAAGTAGTAAGAAGGCAAGCATTAACCAGGGATTGCTTTTTAAGTTTAAGCCTTTCTTCTCTTCCCTAATGACCACAACAGTTAAAAAATGTAATCAAAATGTGTTTATAAAGAAGAAAATGATTTTTTAAAGACCAGTATATGGTATATATTTATCATTTCTCTTTGTTTGAAACTGCCTCCAACCACATAAATACTTCTAGCATCTCTTTCAAATGTTAGCATAGAAATAAGACCACAAAGCTCACCTTTTCTTCAGCTGATTTCACAACACTTATAACTCTTTGTACCACAAGCTCCAGAGGCTGAGGTGCTTCATCCTCTTCAAATGTGAATAGCCAGGAGTCCTGGGAAGAAAGGCATGGGGTAGAGAGAAACATTTGAAAGACTGCTTTCTATAGATAAAGGATATATCCAAAGTTCACAGAACAAGGAGTCTTATAGCAATTCTATAAAAGTTCAGAGAAATAAGGGCTTAGAAATCTAAGCATGCCCAGCCTTTTTCTGCCTTAAGTTTTTCTGTCTAGGATTACACCTTTCAATTCTTCAGGCATAAGCATTTGTGGACAGTTAGCCTTTTTCAGCAGACTGTTTCTACCTTTTAAAACTTTGAAAGATCTTGCAGGTTCCTAATATATGGAAACTGCAAGTTCCTATTTCATTGTACATAATTTAAACCTGGATTTAGGCACATTCAAGTAAGCTATATATAGGGTAAAAAGTGCATGACAGCATTTTTTAGTATTAGATGCCACGTGATTCTTAACTGCAACTGATTAACAAAGCTACTCCCCAGGAAATTCCCCAGACCATTCCAAACCCTGTCCTACTAAGTTAAATTTTAAACGCAGAGGCAGGCAGGCCCTGGGCAGGGGAGGCGAGAAATCTAAGACATTTGAAATATTGTGCTTAAAAATGCAAACCGTCAAATGCAAACCACCAAATATATTTAGACAATCTTGCTATACTGTTCCTTGATTTTCTCTGAACATGGTGTTGGAGCTTTTGCAGAATCACAGCTGCTTATACTAGATTGGAGAAATAGCTTGTGCTGACTCACAGATATGTCCCTGATCAAGCAATCGTGCAGGTATATGATGTTTATCTAAAATCTGTTTCAGTATAAGCCAGGGGAGAGATCTGTTTTCTGGGGAGAGCTGCATTCCTAGGTTGTATGTGGAAAGTAGTTACTGAAGGCTTCAGGACACTAAAAGATGGGACTACCACCCTTTCTTTCTCACTGGCTTTCTGTCATCCCATTCTACACACACACACACACACACACACACACACACACACACTCACACACCTCCTTTCTTCCCAACAAGTGGGAAGGCAGGTTGACTCTCACCAAAGGCCTGAGCTGATTATGTGTAGAGAGCTTTTGAACTTAGAGGATCACACACACAGTTAGGCCAACAGTTACAAAGTGCCCCATCCTGATATACACAGAACATTCAAAAATGTTAAGCATACCAAATGTATTTATGTAGCAGTTACAAGTGTTCAGAACACTTCACACCAGTCTTTCAAGACACACTGACCACAATATTACAAGGCATTCCAGCACTATCATCATCTTGCATGGGATGCCATGTCCAAGGTTTGCCCAAGGCCCTCAAGCATGAGGTTCATCTCAGCACAGGTGACTCTTTCCTGGTTGCATCAGCAATGATTTGTATGGGTACAAATCTTAGTTTGGGGTGCACCCCCACTGAGTTCTTTATTTGGAAGCATCACCTGGGGCCATCACTTTTTGATTGAAAAAGGCTCTTGAAGGAAACAGTCATGGAGAGACGAGACAGGGTAGCTCAAAGCATGAAATTCCCTTATTGAGGTTGCTTCTTCAATTCTGGTTCAAATATTCATGGGATAAGGAACTGGGAACTAGAACCAACTTCAGCCTCAGACATTTAATATGCATGTCAGTGAACGACATGCAGCAGTCAGCAAAAGAAACTGTGAAGATTCTTTTGCCACCACAACTGACTTGACCAGGGGAAAAAAGGCCCCTTTACCTGCCACATCATCAAAACTGCTACTTTTAGCAGATGCTCAGACAGCCAAGCTCAGAAGGCCAAACAGACATTCTTGTAAGGTTGGGCTGTTGCTGCAAATATGTTCCTGCCGCCTGCTGGACAGCTGTTTTATGGGCTGGTAGAAGTGCAACTGTCATGGGGGAAAATGACACACTGGACAGCTCTCCTTGCACGCAATCTGTGCTGTTGCCAGCCCAAACAGCTGTGTGGAAGGCTAGCGGAATGTGACTGATGAGAAGGGAGGCATATGGGAAAACCAGGAGCCTATCCAACCTTCCCTCTGCGTGTGTGTGGCCTGTATTATGCCAGATCTAGCCACGCTTGTGGGAATGCAGCCACACACTGCCTACCCAATGCTGCAAGTGGCCCTGCGGGCAAAAGATTGCCCAACCATCATGAAATCACTGAGATCTTGATTTCCTGCTGCACAGTTTACCCTTTGCAACTACCTTTGAGGACCCACTGCCAGGTAATCAGTCAACTGCTTCATCTCCAGGTCAATTCTGAATGTTGTTAATCCTATTTAGAAATAAGCTCTACCTTTATCAGCAAAACTTAATTTCATGTAATGGGCAACATTGTAAGACATTATATGAGACTACCATTGGGGATTTCTTGGACACTTCAGACTGGTCCTGTACTCAGCTGCGAGCTACAATGTTCTGGACCACAACTGGTAACTGGACTGTTGAACCAGTCTAGTCCTACAGAAGGTATCACAGCACAACACTTTCACCGGCTGTGCACTGCTGTGCTGTGCACAAAGTGCTGGTTCAAACTCTTGTGGCACAACCCCATCTACACAGAAGCTTATCTCCTGAACAGATTTCATATTAATCATGCCTTTAGCCCTCCCAGAGGCTGACTGGCTTGTTGGTTTGTTAAAAAACAACAGCTAGGGCGAGCAACAGTCCAAATTGGATCAGAACCATTGATGGAGGCAAATGCCTACAACTACCCACCTCTCAAACCAGGTCACCCATTCTTCACAGTATCTTCTATTGTCTGGGGAAACACACACACACACCCCATGCAAGGCCTCAAGACATGAACATCACATCTAATTTGGTCCCTAGCTTCAACAGAGCTTACTCTTATGTAAATCTACATAGGATTACAGTATTAAACCACGTGTGTCTTGGAATCTAGGTATTTAAAAGCATTGCCTGCTGCCACATGAACCTTCCCAGATATCAAGATCACCCCACAAGGTTCTTCTTAGTTCCCAAAGCTTCCAAGATTAGTCTGATGGCACAAATCAGGGAAAGGGCCTTCCCCATGGCAGCAAACCATTTCCTCTTCCTCTGCCTACAACTCTATCGTTTTTCAGCCAGTGGAGGGCTTTTTATTAATTTAGGTTTTTTAGAATGTTAGGTGATTATTTTGGTCACTGCTGCTCTATAACCTTGCATGATAACTTTAGAGATTGCATTTTGAAGTTTTGTACTTTAAGCTCAGAGGTGGAAAACTGAAAAAAAAATTGAGGATAAAGTAAAATTGATAAAAATAAAGTCCAGGCACAATGGGGCTCTTGAGCACACTGTTTAACTCAAGTATCTTCAAATTCAGACATGTCTAATGACATTTAGACTGTACCAGTGGCCACAATATAAAGAAGCAGGGAGCTGGCTGAACATACAGTAGCGCCATTGCCTTTTCTCACATAGTAGTACCTTGCACTGTGCAGTACACAGAGTTTCAAAAGTAGCCTGTGATACACGGCTTTCAGGAAAAGGAGAGTCTGCTGTTAAGACAAGGTAGAAAGAAATTTAAAGAGTTCTGTTGCTTACAGTCAAGCTCATAAGTTCTTCCAAAAGGTAATTCAATGGCAATTCAAAAGACTCTTCAGATGTGCTGAAGTGGTCGTGTCTATTATACTTAAATCTAGGAGCTCTGATATTTTCCCTTGCATTTCCAATCATGTTTTAATGACATTTCAATGACATAGAGCATGCCATAGAGCGGGAGGGGGAGCATTTCACTCGGGCTCTCTACATACAGAATTCAGTTGACTTCGATATTGCCAATGACATGAATACTCCCAAGCCAAAATAATCCATGGAATTTGTTACATTGCAGTGAAGTTGCATACTATAGATTGTTTGTGTTCAGAAGTGGCTGTTACATTAACATTCTTTCTAAGGCTGTTTTGTTGTGATGAAGCAGCATAAGGAAAGCAGCTATTCATTTGCCTCCCAATGACAGAATTGTTTTGAGTTTGGAAAGCTCAGCCAGAGCGTAAAAACACATTGCACTGCCAGAGAGTGATCTCAAAAGAAGAGGATGCAGTTGCTTTCTTGGAAAGGATGTACGTATGCAAGGCATTGTTACTTTCCTATCAGTTTTCCTACAGAAGGCTTGATCCCTAGCCTTTGACATCCCTCCTCTACCATAATTTACAGTTCAACTTGTTAGAAACAACTTAAGGGACAGAAAATGGAACAAAGACAACTAAAAGTAGGTGACTATGCGGGGTCAGGATTGAGGATGAATGAATTCTCTTGGCACAAGTTTTTTCAATGAATATAATATGCAAAATGCTAGGGGATACTTAAGAAGTAGTTCATGCTTGGTCATTCATGGCAATTCCTGGGAAACTTAGGAGAGCCTGTGTTTTCGAGTGCCTCGGATATGGGAAGATTATCATTTCAGATAATAAAATAAAATCGTTACACCTTGATCATCCCCCTGGAAAGAAGGCCTGGGAATTTCAAGGGCATTGACAAATAAGTAATGCTTTTATGACTGGACAGTTAGCAAATTCTGCAAGGGAGGGGCGGAAAGCCCGCTGGCAAATCTATTAGCATGGACTGTTCGGTGCACTTTGCACGGTGGGAAGCTGTTTGAGGCGTGCTCGCATGCATTCTCGGTGCTTGCTCCATCACCGGCTCCAAGGGAGTGTTAGCGTACTTTTGGCTTCTAAACTCCTGGCCTGCGAGGTCCTCGATCGCAAGCGCGTTGTGGATCTGGCTGTCAGTGGGTAATAAAACAATACGGACGCGGGATACACAAGGAGAGGATACTCGACACGCTCACGCACGATGCTCCGTAATAAACCAATGTCACGTCAGCGTAAGACGGCCCGTAAGAGCCACCGGGCCATCACTTACCGCCCTTAATTTGGCTTCCTCGTTCAGCGCCGCTATCCAGGCTTTCTGCCACTCACTCTTCCAGCTGTTCAGAGACAGCAGCCAAGCGAAAAGGGAGTCCTCGTCCCTGCGCAGAAGTTCAGGCGCCGGCGGCCGCGGAGGCGGCGGCGGCGTCTTCCCTCCGCCTTGCCGCAGAGTTCTCAGGCCATACTGCACCAGGTAGACGGCCACGACGGCCAAAGCTGCCGTAAACAAGGAGAGCAGCGAGAGCCGCTGGAGCTCACCCAGCCAGTAAGCCAGCCAAGACATGACTGACCATAATTATAGACCCGCGTCTCTCTCTCGCTCGCTCGCTCGCTCGCTCTCTCAGGAAGCCGTGCGCATGGCACCGAAGGATGCCGCCCCTTCGCGGGGGACTCAAGGCATTGGCTCCTCCGCGCCTCCTGCTCGCCGAGACAATCCCTCTCGCTCGAGGCGCGCGGAGTAAACAGCCCGCGGAGGAGAGGCGAGGGCGGCGAGAGGGCGCGCCCGCGAACTCGGCCGAGGAGCCGGGAGGACGCGCCGAGGAGGAGTAAGCGACGTCACCGGACCTGCCCCGCGCCTTCCAGGCACACACGCCGCAGGCGCCGGCCGGGAGCGGACGCAGAGCGCGCGGCCGGAGCGGGCGCCGCAAACAAAGCGGGCAGCTGCGCGCTCCAGCCTCGGGCGGGCATCCCTCCTGCCTGCCTGCCTGCCTGCCTGCCTGCCGCCGGCTCAGCACGGCCCCGAAGCGCGGAGCGGCGGCGGCGGGACGAGGCGCGAGGCGGGGATTCCCTGCAGCCCCCCGAGGACGCCCGCGCCCCTCCTCCGTGACGCGCGGCGCGGCGCGGTGCGGCCCCCGCCGCGCCCAGGCCAGGTGCCCGGGCTTGCTCTCCGTCAGCTGCCTCGAGCAGCGTCCCCTTTAACCTGGGCCCGGTAGGAGCGGCTCATCCTTCCTCAAACCTTCCCGGCCTGCACCTCCAGGTGCTTAAAGGCGCCGCCAGATCCGGCCAGCAGCCGCCTCTCCTCTAGCGAACCTGCAGCTTTGTCGGCGGCTGAGTCCGGCTGCCTGGAGAAGGGAGAACTGCCTTGCCCTGGCAGCGCGTACGCGGCTGGAACTCCTGCTGCTGCCGCGGAGACGCAATCCCACGAGTGGGCGCATGGCGCTGCAGTCCCGGCCTTCTCCAGCGGCACCGCTCGGTGGCTGTTGCGCTTGCCACCTTCCCGAGCGTCCTCAAGGTTTACGAATGGAGAAAGCGGTCTGTTCTCCAAATGGTTATTCCCTCTTTCCCTCGACCACCAATCCTTTGGTGATTTTCCAGCTTCTGTGCACTCGCCCTCATTCTAAATGAATTCTAAAATGCATCTTCTAGGGCTTAATTTCAGGACAAATTAAGTGCTTTAAGCTACCATATATTGGCCTATTAAAAAAATTTCCCTCGCCCCTTTCCCCTTCAGTCCCTCCCACCACTGGAATGCTTCCCTTTCTCTGATACTGAATTGGGCCTTTATGCTGAAAGATGTTCAAGTTACATCTTTTGATCATGGATAATAATATGAAAATAGCATTGTTAAAGCAGTGGAGATAACCAAGGGGTTGTGGTCATCTCTGGATATAAGCTGTATAGTGAGGGTGTACTGGAAGGGCCATAAAATGCAGCAGACTCACTGCAAAAGCTTTTCTACACTAGGGGTAAAAATTTCTGGCTTTGCCTTATCATAGCGGTATGCAATCATTGTCCAGACCAGAATGCTCAGGGAGATCCTGAGCTGGGGCAGATCAAGGAGGCCTCCAACAAAGGCAGTACTGTAATAATGGATGACTTCAAGCATGTCTGGATGAATGCATATTCCAATTCTGACAAAGAGGTTAAATTTCTTGATGTCCTAAATGACTGTACCTTTGAGCATGGAATCAACTGGAGGTGAAGAGAGTAGCATGAGTTGTAAATGTTGTAGAACTGATTAGGAACAATGACCACAGTGGTATCAAATTTAAAATACATTTGGGTGGAATATTGCTCAAGTGGTCCAATGCAGTTGCATTCGACTTCAAAAGAGGAAACTTTTCAAAAATGAGGGAAGTGGTAAAGAAGACTTAGACAAAGGCAATCAAGAAAGTCAAGGAGCGTCCCTTTGGCCTGCTCAGAGATTACTCAAAAACACTGTAACAGAGGTACAGATAGTGTGCATTTCACAAGTGAGGAAAGGTAGCACAATGTCCAAGAAGTTACCAGCATGGTTAATGTTCAGAGTCAAGGAAGCTACTAGAAGAAAAGTTCTTTCAAGAATGGTAAGTCCTGCCCAAATGAGAAAAACAAAAAGGACAACAAGCTTGCACAAGCAAGAGGCAAGCAGGGAATAGGAATAGCAAAGAAACAGTTTGAGGAATGTATCTCTAAAAACATCAAGGCTAACAAGAAAGAGTCTCTTAAATATATCAGAAAAAAACCAGCTAAAAAAAGCATCTGGACCACTGGAATTAAAGCACTAAAGGGGGATAAGGAGATTGATTTTAAAAAATCAGCTTCTCTGCAGTCACAGCAGAGGATGTAGAACCTATGCCTGTTTTGAAAGTATGGATTCTTAAAGGGAGTTGGAGGACTTAAGGCAGATAGTAGTGACAAAAGATGAAATTCTCTGACAAACTGAAAGTTAGTAAATCGCTCAGCCCAGATGGCAATTCATCCTAGAGCTTTTAAAGAACTCAAATATGAAATAGCTGGCCTTCTTACCAAAATATTTAATATGTTCCTAAAATCAGCCTTTGTACCAGAGGATTGGAGAATGGCCAGTGTAATCCCAATTTTAAAAGGGATCTGGGAAAATTATAGGCCAGTTAGCTTCACTTCTGTTCTAGGTAAATTTCTTCAAAGTATTACTACAGATAGGGTCATAAGCATATATAGGGTCAAGCCCTGCTGAAAAAGAATCAATGTGGTGTCTGCAGGGGAGGAAGTCCTGTCTCACTATCATATTAGAGGGTAAATAAGCAAATGGACAGGGGCGATTCAGTAGACATTGATGGACCTCCAAATGGCCTTTGACAAAGTCCCTCACCACAGAATCCTGAGCAAACTTAGCAGTCATGGAGTAAAAGCGGCGGGGTGGGGGGAGGTCCCTTTTCTGGATCACAGACTGAGAAGACAGAGTGGGAATAAATGGCCATTTTACCTAGTGGAGGGATGTAACCCTCCCAAAGAGTTCTGTATTAAGACCAACGCTTTTCAACTTACTCATCCATTATCTGGAATTAGTAAGGAATAAGTGATCAGGTTTGCTGAGGACACTAAACTATTTAATGTGGTTAAAATAAAAAGGAACTGTGAAGAGCTCCAAAGGGCTTTCTACGTTCTCTCCTGGGAGAATGGACATGTAGTTCAGTGTTAGCAAGCATAGAGTTGCATACCAAAACAAAAAAAATCCAACTTCAAGGAAATGCTGTTCTGTTCTGAGCTAACACTCAACTGATCAAGCAAAGGGGTTTGTGGTGGTGGGAGGACATCTTGATTAAAGTAGTCAGCCCAGTGCACGTCTGCTGTGAAACAAGCAAACTCCATGTTAGGCATAATTAGTAATGGAATAGAAAATCTATCTGCCAGTATCATGCTGCCCTTATAAAAATATTTGGTGTGACCGCACTTGGAATAATATGTACAGTTCTGATTTCCTTACCTGAAAAAGGACATTATTGATTTGGAAAAAGTACAGAGAAGGGCAACTAAAATGATCGAGAGGTTGAAGCAACTCCTCTGTGAGGGCAGGTTTCAGATGAGTTTGTTTAGCTTAGGAAAAAAGGGAGGGGAGACATAACAGAGGTGTTTATCGTTACGCTTACTTTGGAGAAAGTGGAGAGGGAGACCTTTTTCTCTCCTCCCACAGAACCTTTGGTCATGCCACAAGGCTGACTGGCGGGAGATTCAGGACATATAACAGGAAGTACTTCTTCAGATGATGTATAGTTAAAATATAGAATTCACTGTCACAGGAAGTGGTGATGGCCACCAATTTGGATGGCTTTAAATTCATGGAGGATCTGGTTATTAGTGGCTACTAGCCTTGCTGGTTGTGGGCTACCCCTCTTACCAAGGCAGCATGCCCGCATATACCAGTTGCTGAGGAGCTTGTACCCATCTTGCTTGAGAGATCCTATGTACAGCTGGTTTGCCACTGTGTAAGGACCATTGGTCTGATCCAGCATGGCTTTCTTAGGTTCTTAAATTGCCATTCTAACTTCCTAAATACTTGACAAAACACCTCTTCCATCTGGAGACTACCTGGACAACACACTCTGTGGCCTACTTCAAAATGCCACCCTCAAAGGAAGCTTAGTTGGTGGCAACAAGAAAGAGGGCTTTCTCAGCGGTATCTCCCCATCTCTTCACTGAGGCCTACCTGGCACCAACCCTACCATCTTTTTGGTGCCAGCTTAAGACTGCCACGATGCTGAGGGATTTCGCAGTTTTAAATAGGGCATGGGGTGGAGGGATGTCAGCTGTTTTATAAACCTTGTCTTGGTCATTTGAATCATTTACAATTTGGTTTTAAATCTCTACTGTTATATTGTATGAGCTGTTGTACATAAGAGCATTGGCTATTAGTGGCATAGAAATAAAATACCCCTCCAGCTGTGTTTAGTCATGCAAAGGGAAAAGCACATGCTCTAAGTCACTTATAGAAACTTACCTGAACAGGATGTATCTAAATTCCCACCAACAGAGGTCAGCCCAATAAAGACTTTTCCATTAGTTTTAAGTTTGACCCAATTATTTGACTTTTTTTTGGTTATTTTGGTCATGCATTTTAATATTAGATCTTGTATTCTTAGATTTACTAATTATAAAGAACTCATATGGAAAAGTGGCTTAAGAGACAGGAAATCTTTTGTCTGTCATAAGATCACCAAGTAGGTGACCTTCGTGTGCGCTACACCTGCCATGTAGGGGTACTGGCCTGATATTTGAAATAATACCAGAAATAGTTGAGGTGTGATGTGCTGTGAGCACTGAGAAGTACTACATGAATGTTGAGTATTATAATTATGAATTGACTATTTGCCCCTTTCCAAATGAGAAATTGCATATGAAGACTGCATATAACTAGTACCCTCCCAAACATACTTTACTGTACCAGAAATAGTCTTGGTGCATTTCTTATTGCCATCCTATTAATATTCGAGATTTTAATTTGTTACCATACTCTTCACTGAATTTTAAGTATTGTGCTAAAAACAAAGCAGGAAGACAGTACTGCAAAGTAGCTTGCTAGTGTCAGCTGGCCACTGAACCTGTGGAGTAGATACAAAGCTAATGAAGGGTATAATCCAGAGAAAGCCAAATACCCATTGATTTAAATGGGAAAAATAACCAGAATGTACTTAGTAACAGAAATCTGTTTAGGCAAGTGTGCACACAGCAAAAAATCATCAAGCAGAATAACCAAGCAAGGTGTTGGCTTGCAATTGCCCCAGAAGCTTACATATCTTTAATTTGAGCAATAAGTGAATCATACAAAATTCAGTGGCTCAACATCTGTTGAGTGTAGAGGAAGTAGCTTGGGAACAGGCATAACACCTTTGGCTTCCTGGAGGGATATAAATGCAATCAATCATTTAGTTAAATTTATCTCATGCCTTTTCTTCCAAGGTGCTATATATGGTTCTGTTCCTCTCCATTTAATTCTCACAACAACCCTATGAAATAAGTTTAGCTCAGAGTAACTGATTAGCTGAAAGTCACGCTTTGATTTTTATGGCAGAGTGGGCTCTTGAACCAGTATCTGATGAGTCCTAGTCCAATCCTCTAACCAGCACATACCATAGGTGATCATGGAATGTGGTATGGATTATGCCACCATCTCATTCTAATGTTAGATGCTGAGTGCATGAAAAACTGCTCGCAAGACATACCTGTATAGTTTGATTCTTTAAAAACTATCTATGGCATTTAATCAGTTAAATTAGTGTATGACTGTAGGCTTAAGGCTCTGGTTCTAAGCATACTTACCTGGGAATAAGGATGATGAAACAGTGTGATTTACTTCTAAGTAAACACTAAACTGTAAGCCTGCAATTCCATATATACTTACCTGGGAGTAGTCCATATAAACTGAATAGTGTTTATTTTTGAATGGGCCTGTACTCTTAAATTACACTGAATTCCACAGACATGTGATGTGTCCTAATGCTCAACATGTTAAATGAGCACCTCTATAATCACACTATTTACTTTCAAGTAATAACTACTAGAATACTGGCAGCTTATATATTGGACTCATATATGAGGCAGAATAACTCAAAAGAACAAGTTTATTTTACTCCAAATTCTCTTAATAAAGATCTAGGTAAAGAAAACATACAGTAGAAAAGTAATACAAAGCAGCAACATTACATTAAAAGAAAACTTTTGAAACTAGGAATCCTCAGTCCTAAAAAGTTAGTTGGATTGCTACTTAAAATTCAACACAGAAGTATTAAACTGGTATATGTATACAAGATATACATAATTATAAAAACAAACCTTTTGTGTTTATCACACACCTTTAGTTTAACATCAGAAACAACTTCAATAGAATTTAAGTTAAAGTCCTTGTCATACATTGGTGATGGCTACTTCAGCTGCCTTTTCAAGGCAACCTCAAAATAGATAAGAATATTAACAAGAAAACCAAACTTTTAAAAGAGTTTCCTTTAAAACATTTTTCAAGCCATTAAGATTTGACATTTGGCCATAGTGAACCGCCAGTTCAGACCCTGGAAAGGAAACTGGTTGTGTGTGTAATTGTCTCAGTGCAATGAAATGCAATACACAAAACACAAAACTTGGTGCAATCCACACTATTCAGACTCAAGAGCTATCATAAATTTGAAAATACTCATCTAAGCTTCTGATAATTTATCATGCAAGCACTAAAGCTGCAGTTAGAAGCACATTTGTTTAGATGTTCTATTGAAATCAACAGCCATTCTTTTGAAATACAACAGGAAGGCCATATTTTGGACACCTTTTTCCAAAGGCAACAAAGTAACACAGCTGAGAATCTTAAGTGCTTATCTTGATAGTGCTCCTTTACAAAGAAAGTTAAGCCATACAAGATACTTCAGGTAAGAACATGACACTTAAAAACATCCAGAGTGTCACAATAAGGTTCAGTTCTGTAGGTTTTAATACTGATAAACTAATTCTTCTTTCTCCTACAGCAGTGATGTACTTTTAATTTGAATATTTAGGCAAGAAAATGTAAACATTACAGAACACAATAGGCACATGCCAAGGAGTCAAGATCAGATACACACCTTTTTTCCAGCGCACTGAAGGAAATATAGTAAACACATTGCTGCTTAGGGCCACCTATCTCTATGCTCTGATAAGCCAATTTTGGTGGGATTTGTAGTTTCATATACCTGCAAGATCTATTTGAGCAGATAAGAGTGCAGGGAAAACACTTTCAGCTTGCTTTAAAAACAAATGGGACTTAGCCAGGGTGCCAAAAATGCAGAAAAATATTAAATGTATGGCTCAAATTAAACCTTAATAGGTAGAAGTGTACTATATATTACGTAAATCAAAACTGCTGGCACTATTTTTATATTGCCAAAACAGAATTTATCTGCATATTCCTAGGTCTGTTGGCCATCCTGTATGAATGAGATTAATTCAAAGACTGTTCTGCTTACTTACTAAGCTCTTTTACAGTACCAGAGGAGGCAATGAAACAGCACAGGTTAAAAAACCCCCATGAATTCTGCTTCAGAAACCAAGAATTGCTATTAAGAGTAGCAAGGCAAGTAGAAGCAATACCATTCTGGAAAATGGTAAGTATAGAAGTAAACAAAGGAGCTAACTGGAAGACAATCCTTAGATGCAATCCACTGAAATTAGCCCCTCTGAACTAACTGGGGCCACTCTGACGTGAAAAACTTGTAAATAGCAGCCAATGGTTGCACATTAGGAGAAGTGGGGGAATAATCTAGGCTGCAGCCCTCTTTGGAAACAACGATCATTGAAATCACTGGGAGCGATTTCCAAGCATTCATTCATTGAAAGGGCTAGTTTTCTGAAGCTTCCTATCAGTCAGTTCCATAACTATTTAGAAAGATTTATTATGGACAGAGTTCAGGAAAGCATTTGTTTAGAACTTAAAAAGAACTTTTCAAGTCTGGTGAATTTCACAGTTAAATGTTCATATGCAGATGCATGTCGATGAAGTTTGCTGGAGTACTTCTCCAGTTATTTCATGGGCCTGAAATTCTTTTAATTTCAAGGGCCACTTTTGATCATGTTGACATGAAATTTTCATTTAAGTGATTATGATGAATGGGACTGAAGTTCACTCATTTTATCAACAGACCTATATAAAGACAAAAGGTACAATATGTATCTTTTAAACCTGCATATTTTTCTTATGTCATATCCCAACTCCCTATTCAGAAACTGTGAACTTTGATAAAAATAGCAACCCAAACAAAAAGGCAAAGCATTTTTTCTTGTAGAGTATTTCAGTATTTTCTTCACAGCACTGCAAAATTAAAAGATAAATCAATAGATTTCATTTTATTTTTATTATGCTCAAACTAAATATATTCCTTGAACAAGATTTAGAGTATATAATAAACTTTCATAATTTATAACTTTAAAAACATATATTAATCTTTAAGTGGAAGCATACTTATCTCATGGTCACCAAAATAAACATTCTTAGGGCTTTAAAAAAGTTTTTAATAAAAAGGTAGGAGGAAATCTTTACAAAAATTATTCTCCGTCAGGGATTTTTTAGAATTAAGGAACAAGAATTGATGGGGGGAGTAACTTGCAACCATCTCATCACTAGGGAAATTCACTTACAGCATTTTGTTGCAAGGAAAAGCCCTATTTCTCAGATTTATTGTATAACTTTAACTGAAATGTCATTCATAGTGGTACTCTGTTTGAAATGTCTAATTTTGCTTAAGCATTGGCAGGAAGGCATATTTCGCCTTTTTCAAGTCAGGCTGAGGAAAACTTTTTTTTTTAAAAGCAGGGCTTACAATAAGTTGTTTCAGCCTAGAATCGATGCTGGAAGAATGTTCATTCCCTGGACAGTCACCTAACTATCTGACGTAGGGCTGCGCAACTTGGGAGGTGCCACTTTGCCAATGGCGGCACAGGAGCCCCGCTAGATTTAAATATTGGTAACAGATAATAAAAGATGTGACCTTCAATCCACTGAACTCAATGAGAGTTATTCAAATAGTCCCAGGAGTTCAGATAAACCAAACTGACTATAGTACCACCATCCCCAGCCACAATGGATGATGGAAGTTGCACCCCAACAGAGCTGGAGGGTACCAGCCTGGAAAGGCAAAAGTGCTTTGTGTACAGACCAGTGTAAAAATTGAGTTGGCTTGTGCTCTTTTCTGACCCACGAGCATTCTTGGCCATCCTCAGGCACATTTGCGTGGATTGGAGACACGTCCTCTGTGAATACCCCAAGAGCCAGCAGCATAGATTTCTCTGATCACAGCTGCTTTAATGCAGTTTATGCTGATTTATAGTCACATTTTTCACACACATTTTTCCATGTAAGTGCAGGGATACAGATGGGTGAAGATAAGGAATGCTGCATTGTAGGAGAAAGTTCCTGGGTCAATTTGCCTAAACCTCATTTTATAACATAAAGCATTTTGTTTTATGTTATATAATGTAACACATAGATGCAAACACAGCATTAGTTTCATTCAATTTAAATAACCAGCAAAGTACATTCATACTCAGAATTAATTTTAATTTGAAACGAAGAAATAATCTTTTCAACTATTACTTTAAACTGCCATGATTCTTAATACTAATCGGGAAAAACCCAGCTTTGTCTCACAGAATAATCAGTCCAAGCATGTTAGATTTTAAAGATTGTGTGTGAATCTGATTCTAAAGTAGGTGTCTTACAAAGTGTAATACAATGCCAATCAAATCCTTTAACTTCTTGAATAAATGATAAAATGTTCACTTATGTAAAATGTGTTTAGGAAGAGAGTAAGGTATTTGTCACTGCAAACCGTTTACTGAGTTATTTGATTATTGGTAAAAAAATAACAATCTTAAATTCTACTAATCAACACACTCCTGTTTTTTTTAAAGGCCAATATAGAACCTCAAAGATTTCAGACCTAATTACATTTCCTCAGGAGATAGTTCTTAGATGAACTTTCGAGGATTTACTGTGGGGTAAACATGCATGGGATCAGGTTAGGAGCCTAACTAATTTCGGAAGCATGATAACGTTTTTAAGTACTAGGGGCGTGATTCACAAACGCTCTGCATCATCAGTATAAACAGGTAACCCCTAATAAACCCGCTGCACCAGAGGGTAAAGCAGCACAGCAGCTGTACAGTAACTTTGGGTGATGAAACTGGCTGCTGCAGCTCCTGGTCTGGAAGCCTACAAATACCCTGTTCCCTTCACAAGGTGTAGTTTGAACAGGGTTCACTGTACTGAGTAAATGGGTAGTCCAGCTGCCCAATATGCTCAAGGTATATCAGACTAGTTTGCCTTCTGTGCGGACAGGAGACCAAGTAAGTGGTTGTGGCCATGCCTTAGGATCCCAACACTTCTACACAATCTCCACTTTTGGTTTTTAGTGTTTTAGATTATGGAAATTCTACATGCAATGGAACATTTTACTTCTAAAGAATAGTTCTTCATGGCTTATGAGAAGCTGCTTTTAAAACACTCCTGAGTTTATCTTTAAATGCTGATGCAGCGGAGTGTGGAGCTGTTTTTCAGAAAAGACCTGAACACATTTTAATGACATTCAGTGGCTTACAACTACTATTTTATTAGACTTGTGTCTAAGTAGTAAGAGTCTTAATAACAGTGCTAGATGCTATTGCAACTGGATTAACATGGAAATGGATTTGCATCCACTTTTAACAGAATTCCTGCAAAATAAATGTATTCAGAATTGGGGTACCAGCTATTACTCCTGCCTCTGTCAAAACTTAATAACAAAGTTCCCATCCTATTCTTTAATGAATATCACAACTAGCTAGTGCTGAATAAAAATGTTATCTTCTCTCATGATCCAAAATGATCTGCAAGAGCTAACTGTTGCATCTACATTAGTCACAAGTTCATCACACATTCTAATGAAAGCCCATTAGATAAAGTTCAAAATGTCACTAGTTACAAGCCTGGCTTACATTTGAATTTTGAGCAAGAAATTGAACTATAAAGGGTTCCTAGCACAGGGCATTCCTAATGATGACTGTGCTACTGATTTTGCTCTGCCATTTAGGGGCAAAGGCCTGCTGCAACTTTTTACCTGACTCCAGTCTTTCTCAGCTGCAAGAGAACCAACAGGCACACAGAGCTGCCTCCACAGAATGGCTTCTCCATTAATTCCAGCTGACAAAATCCATGAATGGTGCCCCCGCCACACACATTCATATTTGTGCATAAATTTGAATATATCTGCATATTTAGAAAAGTGTATGAGTAGTCTCCTGCAAGTAAGAAGCAGATGGATACATACTGGAGTGAATGGGATACATTTGCTCTGAAAGGCAAGCCTAACTATAGTTCAAAGCCACAATCAAGTATATTAGGCCCACACAAGTCAATAGGCCTAAGCTTATGTCTGCCCTGGAGGGTGCCTCAAATGATTTTTGCGCTCTTTTAAACAAATGCACAATGTAAAAATATGGCCAAATTATGAAACATTCTTCTCCCTGTGCATCCTGTTTGCATTTATGAAATACAACATATGCATTGTTGCAATTTCCACTCCACTCTGAACTAGGCATTTTTAATAAAGGTCTTCATTTTTATTTTATTCTTTTATACATATGTAACTATTTACATTTGAATGTGTAGCTCTGGATGTGTTCACCGCTATTATCTAATGGGTCTGAATTTGCTTCCTGTATCCAGAACTGGCATATGCATACATTCCATTGTAAGAAAACACATCCACCACCAACACAGATCAGAAGAAATAAAGTACAAGAATTTTTGACATCCATTCAGTGCTGTTCCATGCTAAAACTAAAGAAATATAGTTTGCATTAGGATATCAGCTGCCTGCTACTCATCATATTCACTCTGGGTATCAAAATATGTATAGAATATCAGCCTCAGATAATCAAATAAAGCAATGTATCTTTGTTCCTATATCCTTCCTTCAAAAATTCATTAAAATGGCTGGAGGCAGGCTGGCTGCTACTTTGTATATAAAAATCCAAATATGCATGTATTGCTAAGTTTAAATTGTATTGTACCTTACATTACATCCATACAGAAAATCGCAGTAACAACAACAAAAAGTTCATGTTAATAAAAAACTTTCAATAAGGGTCAAATGAGGTTTTGTTTGTTATTGCTAACCCTCAGTAAGATCAAGGTCAACACAGTGAAGCACTCAATCCAATTCTTTCCTTAACCTCAAATGAATGATAAAGAGCTCATGAGATTGTTACTCTCCGAAAAAATAATTGCATGATTTCTATTACTCTAAATTATTTAAGTTGCTGTTGCTTTTTAACATGAATGCATATATACCAATATCACAGGATGAGGATGATGTATGCAGATATTAATGAAATTCTGAAATGAGGAAAGTTTGGAATACAATACTTAAAGAAACTGAGCTATCTTTTCTATGATAATAAATTTCATTTACCTTAATCTCCACAACCAAAGGAGCATCATACACTTTCAATTTTAATTCTTGAGGATTCTTGTCACTTTATATTATATACATACGTGTATGTATACATCTATATCTTATTTCAGTGGTGCAATTTCAGCAACATCATGGAAATTTAACAGGATATATAACTCCCTGTAGGCACTCTTTATGCATTTTTTCTAATTGTGTGTCTGCTCATGACTCCAAAGACTAAATGCAGTTTTGAATGTCCTGTGACAGAGTTTGCACATATACTGTCTTTTGAATGTGATAGCTGAAAGTGGTGGAGCATGGTAAAAAAGAGTGTCTGATTCCTGTGGAACAAATAATTTCTCAGTAGCTGAAGGAGTTTCTGACAAGCCTGTAGGACTATCAGGTTCCAAAGGCTGGATTTTGGGAAGTGGTGGAGGTGGAGGCAAGGGTGGTGGTGATGGAGAATTAGCCGATGCACACATCTCCGGTTCTTTACGCACTGGTTCTTCTGCAGCTTGTGCCATATGGGATTGGAAATGACTCCAGAGACGGAAATTGGTCCGGAAGGCCTTGTTGCACACATGGCAAATGAAAGGCTTCACAGAGCACAAGAGCTCCTGGTGACGTTCTAGTTGTTTGTGTATAGTAAAAATTTTTCCACACTTTTCGCAGGGCCACAAACCACTGTCTTTATTAGCAGCCATTTCCTTAGGTTCCCGATTACTTTCAGAGACCTCCTCTTCTCCATCATCTGCTGGTTCTTCTTTGATCTGAACTTTAAATTGTTTGGAAATACTAAGATCTTCAGGGATGCATGAGGAATCCTCTGAATCAAAGTTAATCTGTTCTGAGGAATCACTGAATACGCCATCTTCTTTGGCTGCAATGAAGTTGTTCATTTTGTTAGGTTCTGACTGAGCATGCAGTCTTGAAGCACTACTTGCTTCACCATTGTGTTCCAGACCTGGTAAAGAAAAATTCTCTGTTGGAGCCATAGTATTTTGGTTGTGCACTTCAACCTGATGACGCCAAATACTGAAGGAGGATTTAAAAGTGCGCATGCACTCTAGGCAAGTGAGCTTCTTGTACTCACATGTGATTTCATGGTCATGCTTCAACTCTAGAGAAGAAAACCGAAGGCTGCAGTAAGGACAAACTGTTGCATTCCGGCACAGCCGCTCATGATTTCCCTGTTCAATAAGAGAGGAAAGCTTAGCATTACAAAGACGACACTGGTAAACCTTTTTGTTTTCGACTGGGCTTTCAACAGGAGTATCCTCTTTTGGCTTAATAGCCTTATTCCCTCCAACTGGCTTTTCCCCTGGGTGCATTTTTATATGCTGCTTAAACTGTGACAGGAAGCGATATGCTTTCCCACAGTAGTTACAAATGTAGGCTCCTCTGGCTCTTGACCTCAGGTTCCTTTTGATGACTTGTTGTACTTGTGAACCAGCCTGTCCCTGAAAACCTTGCTTGCCACGTCTTAGTTTAACAATCAGTGCCTTTTTAATCTCTCGCTCTCTCACTATATCAATGAGCTTCCTTTGGAATTTTTCGTCCAAGACAGCATGTGAACTGGAAGCAGGTGAGGGGTTCTTCACAATTCCATGCTGTGTCTGGCAATGTGTCCAAACTTTGAAGTTTGTGTGAAATCTCTTATGACAAATATCACAAGCATATGGTTTTTCAGGGTTATGATACATATTGACATGACGATGAAGACCTGCTGTTGACCTGAAAATCTTAAGGCAGTGTTTGCACTTAAACTTTTTGTTAGGCTTTGTTTCTTCCAGTTCACTACATTCATCTTTGCTAATGTCAGAATCTGGGAAGTCTGCAAAGGGTGTAGGATTTGAGTTTTCCTCAAAATTGTCCTCTGGCCCAGGGGAAGCATGTTCATCCACCTTAATTTTTGTGTGTGGTAGCCTTCTGTCTGCTTGAAACCTTCTTTTAACAGGAAGTCTACTGAGATCCCTATGGTCAACTTCAGCTTTAAAAGGGTTGCTTTTATTGGCAGATGATGAAGCATCCCCCACTGTAATTCTTATTATTTCAGAAGGATCTGAAAGGGGACTGCTAGGTTCAGTTTTTATTCGTATTTCTCTAACAGGAGAAGTTACTTCCCTGTCTGTTGACTGGGAAGCACTAAAGGACCTAAGGCGATGTGGTTGCATTACCTGCATCTTGTCATCAGCAACTGCCTTTTCTGTACAATCTTTCATGGATGACTTTTGGGATATTATATTTAATATTCTTCCTTGTGTGTTGTTCACCACTGAAGATCCTTGGGCAATCTTCAATTCCACAGAAGATGAATAAACAGGAACTTGACTATCCATAGACAATGATCTTCGAAGGAGACTTTTTACAAGTGGTCCACTCCTGTCAATACTTTGGTTTTCAGAACCACACACCCTAGATGGGATCACTAAACCTAACTTGGAATAGTACAGCAAATTCCTGTCTTCTCCTTTTCCTGTCTCTCTGAACAAAAATGTGGATTCTGGTGAACTACACAGAGACACAGCTGGTGGACAAGGCCTTTTCAAAGGTACTTCTGCTGATTTTCCTTTTAAGAGCTGATTGCTTCCTCCTGGTTCATCTGCAACTGCTTCCTTGTCTGCAAAAGGTTTCTGAGACAATACTGCATTTCTTTTAGTTCTGTTTTGATCATCCGCTGCACTTGATGCTTCGTGAGACTTGCTGTATCTTAGAGAGCTGTCTTTCAGCCATCTCCTTTCATTTAGTGATAGGCTATGCAAAAACTCAGTTGACTGTGATACTTGTGGCCGCTTAGTTTTGGCAGCAACCAAGGGTGAGGATTGAGAACTATGGCTTATGTCATGTGGGCTTTGCCCAACATGTTCCCCCTGCACTTCAGTTTTATTCTGACAAACTATGACACTTCTTTTCTGGGAATTGTTTTCATCTTCCTCTTGGAATAGTAGTTTCTTAACAGGACATGGAGGCAAAGGGATTTGAGGACTTCTAGACACAATGTTAGTAAGAAAGGAAATTCCAAGACTGTACCCCACTTCTTGCACACCAGCAAGGCTGCTTTTCTCAACAAACAACGATGAGGAATAAATGTAGTTCAGCACATTGTCAAAAGTATCTGGTTCACAGAAGTCAAGCTGAAACACTGACTGAGATTCATTTTCTTTTGTAGTGAACAAAGTCTGAAAGTATTCACTGCTGGCAGCCAGAACATTTTTGTGAGCTCGAAATTTTTGGTCTCCTACTATTAGCACAACATCACAGAGTTGCCCCTTCAATCGTTCCTCATTTAAAGCACTTAGAAGAGAAATAGCATGTGCTGGATTTATATAATGCAAGAGTCCCTCCATGATTTAGGTTTACCTGAAAGATGACAAAAGACAGAATCACAGTATAATTTAAGTAGGATTTTTTTTAAAAAGAAAGGAAAAGTAGAAGCAGTTTTTTCTTCCTTTCTAACAAGTTGGGTTTCTTTTCCAGTAACTGCCCTCAAAACATGCATCCTTTAATACACTGTTTCTTTTTAGCAACATACTACTTTCCATCTAATATACAATGGAGTGAAGTAAGTGTTAAATAACAACATACAGTAAGAAAGTACCATGAAGATTTGCAACAGTACACAATCAACAAAACCATCTCTAATTCTGTTCATATGACAGCTAATATACCTCAAAGTAGTTATCTACTTGTAATGATTTACTATATGAGGTAGTCAAGTAGATGGCAAAAAAAGTTTGGTTCTTTCCTGTTTTTCTGCAGAGTGGAACAAAAATAAAGCCCTGATTTGAAAGCTAGCTACACATGCTCATTTAATGTCAGGTTTTGGATCAGTGTTAATGTTTAAACCAGGTTAAGGCTACAATCATAAGCATATTTACTAGGGAGTAAGCACTGTTTAACACAGTGAGTCTTATTTCTGAGTAAATCTGAATATGCCATCCTATACACATGTGCAGAGTGTGTTGGATCCAGTCTAACCCATTGAAATCTATGTGAAAAGTTAATCATTATTTAGACCTCTTTGATTTCAATGAAATCTAAGTACAATTAAATTAATCTCAATCCAATCTGCTATGTTTAGATAATTGCACGTTTTTGCATCTTAAATGTATAGCATAAGGCAGGTTGGGCATCCTTTTTGTCCCATACCCTGGGGCCACATGCAATAATGGAGGTAGACCAACTTCCCATTCATGTGCACTCACATAGACAAACACACGCACAGATTTTACCTGGCTCCTCTCTCAATCACATACTTTCCATCCTCACTTATTTAAGTGTGTAGTGCTTGGGAGATTTAAAATTTCCCTTCCCAGGGTGCTCAGTTTAGTCTGCAATTTGCCCTCCTCCTCTCACTTAGGGCAAGAAGAAAAGAGCAATTTAAATGGAGATTACACATGGAGATGACCCTTCCTGAACACCATTTTAATGGCACTCTAGGTAGACAGGTGTTTGACAGGCTGTGAAAACCACAGCTGTGGAGAAGTCAGGATGGATTTCCACACATGCACTCTTTCTCAGTAAAGACATGTGGTGGGGTAGGCTGGGGCGGAGAATTCAAAGTAGACGGTACTGTGGGCACCTACAGCAAGCCTCTCAGAAGAAATCAAATGGCTGCATGTACGAGAGCCCACTGGTTGTCCATATATGTTTTAAGGTAAGTACTGATAATTGCCTTTTTTTAACTGAATCATCTGTCATGCTGGTTTAACATGAGAAGCTTTCTAATTATGTTTAAAATTTAGATATAGCAGATGATATATAATTGTATGCATAATTAACTGTTCTAGACCTAGAGAGAAAAAGAAATGACTTTTCAAAATATGTTGCTATCCAGTCAAAGAATAATCTGGAACATAATGGATTGATCTGTTAGAATCCATCTGCCCTTTGGTCATGGGTCATCTAAGAACACGTAAGCTACTATCCTACACAGTTTACTTGGTAGTACATCCCCACAAATCTAGCAGGGGATTGCCTCCAAATAGACATGTATATTATCCTATTCCTACATATTACATAAGAATGCTTGTTAGGCCAAGGTTGACTTAAGTGCAAATAAAATGCACAAACCTGTGGAATTCAAAATATATATGTGCTGATTAGACTTGAATGTCACAGAAGTGAAAGAAACCTTTAAGACGTTTTCTGCTTTATAAACATTCCTCATTTGATCATGTAGCTAGATCACTTGCCCTGATTCAGCATTCAAGGCTATTTGGGCAGTTCCCATCACCAAAGGGGGAAATGGGATACTGCCTTACATTCTGACTAGATCAACAATTGTGTAAAGTGGCAAGTGATACTGAAAAGGTAACAGCAACAGTCACAATTTTGGGGGGATGAAATATTCTTGTTGTCAATGTCCTGATCTTGTCTCCAACCCCCTTTTTTTCCTGTTGTGAGGTTCAGAAACTGTATTTGCATCAAAGGTGTCTGGTCCACTAACTAGATGGATCGGATTTGTTACTGGCTCTCTGTGAGGATGTGATGGAGAGAAGATTACCATTCTTCAACCATCCACTCCTTAAATATACTTGCCCTGAATTGAAACACAGCATATGTATTCATAGTATGTTCATTTATTGCCCTTCCAGTTTTGCCTAATGTTGCAATGTTAATTCATGCAGCTTCTCTTACAGTGCACCTAGACCATATTTACTTGTGTGACACAATCATAATGTAATTGCTTTGTGCTACTAGATTAAACTCTTAAACCTGTTTTGGATGTAATGCAAAATTTCCATGAGGAAAATAGATACATCCACTTCTTGTTTAAAACTGATTAAGAATCCCCCCCCCCCACCGGCCACAATCCAGGTTCAGATGTCATGGGGAACTCTAGTTAGTTTAAAACAGGAACTAGATGTTTCCCATCCTCCTTGTGACCTTGCAAGACGAAGAGATGGAAACAGACAGCACTCAAGCTTGCTTACTCACACAAAACTCAACTATGCTTCAGCATTACTGCTGAAACAAACCTAAGTGTTTTATAATATAATAAAAAATAAAACCTACCACAAAAACTTTCTTTCTTCTGTTTTAAAACACTCCAAAATGACAGAAATCTTAGGTTCAGGATTGCATTTCCTCTTTAATCTCCAATTACTTTACAGTCTGTATATCAGATGGTCTGGAGGGAAGGTGAGAAAAAAGTGCATTAAGAACAAAATTAGTACACAAAAATGTTTCTGGCTTGCAGTAATTCTCAGCATTATTTTTGTCTCAAATTTCTGAATGACTCAATTTGCACACCATGGTAAGTGTGAGTTGCATGCTTGTCCACTGGCTCCTGCTGCAAGCAGATGCAACTAAACAAGTCACGGATGTTTACACATTACACTAAAATAATGGACCAAACTTGCCTTTCTCGGAAAATAACCCATGTTTATTGCTGGATGATTTATCTGAGTTAAAAATGGATTTCAGTGACATGCTAAGCCAGGGAAAAGTAATGTGGCCAAGAAACCAAGTAGAAGAAAGGTGCAGTCTGAGCTTCAAGTGACAAATCACGCTGGCAAAAATATTCATTTCAGAGAACGCAAAATCATGATGCTCAAAGAAACACACAAAATAAGGAAAATACAAAAAACAAAGCAGCCAGTTAGTAGGCAGTAAGCCAGCCTACTAACATACACCTCAAAAAGCGCACAGCACCAGCAAAAGTATCCCCCCTCATCCCTGCTCTCCCTTCCAGGTTCTGAAGATGCTGCCCCTACCACCTAGCCCTTCAGGAGGCTCCCCATCATCCCCAACCTACTTTTCTTCATTATTCTATGTATGCTTAGCATTCAGAGGCATTCCTGGAAATAAAGACTGGGCTTGAGGCCAACACATTGCATTGCAACACACCAACCTCCCAGTGTTGCTTTTGTTTGCTAAAGCATGATGGACAGGCAACTTGGAAAGTACCATCTAGACTCCAGTACTAAGGTTTGTTAGCCTCTCCAACTTGCAAGAAGAGTGTTTGTGTTGATTTTAGGAGCACACTGTGAATCCTCTCAATGTATATCATGTGTGCTATGAGACTCATAAAAAGTGAATTGTATCTACTTTAGCTGAAGACATTTTTACTCACCATGTGACTCACATGGTCTATTTAGGGTTCATTTTAAGATACCAGTTATGATGTATAAAGCCCTACATAACTCAAGGACAGTCTACTTGAAACACCACAATCTCCAATTAGAGCTTATTCATATTTTAAGAGAATCAGGAGAAGAGGCCCCTCTCTCCCAGCATCATCTGAGACACGTCTGGTGAGAATCTGAGAAGGCCTTCTCAGTGGCATCTCCCATACTTCAGAAATCCAGAGTAAGGAAGGCCAGGCTAGTGCCTTCTTCAATTTTATGTCCTGCCTTTACCTGCAAGAAACCCAAGCCAGTTTATATACTCCTGCTCTCCCTTTTATCCTCACAATTGTATAGTCAGTTAGGCTAAAAGGCAAAGACTGGCCCAATCTCACCCAGTAAGCTTCATGGTCAAATGGAGACTCAACCATGGGTGTCCCCAGTCTTAGTCCAACATTAACCGCTTCACCACACTGATTATTTGATGGCCTTCTACCAGCAGGCAAAGGTGTTCATATCAGACAAACTTTTGCCCTGTGGCTTGTCAATTTGTCAATTCGCTCTGAGCCGCCCCGAGGCTTTGCTGTGATGGGGGCAGCATAGAAATGTTTTAAATAAATAAATAAATAAATTGGTTGCAACAGATTTTGCCTGGTTGGTGTCTTACATGCCACTGGGAGTGGTGGGGGTGAGAAGGTGGGATATAAATTTAATTTTTAAAAATATAGATAAGGAAGTTGTAGCTGCCCATTTGTGAACATTCAAATGAGTTCTGTAGTAGTGTGGCTTTACTGGACACTAACATCATGAAGGCAGTAGGAAGTCAGTTCCAGCACTTATCCCTGCTGTTCCCAGCTGGCTAGGTAGATGGCAGCCCTCTTCACAACCTGATCCCTGCACTATTGGAAGGAACAGCCAGGCAAGTTGATAACCTCTCATCTTTGACTCCTATTGCTCTGCCAAAGTCAGGTTTCCTCTTGCTTCTTGGTGCTTCCACTCTATGACCTTCAAGGCTAAACTAAACATATATAGTAGTGCAAACTTCTTTTTTTAAGCATCTGTAGCAGGTACTTTGCTCTTTCCCTACAGCTTTCCTACTCAAAAATGTCCCATCCTGTTTGCAATTTGATAGGGGCAGAGCATAGGGGGAAAAAACAGAGGAGCACTAAGAACACACACCTTGAGAACTCCAACAGAAAGCAGAGAGCTATCTCTCATGAAAACACACCATTTTCTCCATTCCACACCCTACCTAGAATCATATTTTCACCTTTAAAGCTCTTGACAGCTTTGGCTACATTATGTCTCTATCTTCATAACCTGCCATATCACAGTCCTTGTCCTTCAACACTACCCCTCAGGCAATCTGAAGATCTTATTTCATGTAAATCACTGTCCTTTCTCTCTCGCTGCCCCTTACTTTCCCACAACACCTATGATAATGCCATAGCTGTCTCTTTCATCACATCCTTTCTTAGAACTCTTTTTCAAGAAGCCTCCCCTTTGGCTTAACCCTGCAGTCCCCATCTCTTAAGGAATGTAAGGCTAAGCACATGTAAACAACTGAAGAATTATGTTTTCCCATCATCATTGCCTTCATCTCCATTTTAGTTTCTAAACCACTTAAGAGCCTTTTTTGTGTTACTTTGCATAAATATTAGGACATTACCTGTAGATTACCTTATGCAATTCTCCAAAATATTTCTATTTGAGTACTTCTGCCTACTGAGACTAAAGCCTCATGGGATAAATCAAAAGCATACTAAATAGTTTTGTCAGGATGCAAAGCAGCATACAGTTTGTTACATACTATTAAGAGGGTTTTGTGCTGATCCAGTTTATAAAGGGAGGCAAGTTTCAAGTATGACAAGTGGGCCAGGTGTAAACTTGGGCAAAAAACAAACAAAAAGATACTATTTCATGAAATACTTACACTGATAATGAAGAGTAACATAAATCAGGTCTGCAATCCTATGGCTCATGGTTAGATAGCACCCCCTACACCTGCAGAGATGGAGCAGGCAGATATGACCAGGCTGAAAGGGACACATGCACCAATATTATTGGCAGTAGAGATCAGAATACAGGGAGCCTCAGTCAATCAGAGCTGTGATGATAATCTTTGATAGTGGAGCTGCTCCTTCAGTGCATGGAGAGAGCGACAGATACTAGGCTTAAAGAACATGCTACCACCAAGTTCTCCTCAATTTCACCCATGAATGTTCAGAAACCCTGATCTGCCTTATGTAAAAGCAATTTTTAGTGACTGCTACCATTTTAAAAACAATAATTGGCTTCTCCGTGCTATTTCAGTCTTGCTAATCACTTTTAAAGCAAGCAATGAAGTGAGTCCCACTTGATTCGGGGGCTTCTAAGTGGACACATATATGCGCTAGAAACAAACAATGTTTTATTACTTAGATACAACAGCATTAGCATCACCTCAAACTACTCCAACTCAGCAGTACTGACATCAAAGCCTGATGCCCAGGTCGACAAGGAATAACTTGAGGCATGGCTATTCAAAGATCAGCCAAAGCTTCTGCAAAAACAAGCCAGCACTATTTCTCAAAACTAGGTTTAAACCCTAGAATGAGCAAAGCCGTGCACACAGTATTTCCCAACGTCCTTCTGCATAACTAGACTCAGCCCATCTATATTCACGTTTAGGGTAAAACCGTCTATGTCAGTGGGTCAGCTTTAATACTTGAGCCTCCACATCCAAGTCCTAGCATCCCAGCCTATTCATTAGAACATGTGAGAAGCAAGTATAACGAACAACCAGGAAAGCTGCAATCAATAAACTCCTTTTTTTTTTCTGCAGAGAACAAGTCCTACCCTTGCATTCCTTGCCCAGAATGACATCATAAGGCTCAACAACCCACCACACCCATTTTCCTGCGCACGCTCACACAACCACCCACAGAGATGATACCCAAGTGTGGCGCATGTGCAATCAACCTGTTCCTGTATGGGCACTGCACAGGCGCAGCAAGAGAAAGCAGCTGCGAACAAGCGGTGGGCAACAGACATGCGCACTACGGAACTCATAGAACGCAGCGACACGAGTAACCCATGTTACGAAGCGTGGCTGCGAAAGTCCACACATGCGCCGTGAAGGGGTGGGAAACCAATTTTGTAAGTTGCGCAGGCGCACACAGGCACTCGAGACCGCAGCCCTACTCGGTGGGAGAAAAAAAATATACCTCAGAGTTACGTCAGGAAAAGACGCCTTTGTGCACGGGGAAAACCCGTGCCTTTGTCCAAGAGAAGACCCGCCTTACACAAGCCGTACAGGGTGCCCGTTACTCACCTTCTCCGCCGCTGGACGGGCACCCCCTTTCCTTCCCCCTTCAGCCGCCTCTCTTTACGATTCGCCCGCGCGCTCTGCCGCCACCGCCGTGATTCCATCCATCTTGAATTTGACGTCATCCCACACCAGGGATGAGGTCATCGCAGGGAGCGCTCGTCACGTGCGCATCTTTCCGATTGGTCGGCGCCAGCCGGGCGGGGAGGAAGGAGAGCGGCGCTGGCGCCCGAGGCGGCGGGGGGGGGGGCTGGGCGGCCCTGGCGGCGGGGAGCGCATCGCGGCGGCGGCTAACGGCGGGCGCTCCCGCCCCTGCTGCTGGCACGCGCTCGCTCACCGCCGCTCCTCCCCAGCGGGTCGCCCGAGCCTCGCGCGCTGGCCCGGCAAATCCAAACGGGAAGCGGCGCCGGCTGTTGCCAAGGGCCGGGGCTCCCGCGGGTCGCTGGGGAGAGCAGGCGGCCCGCGGGACGTTGGTCGGACGGCTTTCTGAAGGACGAGGAAGGGCGTCCCTTCCATCTCCAGCGGTGGAACCGCCTCTCTCGTAGGCAGCAGCCCGTGGCTCGCAAACCAGCAGGCGAAGCTCCCTGGAGAAAACGTGGCCGTGTGACTCCTGCCGAGGGGGTGGGATGCGGGGAGAGAGCGCTGCGCTTTGCGGGAGACTTCTGGCTGCAGCCTTCCCGGTCATGCCCGGGGTAACCCGAATTCAAAAGTGGCCGTTCTTTTCTTGAGCTGAAGTGGAATAAAGCTTTGCTGGGTAATGATGTTAAAAACTGGGGGAGTAGCGCATATTTGACCCGCGATCCTACAACTTTCACGAGCTTTCCAACCTTCCCTGTGCAAACGTATAAAGGAAGATTCTAATCTGTGCCTGGTTTGAAGGCATTTTCACTTGGAAGAACTTTTCTTTCCCCGTTGTCTCCAGCTGTGTCTAGGATTTTAAAACAGCATGGGCAATGAAAGCTACAAAAGCACTTAGCCCCATGCGTGAAAATCCATGCTATTCATGCTTGTGGAAACTGAGGAAGGACTTTGTATAATTTAGGTTGCACTAACCTGGGAATTAGTTCCACTGAACTCCTTGGAACTGGGGAGGTGTCGATGAGGTTGTACCAGTAACTTGTGATTTAAGTTTTTAACTGATGGGGGCTGGAATTTTGCTTGGGGACATTATCGATTTTCACCAATGCATTACAATAGCTACAGTGCCTTTTTGAAATAATGGGAAGGAAACATCAGGGTTTTTTATTTAAAAACTAAAACTCAGTTTACACAAATATAAAACAATACATAATAATGAGGATCATAAACAATACAATAATAGTGCTACCTTCCTGCAGGATCAACATATACATGTTACTTAGTGTAAAAGCTTTTATGCATTCAGGTTGCTCAACTCCCATTCCACTTCCAGATCTGCATTGAATCTTGTGATGGCTCACACCCCTTTCCCTTTATTAAAGCATATTCAATAAACAGTTTCCATATCTCTTCAAATTATTTTTGTTTGTCACATCTTTTTTCAATTTAATATCACAAGTTAACTTATCATTAATAGCTATAATAGCTATATTCCAGACTTTTTATACTTCTCAACTTCTTGCAGCCTGGCCAGCATGCATACTTGTCTTCATATGGAAAGGACATCAGGAATGCTGTGGCTAGTCAATCCAACCAAGTCCCATCTGTACTTTTCCCCTCAATTACTTCAGCATTGCTCAAGCAGAAGGCACACAACACACTCCCCAACTTACTATTTTTTCTTCTAATATTCTATTTTCTTAAACTACTTTTATGTTGGTTTTCCATTGTTTCCACCAGTGTGCTTCAAAGATACATGTACTCCATTCAGTAGTTTTAGCAGTAGGAATGGCTTTAATGCTGTAGAACTCCTTTTGCAGCACCCTTTCCAAATTTTTCCTATCCTATGATAGGATATACATGTTGTTTTCCTCATTCCTCATGTGGATTTTTATGGGATTTCCAGGCAGGAAACCCATTTTTGCCTATGGCTATTTTTAATGACTGTCCAGTAGAGGATAACAAAATATTTTACTTTTAAATTAGTTCTGCACAGCTGTACAGGTTTGCATACAGTTTATCGCTTTTTTTTTCAACTGTCATGTTCTACCTACACATCTATAGCTGTGCAGCTGCAAACAGCCACATGCTTTATTTTCAAAATTGCCTTCCTATGAAGCAGCAGTTGGCAGAATGAAAAAAGGGTAAAATGGTCCCTCTTTCTGCTCCAATTGCAACAATATTAAGTTGTGTGCCTTATATATACAAATGATCAAAGCATGCAAGTGTTCCGGATGCATGGTTATGTAACTGCAACACCATTCATGTGCAGTGCTTTTAGTGCAATATAAATATGATGGAAACTGCTGTATTCATTACTGTGTGCCCCTACACCAGAAGCTGTTCTGGGGGGCAAAATCAGCATAGCAGTGCATTTCTCATGAAATGGGCTCCAGTATAGAGTGTCCTTGACTTTGTACTAGTCACATATGTTTTATGAAGCAAGGAGGGGCCATTACGCACAGGCCAGGCTGGGATTGTGCAGGGGGAGAGGGATTGTACCATGATTTATCAGGCGACTTCTCAATGTGGCTCTGGTCCAACCTTTCTCATCCTGGTATCCTCCAGGTGCATTGATTACAACTCCCTTTCTGCAGCAACCAACATGGGTTGGTAGACAGGGATTATGGAAGTTGTATTTGTCTGGTCTGTGACCACACAATAAAGATTGATTGTAATAGAAAATACCTCCTGGAGGGCACCACATTGGGGAAGGCTGATCCAGATTATATTACTTTTACGAGACAACCACATGTACAGATATTTTTATTTCAAATTAATTAGTATTAAGTAACCATAGTTACAGACAAGGCTTACTTAGAAGTCCTAATTTGTTAGGTAGGACTTCCAAGTAAGAGTGCAGCCTTAATTATACAATTACTGTTTCTCTTAACCACTTGACTACACTAGCTTCCATAAAGCTCTTACCTATCAAAACTGCAGTTTGTGTGTGTATAACTGGGAAGACCCAGTCATACCCACACAACCTGGATACAATAGATCTTTGTTACAGTTTCATTTTATTTTTCATCTATAAGCCATTACTAAAAGTGAAATCAGACACAGAAATATTTATAGATCTGTAACAGACTCCCTTGTATTTGTCTAAATAAATTACAGTATTGTGGTAGCTGAAAATGATTCAGACAAACTGAGAGCTTGGTTCATTATGCTGGAAGTATTATTCAGAGGCAAATGCTAGCTATTTTGAAAGACTGAGCATTTGGTATGTATATCATTAACAAGTTTTGTTAAACCTCATTCTAAAAATTTAGATGGATAAGAAGCGTGGCTTACTGACATGAATCCAGTGTGCAAGGTGAGCTCCTTAGTGGGCCACTGCTGGTAAGTAAGACTGGTGCTGTTGGATGAACGAAATGCGTATGAAGGCATCCAATGATGATACTTATCAGACTGCCAAAAAAATGGTTGATGCAGATAGCAGGACAGTGAGCGTGGAGTCTGGAATCGCTAGGGCACATGTAGCAACTTGTGCTCAGTCAAGAGCCCTGAAAATGGATGCAGCTGGGTTGTGTTTGGCCCACTCTCGGCTGTCACCAGTGAAGTGCCCTCCCTCTTTCAGTGAGTAAGAGGCTGCTGTGGTGGACCTTGAAGCTTAAAGTAGAAGTAGAAGTGCTGCACATGCAAATCTTGGTGGAAGTTGGAAAAATTCAAATTCAAGCAACAAGCTTTCAATACTAGAGCCAGTGTGGTGTAGTGGTTGAGAGCATGGGACTGGGACTCAGGCGATCCGGGTTCAAGTCCCCGCTCAGCCATGGAGCCAACTGGGTGACTTTGGGCCAGTCACAGACTCTCAGCCCAACCTACCTCACAGGGTTGTTGTTGTGGGGATAAGATGGAGGAGGAGAGATGATGTAAGCTGCCTTGAGCCCTTTGTAGGAAAAAGGCAGGATATAAATCGCAATATAAATAAAAATAAATAAATACTTCCTCATGTAATCTTCCAATATTTTCCCTTGTCTGCAATAAACATTGTACAGCCACTGTGGTGTAGTGGTCAAAAGTGTGTGACTGGGACTTGGGAGATGTGGGTTCTAGTCCCTACTCCACCATGGAGCTGACTGGGTGACATTGGGCCAGTCACAGACTCTCAGCCCAGCCTACCTCTCAGGGTTGTTGTGAGGATAAGATTAAGAGGAGGAGGAGAATTGTGTAAACCACTGTGAGTTCCTTGAAAGAAAAAAAAGGCAGGGAATAAATAAATGCTGCATAATAGCAATATGTTTTATATTTCAGATTATGGATGTAATCCCAAGATTATTACTTATGCCTATATTCCATTGAAGTCAAAAGGAATCTGGTTTTAGTGGAATTTCTGCAGTCTGAGAGTGCTTACTAAGAAGTAGCTCCACTTAATTCAGTAGAACTTACTGCTGATTAGGCATGTTTAGGTTCAGGTAAGTGTCATTGGTTTGTCTGTGTCAATATATGAAAATATTTCATTTTGATCACCATTAGATTTTTGCTTTTTCAAGTGCTATGAATTCCAAATTTCAAAGCAAGGGCCATGGGATTTCTTTCTCATTTGTTTTTTCTTCATTAGTAAAGGAACTATACAGTATTTGGCCGCTATGGTCTTGTAAATAAGTCTTTAGAGTTCAGATTTGTTGACAGGAATTGAAGTACCAGGGCTTACTGTTTTGAAGTGTGAAAGTAATTCAGAAAGCTTTAAAGAAAGAGCTGTATTATTTTTAAAGCATTCGTGTATGTTCAAAAGCTCCAAACACTTCCTACCACAGGAAATCTGTCATATGTGCTCTTGGGGAGTTAGCACAGCAGAGAAAAAATAGCTGCAGACCAAGTTTGACACGAGGTGGGAAGACTGTGGGCAGGATCTTTCATGGCTGGTTTA